TTATATAATTATATATAAATATATATAATTTAAATATATGTATATATATATTTAAAAATTCGTCTTAGAAATTCATTATTCTTAAACTTACATTATGATTATGCCTTTGAATAACTTCTATGAAGAGAGTTGGTCGATCTTGCATATTCTTAGTAAAAATTTGTAGTAAATAACCATTTTCGTCATAGTCGATTAAAATTTTTAATTCCTGAATGATTATTATGAAAATTAATTAATACACAATTATAAAAAAAATAACTTTCTTTAAATATTATGTGTATATGCAAACATACCTGTAATATTTTCAAATCTTCTGTAATTTTGAGTTTACTATTTTTCAAACGGTCTCGAAGCATATCGTAATAACTATCAGGTACATTAAGAAATTCCATTCCTCTTGAACGTAAATTTTGTATCTACAATAACAAACAAAAACAACAAACTAAATATTATTATAATCACAAGAAAAGGAAAAAGGAAAATAAAAAATCTCTAATATAAAATATTACTTACAGCTGTTATTATATTATTAGTATTTAAAGCTATATGCTGTACACCAGCACCACCATAATAATCAACGTATTCTTGAATTTGAGAACGTTTTTTACCAGATGCTGGTTCATTAATTGGCATTTTAACAGTCTCCTCCCAATTAGTCATAACAATAGAACGTAATGCAGAATATTGGGTATGTAATTGACTATCATCTACCGACCAAAATCTATGAAACTGTAAACATTCTTCATACCTAAAATAAATAATATAAAAATAACATATAAAAGTATCTATAGATACAATTTATTTATTTACCATTTAGCAACAGGTTCCATTTGTTTATCAGCTTGATTACCTACAATGTGATCTATAAATTTTAAATGGGTTGCTGGCCTGAAAATTTATTTAGAGAGAAAAATATATTAATGGAAAATATATTCTTTACATACAATGCCACTTACAAATGTTTAATAAGTACATCTTCTGAAGCTTTTATAAATCCTGGTAGAAAGAATCCCTTATATTTACTTCTGTCAACCAAAGTATGATGGGTATCTCCATACTAGTTAAAAAAAGTTCGAAATTTAGTGTCCATACATACTATATAATAATTTTGTGTATTTATATTTTTTATAATTTATTTATTTTTTTAATAACATACGGTTTTCAACGTGGCAAATTTAATAACACCAAACTCATCTTTTTCTTCCCATATGTCTCTTATAATTTTTGCACCTTTTTGTTTTGCTACCTAAGCAGACAAAAAATATTATGTTCTATCGGTTTTTTTTTTTTTTTTGTAAATTATGAGTTACAATTTAATAATATTTTTTCTTTTAATTAATTAATTTTATATTTACCATAACGATGGTATCGATATCTTCGACTCTGAAAGCAATGTCACGGACACCGTCACCATGCTGAGAAAGGTGATTCCCCATTTCTTTGTTTCCGGGTTCATAAGATGATTCGAAAACAAATATTATCTAAGAAAATTAATTTTCGTTACTGTATTTTTTACTATTTTTATTTTTTTTTTATGACAGAATTATTATACTTAAAAACAATCAAAGAAAAAAATCTAGGAAAAGAAATTTTAATTAAAGGACATTTAAAAAAATTATTTTCTTTTTCGTTCTCGAGATGTTGAGAGATTTATAAAAGAAGAGAGAGAGAAATGTCAAGAAATGTTGTAAATTACTTGTACATTATATGATGTATACACATATGTAAAAAAAAATATGTAAAATATAATTACCTGATTTTGTTTAACAGCATGTGCTGCTGTATTCCTTGAACCAGTTTCTAAGCCACGATAAGCAAGTGGTTCAAATCCCATCCTTGCACAATAAAAGCTAGCTGCCTAGAAAAAATAAAGTTATATATAATAAATAATTTCTTACAGGCTTAAAAGAGACGAAATTTTATATAAAAAGACATTAATATTTGTATATTTCGTTAATGATATCATAAAAAATTTATTTTTATATAATTACCTGTTTTGCATTTCCAACCCAGAATTTTACATGATCGAAACTTAAAAATTTTCCACCAACAGGCTACAAGAAAATAAAAAAAAAATAAATCATTTTGTATATAAATAATAAAAAATAATGTTACATACCTTTTTACCTTTGTCCGTGTAAGTAGTCTATATATATGTAGAGAGAGAAAAAGAATAATAATAACAATAAAAATTATAATAAATAATAAATCTTAATATAAAAGAAAATAATTTACGTATATAAAAAACAAAATGAAAATATTATATTATCTATATTTATTTTATATACGTATAACAAATTTGTTAACATATTTAAACATTTGTTTACCATTGTTAAATGATAATATTAGTAACTTGTACTGTTGTAAACGTAGCGACGTACTCCTGTTGTTTGCTATACTTTTTAAAGAAATCTGAATTTCACTGTAAAAGATCCGCGCTTTAAATATGAGCGCGTTTGTGTGGCTTATTCAATACTTGCATACGATTGGTCAGTATAATAAACTTGTTGATACCATATTCAAATTAATTGTTAATATATTAAAAGATTTGTTTGTTGAAGCAGGTTTTTCTAGAATCTAGAATATGTTATGGTCGATTGATATTTCCATAAAATAGAGGCTCGACCCTGTTTTTATTGTCGTCATCATCGAGGACACACCTTCATCGATGAATCAACAAATAAGTAAGAAAAATATTTCATACTTTTTTATATGAATTAAAATGCGATAAAATCTTTCTCTAGTAAACACTTTGACATAAACAAGTAAAGAAACAAACAAGTAACAAACATACTCTTAATTTATAAATTTATATAAGAAAAGTTTATATATAAAATTATATATATTATGTAATTCACACAGTATAGTTAGTTACACTTTGATGATCATATGTGCAATCGTTACATATTATGTAGCATTTAAATACATTTTTTTCTGACATCGACTAAAAATTATCATTTTATGTAAAACTATAACTATTTTTTTTTTCTTTTCTTTTTTATATTGTAAATTTATTGAAAGGATATACAACGAATAGATTTTATCTTGGTCTTACATTTAATATTTGTGCATAAATCATACTTTTTATGCTATTCGTCGAATATCTTATAATAATTTCTTTTTTTTTCTGGAATAACTAAATTTAACATTCCAGAATATTAAATTAATTTTATGCATCATTTTGTTCACAATCGAGCAATTTATACATTTGCAAATGAATCAAATATATCCGAGATATAATTATTGTTTATTATTTTATGTTACTTTTAGAGACTAGTTTTAAATTCTGTATATATCACACCATTGTATATTGAAATATAAAAAATTATAATACATATTTTCTTTTCACATTAAATGCAAACTATTGCGAACATCGTTTATATGTTGTTTTATTATTTCTTGAAATATTTCTACTAAAAACTTAATATATCATTTCTTAAATCATAAGATATATTATCAAGTTTCGTATCTTCATTGCATCACTATGTTTGTATCACAGATGTGAAATTTATCCAATTATTAATATAATTTATTCTTTATTAATGTGAAGAAAGAGATAAGATTTTTTAATATCTGTAAAAATCTCATATGAATGTGTTTGCTTTATCGCAAAGAAAGTACATATATGGACTTAAATTGTATATGTTATTGTACTTTATCTTTTTTTTTATGACATAAAACTATTGCAGAAAATATTAAAAATTAAGTAAAAATAGAAACATTTTCATTGGAAAACTTTGTCATATGAAGGTGGAGCAGCTTCATCTGAAGAATCTGGTGGTGGAATTAAAATAGCTATATGATAAGGCGGTGGTGGATGTTGCCTGATAAGTGGTATAGGTCTTAAATTTTCAGTAGTAGATAAACTTGCATTAGTTAACGATGCAATCTGATTCTCTTGAATACGTCTTTCTTGACGGTTATTATTCTCGGGATTACGACCACAAAGAATGATACACAGACATATAAGTAGCAGAAGCGTCAATAGACCACAAAATACAAATATTTCCAAATCTAGGCCCTGTTCAAATGAAATTATACAGATAGAGTTTGGTGAATATCAAATAATCTTCAAAATCAAATAGGAAATGTGTTTATATGAATTTTTCTTATTGTTTTTAGATTTGCTGAAGTCACCCCTAAAATATTTCCTTATTCTGAGACATCCTACATTATCGTATAGAACATATTTTAATGAGTCTTTTACCTCATAACCAAAAGATAATTTTGCTGCCACTACAAATCCTGTTGCCACAATCGTAACCAAAACTCCGCAACGTAATCTATACTTTGCCAGATTAGCATCACTTAATTCAGATAAATTTAAAATACTTCTGTTTGTACCGCTTGCAACTGTATTAGACACAATTAATTGGTTGTTCCCAGCATTGGTTACATTACTGTAATTATTTAAAAAAAAAACTATGTAATTATAATCGATATAAAATTCTGTTGGCACATAAACTGACAAATAAATTATTCTGATGTAAACGCTAACTATGGATAAAACGTTTATAAGTACTTTCTGTTGATAGGCATGTATAAGTGAGTCACCCTGTATATAAGAAGAACATGTTCCCAGGTATCTTTTTAATAAATATCTTTCAATTATTAATTCAATTGGAAGCACTTTGTAGTATTGATCGATGATACACTTTCCAATTCATTACTACTAATTCTTTAGATCAATCAAAATATTCTCCAGATATTGACATTATTAAACTCTGTCGCATTTTCAATTATGTTAAAACTCTGAAAATAAAGATAGTGTATCATTCTTTAAATTATTACAAAATTTGAGAGAGAGAGAGAGAAAGAGTGTGTGTGTGTGTGTGTGTATGTGTGTGTGCAGTATAAACTAAACAGTATATTTAAAAATTAAAACATTTATTGTCTTTATATGTCAACATATATCTAAATTATTAAATTATAAATTATTTATAAAAATTACAAAATATTATCGTATATTACCAACCTGTCAAAGAAACCCTAATATTCGCCTGACGATACGCTCATTAAACCAGAACCAAACGTACATTCTTCCTTTTAATAATTTATTTGTCTCATCAAGTTTTATTTTTAATACCGATAGTTTAATTGAATTTGCAAACTGTATGCTCTTATCATTTCAAACTCTCTCTATTAAAATCATTCACATACTTTCGATTATTTGAAAATTAGGTTCACTACAATTTGTGCATTCTAAATCGATCCGGTGCGGCAGCGCACACACCAGTATATATGATCCTTTCTCTCATCGTTCATCTAGAATAAACGTTACCCAAAGACGATACAGAAACATATTAATACATTAATCGAAAATATTAACTCTCGAAGTAAAATGTTATGAATAACTGTACACTTTCTTACTTGCATCATAACAATGAAATAATGTGTAAACAAATTTAACAAAATTTTCTTCATCAATTAAAACACACTATCTGTCGAATGAAACTTTGATTAATTTTTTTTTAAAATCGTAACACAACCATTCAATGAATATATATTAATTTGAGGAAAGTCATTTCCAAATATAAATATTAATGGTTTTATCGGGTAGTTCACACACACACGTGGTTATTCTGAAATAGTAAGTTTAAAACGGTTTGAAATCGATGCGGCTTTAATAAAGTTTTTTAACAATTATTCACTAGATGACAGCACTAGTAATCTTAAAAGAACGGCACAAATAAAGAGAAGACAGCGCGAAGGTTTCGAAGAAGTATTATTATCATGTATCATGGTATATTACTACTATTTTGCGTTCATTTGTTTCACCTTAAAGAAAGGTGTATGAAATAATAGAATAAAGAAGCAGAGAATAAGAGAGAAAGGCAAGTGGAAGTTGAGTTGAGTTGAATTAATTTGAGAGTTTGGCGAAGTGGAGACAGGAGTGTGTTAGTAGGCATTAGCCTGGTTCATTAAACAAAACATGGACGCCGTAGAAATAAGTACGTCGAATCCGCCGCAAAATGAACAAGTAATTGTGTCTGCTGTGGAGATATGTCGTATATGCCTTCATGGTAATCTGGCGATGCGAGACCTCTTTCTGGGAAATGAGATCGCCTCTTTATCGGCCAAAGCGATGAGTTTCGCAAACGTTAAGGTTAGATACCTAAAGTTTTCAGAGGTTAAACACTACGTAAGAAGATAAAAACAAATACATGTGATACGTTTTATCATAGTGTCGATCTTATCTCTAAAATAAACTAATAGATAGATGATTTATATATATTATGTATACGTATGTACATACGCACACATTGTGTATATGCTTGTGTATGTATATAATACATATATGTAATGCATATGTGCGTACGTGTGTATATCTGTATTATAGATATATATCCTATTAGTTTTATCTTATTATAGAATCATTTTTTCCCTGATTGTAAGTAGTATCCAATAGCATTTATTTGTTCACAATAATAACAAATTCACTTTCATTTTATTCCAATCTCTAACAGAGTTATTATCAGAGTTTTTCTACATTTACACAGATGTTACCTGGTGATGGATTACCTCCTCACATTTGTAATGAATGCACGGACAAATTAGAATCTGCATATGAATTTAAACTTCAAGTTGAACAAGCAGACAATGTATTAAGAGAAAAGTTTGATGGCATTAAAGAAGAATTATTCTTTAACGAAGTTGAAGTACATTTGGAGGTAGATAGAAGCGATGCTATCAATGATATTCATTTGGAATCTCATTACCAACATGAAAATGAAGGATTGACCGAGGAATCAGAAAATGAGAAATCTCTGTTGAAAGAACAATTGGCATTGTTACATGTTGAAAAATTGGTAGAACGAGAACAATTAAGAGAAGGTAAGTTATTATATATCACCATAAAGTTCAGTTTTTAATGACAAATTTTGTCAGATTATGATATTTGATAATATTTAAAATAATATATAAGAAATTAAAAATATATATATTTTTTAAAAATATTTAGAAGAAAATAATTCACAAATATTGGAACAACAAAATATGATAAACAGCTCCCATAGCGAAGAGAAATTCTCAAATGAAATAGACGAAGATACATGTACATTGGTAGATAATGCAGACAATCAAGGAGTATTAAAATCAGACTGCATTAATGAAAACTGTACAGATGCAATTCCTGCTGAAGAACATGATTACATTATGCAGCAAGATTATGTTATGAACGAACAGTTTACTTCTACAGAATCTAAAACATTTTCTAAGGAAAATACAACACAATGCAATGAATCGCTTATGGAATCAAATATACTTGAAACTTGTAAAATAGAAACGGAACATATACCGCTTACAAATAATGACACCCTTGTTGAAAAAGACGTATCTACGACTGAAATTAGAAAAAGTAAACGAAGATCATCGCGACGAAATTTTACGAGCGACAGAGATTCTGACGAAGAAAATTATTTTGAAAATTTGAATCTTAGTTCTCGTCTTAAAAAAGCTCAAGCTGATAAATCAGAAAAAGTTTATTTCATGTGTTATCTTTGTGATAAACAATTTCTTTCTAAGAACGTATTGAAGGAACATATGCATTCACATGAAGAAATTAGGCGAGCTTTGTCTCTTAAAAAAGTGCCTGAAAAATCACCTAAAGTATCTAATACTTCTCCAAAGATGCCACCGTCTGGTAAAAGGCCTAACAAATGTTCGTATTGTGGTAAAGAATATTTATATATAATTTCATTTAACAAACATCTTAAACGACATGAAAAAGAAAAAGAAAACGCTAAAGATGATTCCATGCCTCTAGAAATATCATTTCACGAAGACGAAAATAGTTTAGGTTTTGATAACCACAGTAATTCGCAACATTCAGATTATGAGTGCAGAAAAAGGACAAAAGGAGAGGAGGAATCATATAATGAAAATGAAGAAGATGATCAAGAAACAGATAAACATAGAAAGAAATCTCATTTGGAAATATTTGAATGTAACAAATGTTCAGAGAAATTTTATACTAGACGAAGCTTAAGAAAGCATACACTTTCACACGTTAATTTAAAATGTAATATTTGTAATGAAAAGTTTGATGAACTTGAGCAATTAAAAAATCATCGTGCTAAACATGTAGTGGAAGGTATGTTAATGGATCAGGATTTAGAAGACAATATAGAGCATCATGTAATTAACAAAGAAGATGAAGAAGAGGATAAAGGAGACAATGAAGACGATTCGGAAGTTGAAAATAATATAGAAGATGCTCAAGAAAAAGAAATGAAAGAATCTAAATGTCAACATTGTACATCAACGTGTTCTCACAAGAAATCTCTTTCGAGGCATACTGATATGCAAACAGTTTCAAAATACAACTGTAAAATATGTTGTCAACAGTTTACGAGAAAGGATCACTTACGAAGACACATGGAACAACATGGAAGAATAAAGACTTATAAATGTACGCAATGTAATAAAACATTTGGAAATGAATTGACTTTACGTAATCATCTGATAGCAACTAACCATAAGACTTTTGTTCATGGGCAAGAATATGATCCTAATAAACGTATAAAACGAGTGGCAGCTAAAGCAGCGCAAAAGATTATTGATAAAATAAAAACAGAAGATGGTTTGGAAGATTATGACGAAGATGATAATAATGATTTAATTGATGTCCATCATAATCGTAAGAATGAAAATTCTTTAAAGAAAGCTAATAATAGAAAAGAATTAGAATGTGCCACCTGTAATAAAAAGTGCAGCTCAAAACATATGCTGACAAAGCATATGGAGCAACACGTAAAAGATGAAAAAGCAGATAAAATGGATAAATTAGACAGATTTAAAAAGCCACAGGAGAAAAAAGAACAACAAAGGATAGGAGGTGGTATGGAATTAAGAAAGGACGAAGACGATGACGATGATAATTCTGACTTCGAAAGTGGTTTGGATTGGTTAATGGATAATCACGAATGCGCAACATGTAAAAAAAGATATAGTACGAAAAAATCTTTGTTACGACATCAATTACTTCATGAAGAACCAAACTTTGAATGTGATATATGTAATGTGAAATTTTATCGTAAGGATAAATTGAAAGCTCATTATGATAAATGCTCAGAAAAGAATCCTGATCAGGTAAGAAAGTGCAATATTTGTGGTGACAGTTTTGAAAATAATGAAATACTTAGACAACATAGAGCTAAACATGTAACGGAAGGAATTTTAACGGAAGAAGATCTGAGAGAAATTGAACCATGCCCTGAAGAAAGAAAGCAGGGAGAGAAAATCATTCGGAAAAGAAGGACAGATATAGTGGGCCTTGAATGTACCGAATGTAACAAGCATTATACTTCTAGAAAAGGTTTATTACGTCATATACAAGTACACGAAGGTAAAAAATATTTGTGTGACATATGTCCAAAGAAATTCTATAGAAGAGAACATTTAAAAATTCATGTGGCTAAGCATAATATGATCAAACCATATAAATGTACAAGATGCACAAAACGATTTATTAAAGAGGAACAACTTACCAATCATTTATCAAAACACGATAGACCATTTAAGAAAAACAAAGAAACGGATAGCTCCAAAAGATTTTTATGTGAAATATGCTCTAAGAGTTTCACGCAATCGACTACTTTAATAGCACATTTGAGAGCTCACAATGGTATAAAGCCATATGTTTGTGAAGTATGTTCTAGACCTTTTACCACAAATGCATACCTAAAAATGCATATGAGGACACATACACAAGAAAGACCATATATCTGTCAGTATTGTTCTAGAGCATTTGCCCGAGCTGATACTCTTGCTAATCACTTGACATCGCATACTGGTGAAGCAAAGTATCATTGCAAGTATTGTCCCAAGAATTTCCGTCGATTGAAATCATTAAAAGAACATGTTTTTATTCATACAGGTCAAAGGCCTTATGCTTGTCCTACGTGTGATCGTAGATTTAATAACAATGGTAGTCGTTATGCGCATAGCAAACGATGTAAGCAAAACTTTTTGCAAAATCAGAATCGTATTCAAACACTTACCGAAGTTCAAACACAACAACCATCGCAGAGAATACAACAGACTCTTACTCAAACGCAAGTTGTTAAATCACAAAACATTAAGACCATTACTATTACTAGACAAGCTGAACCAGTAACTACCCAACAAATAATGCAACATCAAGAAATAGTAATGCCACTTATACTTCCGTTCACTGTAACTCTTGCAGATGTAAGTGACGAAGTAATATTACCCGAAGGTACAAAAATATTTACAACGTCGTAACATGTCGAGAGTTTCAGTAAATTAAAGATGTAAAAATTACCATTAGAAAAAGGTAAAAAAGAACAATGATGTATTGATACTGTTAGAATGCATCATCTTAATTTTATAGCGTGAACGAAAAAAAAGGATTGAAAATATGAGCTCTCAATGCTCTCTTTGCATGATATTTCTCTTCTTTTCATTCCTATTAGAAAGAGCAGTAAAATAATTCTGCTAGTTTGATCTTCTAGCAAAGCTGTTAATCTCAAAAGAAAGAAAAAGACCATCTTGTATACTATACTTATTAAATAAGTAAGCCTTGCAGATCCCTTTTTAATGCATACTTGGTACGGTGATATATGATTGTAATTAGAATTATGTATGATACGTTATACTAAAGTTTATTTTTACAAGACGCAAATGCAAATTATAAAACTTGCATAGTCTGCAGTATAGGAGAAGTATACTCTTCTACCGTATTAAAATATTGTGTATCACACAGGGCTGAGTATATGCTAGAAAGAGAGAGAGAGAGAGGGAAAGATTGTAAATGTATGGTATGATTTTTAATTGAAAAAATATCTGTATAACCAAATTAATATAAAAAATTGATTTTATCCGTTATCATATCTATTACATATGAATAATATTTTATTAAAAGACATGCTTAAAGCAAATCGTTATTAAATAGATTCTCATTTATTTGTTATATTTTCATGTAAGATATATTTTTTTTTGAATTATAAGTTTCAACGATAAGTATTTAATTGTAGTTTAAAAATAAAAACAGGTTTTTATATTTTCATTTATTATAAATGTATCCTACTATTTCTATTTAAAAAAGAACAAAAAACAAAAAATTAAAAAAAAAACGATATTTATCTTAAGAGTCCTTGTTACTTAATAAATGAATAAAATATATCTTCTATGACAAGAGTTATCTAACTTAATTGATAATTTTCTAAATATTTAATACATTATGTGTTATAAATATTAATATAAAATACAAAAAATAAAATGTTTACATTTTTTAAACATGTGTCGACATACTTTTCTATATAGAAGTTAAATAATTGTTTTAAAAAATCATATTGTTACGTTGATTATAGAGTAATTTCATAATAATAATTTGTTATATATTGAACTAAATTGTATGTATTTTTTTTTTATGTTCCATACAAGTTTTTCAGACAATTATTATTTCATATAGATATAAATATAAAATGTAAAATGAAATAGTGAACTTAATTTATAAAATTATAATTTCATAATATTTGTGTTATTATCCTAATAAAAAGAGTAAATTAAATATATAAGATATATAAATAAACCAAAATTTCTCTCTACTTAAAAGATATCAAACTTGATAAAGACAGTTATTATAAAGTTTGGTACGCGATTAGTGCATTTATGGAACCGTTCAGCTGAATTCACAGGAAAACATATGCATTTATATTTAAAACAAAGAAAAAAATTAGTAGATAAACTTAATCAATATTACTCAGCCCTGTAAATTACGTCTTCTCTTTATTGATGTCAGTTTTAATCCGAAAAAAAAACAAACAAATAGTTAATAATAATGTATTTCATAATAGTATAGAAATATCTTTATTGATTACAAATCGTAATTTCTGTTTTATTTGTACATAATGGGTAAGTATATGTGAATAAAGAGTTCGTAAAATTCAAATATACTTCTTTCTTTCTCTCTTTCATTTTTTTTTTTATCATACCCATACACATACTCATAAATATTTTATAAAATATCATTTGATTGTTTGTTAATATATGTATATTAATATATACTTAATTAAAATTTGTCTATAGAAACATATCCAATTGTGAAAAGATTGAAGTTGTTTATATAAGTTATATTAAGTAAAATTATATAAACGCTTTTTTATTAATTTTAGCCTTCAATAACCCATAAGATATTAATACCTGATGCTCCTAAATTAACACGTCCTAACATACCATGATCTCGAGTTTTAACAATATATAAAAAAAGTAAGAGTGTGTAAAATAAATTGTTTCTACCCTGAAAAATATAAATGTTATGTGAATTAAACTTATATATATATATATACATTTTTATATATATATATATGAGAAGAATATTATTTACCCGTTGAATTTCTTCGTAATCAGTTGGCAAGGAATCGCCAGATAACGCTAAACAATAATGGGGTGGATTTACAGATTGGCACATTATTATAGGACCTTTATTTCTTGGTAAATCCATGCCTGATCGAGCCATATACCTCGATGAGAAAGGACGTGCATCTGGTTGATCTAAAGGAGCTTCTAATTGCGTATCCATATAAGTTGCTATTAAATGCATTATTACCTACAAATAATGCATATAAACATATTTGTGCATAGATAAAAATAAACTTTATTTTTTCTAAAGAAATAATCAATAATTTCTTACAGCTGAATCAGTCGGTAAACTAGAATCCCATTCTTTGCCATTATGCGAACCACCACTATTCCATTTGAATTCACTCATAGAACCTCCTTTGGCAAGCGTTTTAATTCTTTTTACTAAATATTCTTGATTGTTGGATAATTCTAGAAAAGGTACTAATGTAGGAAGCGTTGGTATCGTAGACACTAAAAATTGTGCTTGTGCCAATTTTCTCAGTCTATCCAAACCAATATGTCCTGGTTGAGAATCACTTAAACCATGACGAGTCAAAGATGAACATATGTTATCAATTTCTGTAGCAACTCTTTCGACAACAGTTTTACTAATCCACTAAAATAATTTCCATATAACACATAGACTCATAGCATATTTTTTGTTAATAAAAGTAATCATTTTAAAAAGAAATAGTATATACCATGCGAAGATTAGCAGTCCATTCATTAACTTTAATTGGATCAACTCTATATTTTCTCCAAACATCTGGAATACCAAAGGTACCTCTTGGCGAATTTCCTTCTTCTACACAAGGACTTGAAGATTTTGATTTATCTAGATAAAAATTACAATTATTTTTAACACAATAATAATTTATTTTATAAATATATATTTATATACAGGGTGGTAAAAAACAAGGTCCAATATTTTAAGGGCTTATAGTACTTGTAAAGAGGAATAAAAAATGTCCAATTGATATGATAAATGGGTCTTAAAATCAACCCTTTTAAATTAAACAAATTTTTATTATTTATAAGTATTCGATATCATAAGCATGTTTTTGGCAATATATTAAATATACACATAAGAATTTACTTAGAAATACATTAGTTCAAGGTTGTTAAGATACGTTTATTATGAAAATAAGCAAAAACTATTACTAATATCAACAAAGATTAATTCGTAGACATAAGCATAATATGTACAAAACATAGATATTCGATATGTCTATCTTCCATTTGAATGCAATTCTGATATTTAAAGATCATCGGTTAACGTACACTTTTAAATATTCTTTGAATTAGTATTGGAAAATAAAATATATGTTGCAAAATATTGGACTTTTTTTTCTTACCATCCTACATATTATTTATATATATATATATATATATATATATATATATATATATATATATATATACTATAATTTACCAAAAGACATAGTAGGAGCAAGTTGATAAGCACATCTTCTTAAAGCAGGAGAAACTTCATTGGTACTTCTAACAGCAGGATGTGTCCAAAATGAACTCAACAAATTGGAGGGTTCATCGATATTAGTAGAAAGTATAGTTTTTCTTTGTACGGATGCATCTTTTAAATATTTTTGCAATTCAGCTTCATTTTGGATGAAACTTTCGCTTGCTAATGTACTATTTATAGAAGAATTTAAAGATTTGTTCATAGATCCATTACCATTGAGCTTTAGTTTTGGAGACAATGCATTGCCATATTTAGCAAATGTATGTATTGAATAATCTTCTTCAACAAAATATAATTATATACAAAGTTTTTTTTCTCTATATGATAAATAAAGATGTATTTGTGATAATAATACATCAATAACAAGTAATTAAACTTTTTTACTTACTGCTTTCATTTAGCGAGGATCCAAGTGGTGTCACGCGTCTGTTAAGACTAATACAAGATAAATTTAAGGATGTATTCGATTCCATGGTTTTTTGTACAGGTGTTTCACTTTTGAAAAGTGGATCATCCTTAGATACTCCTAATAAAATTCTTTGTCGTGGACTTAATGTTATTGGCTGTATTTGAAAATTTGTCCAAGTATACTGTACTATATGATAAAATGCATTTATAGCAAATATCGATGCCAAAAACCATTCAATCCAAAAAAATGGTTTATAAGCTGTACCCCCGTATAATCTAAAATATAAATCATACATAATTAAATAATAATCAATACTAATAAATTAATTATATATATATAAATTAATTTTAAATTAAAATTTTAAACCTTACATATCTGTGATAATAATACTGACAAGAATACTGTTTATAAAGAACCATGTAATATTTTTCTTTGTTTTATTTTGAACTTGTTTTAAATGAAGAATTTGTTGAACTTGTGGTTTAGGTGTTAAATTTCTATAAATAAATTAATAATCATAATTATAGATATTTCTTTATATAAAATTATTTTGATTTAAAAAAATAAAATGTTATATTTTAGTTAAACGCATTCAAATTATATGAATTAAAATACCTTGCATTATGAGAAATAAGACGCATAGGGGAATGAAAATCTCCCATTTTTAAATATTTTACAAAAATATCTAAAAAAAAAATTTTAAACTCTTAACAATATATGTATGAATTATGTAATAAAAAATTTTATGTTTTCAATGTACAGAATCTTATATACAACGTTTTGTATGTAACAACAAATTGATCAAATCAATAATACCAACACAATCTGCGACCAAAGAAAAAATCTATAGCACCTAGTAGCGTAAGTGGTGACTCACGTTGTAGTAGCGGTAGCGTCTCGAAGTATTATCGATACCTCGCAAGGATCAATGCTTTAAGGAAGCTGATTCGCAGGAATCAGGACAAAGCAGAGTGTTCTGAACGTAATATGAATAATTTAAATTTCAATTATGTATGAGTGCATATAAAATAAATAAAATTAATACCTTATACGATTAATAATAAAATATACTTATAGATATACACATAATAAAGTTATATAAGTTAGGTTGGCATCATTGTTATGAGTCAGTTCCCACTAGTTTCATAAATTCTATCCTTTAAGTTGTAGGTCTGGCAATTTATTATAGAAGGAAATGTGGGTCGTATTACGTAGTGTTTCGTGAAGTGCGTACGTTTTACAACAGCTTATTTATTGATTATATTCGTAGCATTAACGGAATAAGCGATATTTCCTCTTGAAAATAATACGTTGTGAAGTAAGATTTTATCAAGGAATTATTTCGAGATTCTTTTTTAACGAGTATGTCTGAAGGGGAGATTTTAGCGTCTCAGAAGAAGCAGCAGCCATTTCAGCAGCCTCAGCAATTAGGACCGAGTTCAATGGCGAACATGGCGTGGCAGTATCCTTCACCAAATAACATGCACGCTATGTTTCCATCTTACCCAAGGTAAATATTACGTCTTACAATTATTATAATTCTCTATATATAAATATATATATATATTAAATAAGATTTATTAAATATCATATTTAATACAGTTCTATCATTTTTATGACTAATTTATAAGAATTGATATTAAAAAGAAAATGGAAGAGAGGAAGAGAGAGGCTGCTTAATTATTTTGAGATAATGGTTTTAATTATTTTCTTATTTTGTATAATTTGATATAGATCAAATAAAAATGTTGTAAGCAATTTATAAATAAAAGCCAATATTCCATTTATTTTTCATTCCTATTAAGAAATTTTAAATTTTTTACAATGAATAATTTTGTTTGTATTTTTGTTCTAGCCAATTGTATGGGACAGGATACCAAGGAGTATCGCATCAAGGTCAAATGTTTAATTATTATCCCACGATGGTGCCTGCCTATGGGCATGCTTTTAATCCACAGCAAATGCAGCAACATCCGCAGCATCAGCAACAACAGCAACAGCCACAACAACAACAGCCTCTTCAACAGCAGAATTCACAGGCAAATAATCAAATAAAACAACAACTTCATCAACAGCCTCCAGTACCTGGAACACCCATGACTTTAGACGACGATTCCGATCTTCCTCCTTTACCTCCTGGACCTCCTCCACCTCTTCAACCTACTCAACAACATAATCAGGTACAACCATCAATACAGCCTCATTCAGGATTTGTCTACGGTGCATTTTCTTATAGTAATTGGAACGGAATGCATAATGATATTTCTCGTAAGTATTCTTTGTAAAATTTGGATCTTATGTATACTGAGTGATTAACAGGTTGAGTGCCACGCCAATTTTACCGAGATTGTCCGTGGCGCCACGATGTGGAATATATTTCTATTAATCTTGGCACGCCGTCGATCACCGGTGGCCTCCGTGGCATTCAAACTGTTAAGGGAACTGGGACGGGTTATTGCTCATTTTTAAGCAAAAAAGAAAAAATGATAGAAGTAAAAACATTATTATTATTAATTGGCATTAGGAACTTGAAAGTTCATTGCCGATGTTACGACGTTAATGATATCCGAATTGTTATACAGTCAGTATACTTTTACGTTATGAAGAAAAAATATATGACATAATATATTCAAACGTCTTTATTATTATTTTTTTTTTTAATTTTACTTAACATATTGAACGCCCAGCGTGAATCATTGGAGTTTGCCTCGGGGCCTTAATCTGAGAATGATTCATTGTATACAGAGCGGGATAAGTGTGTATATACTTATATTTATGTATACACATGTGCTTTAGATTTTTCTTTGTTCAGATCTTTGTTTAGGCGGGAGTATTTACAGATGATAAGTTTGTGGTACAACGAATAAATAGGAAATATATTATAAATAATAAAATTCTAGAAGGTCATGGAACAGAAAAAGCATTTCGAGATAAGATCATTATTATTTATTTCTAATGTTTTTTGTTTGTTTACTTTATAGTTTACTTGATATTGTTTATACTCGTCATAATTATATTACTATAAATTACCGCCAAAATCTTGATTTAATTGGACGAAGAATAGTGTCAACCGTTTACGGGTAATGGGGCTCCCGTGGAAACATAACCGTTAATCAGATATGGGTGACGGGGCGTTTAACATGTTAAAAATAAGCAATAACTCTTCCAAGTTTCTAGAATCATCCTCTGTATAAGATTAATATAATTTAATAAAACTATTTTTTCTAGAATACAATGGACAAGTGCGATTCAATCTACAAAACAAGAAAGTTGGATTAGGATTTCCTCAATCAGGAAACAGTGGAGCTGCAAAGAAAAAACGTAAGAGGAACAAAAATCTAGCGGCACAATTCAACAATAACTTTCAGGGAAACAATGTAACAACAAATTTTGTATCGGAACCTAATCTTAAAGTGGAGCTACCACCTTTACCTCCTATTCAACATGAAATAGCTGTACCCCCTCCACCCATTGAAGAATCTCCTGATCCTATTATACCTGCCACTACAGCAGTCAGTGCATCTTCGAATACTAGTGTTCCGGTGGGAAATAATCCCCCTATTGCTGCATCAAATGCTAATCCAGTTGGGGATTGGCCTGACAGCTTAAAGAATTACGTGAACAGGTGTTATGAAAAGTGTAAAACAGCAGTTGACAAGGATCAGGTTGAAATAATATTAAAAGGGAAAATAACACGAGCTGCTAATGATGGTTCGCTTTGGGTAAAAGATTGGGACAAAGAGCCTTTACCTAGTATACACAGTGAACGTATGACTATGACGATAAAGCCTCAGAAGCCAGCATTAAAATTAAATAATCCTTTAGCCAATCCATTGGCCAATACACAGGGAGGCTTGCGCAAGCAAGGGCTTTCAACTTCTCTTGGAGCTAGGCTTGGCGCGCGTCTCCCTGTGGCCCATAGGCGATCAAGGTCAAGATCGAGGTCGAGGTCGAGGTCGAGGTCGAGATCGAGGTCTAGATCACGATCGAGATCAAGGTCTAGGTCAAGATCAAAGTCGAGGTCGCGGTCAAGATCAAGATCAAAGTCGAGATCACGTTCTCATACTCGTAGTCCCCCTTTAAGGAAGCACAGGCGTAGCACTTCCTCTTCGTCTAACGTTAGCGATCGGGACTATGACAGCAAATCGTTGAAAACGAAAAAATCAACACGAAAACAAAATCACAACAACAACAAGAAACCCAAGAAGACTAAGCAGACAAAATCACATTTCTATTCCGAGTTTGGTTTAGCTACAGGCAATAGCGATGAACTGGGGTCCAAGGAGAAACTTCAACAACGTGCGGCACGATTTAACGATCCCATTTCTAGGACATTCAACTGTGCCATTAGAGATGATCCAACCCCTGACTTTGACTTCACTGGACTTCACATCATTGGAACTTGCAAGGACTTAGAAAAGCCTTATTTACGCCTAACATCGGTTAGTCATTTCATTAACCATTTGAGTGTCAAGCAGCATGATCACACTTCTTCTTTCATAAAAGTGCCAACGCTCTAGGTGGCAAAGCCCCATAGTCACAGCAAACAAATTCGTTGCTTGTAAGGAGAAAAGAAGTGCTAACGCACCTCTCGGCAATTTTGAATGTTGAATATGACAAGCGTTATCGCGCAGCTTGGCTATTTTCGATCGAAAAACTAGAAAAATTAGTATTAATTTAATATATATTTGTTTAAACAAAATTATATGTGTATATTTTAGGCTCCTGCTCCATCTGCAATTCGACCGGTAAGTGTTCTTCAAAATTCGTTGGCCTATGTCAAGAATCGTTGGGTAGTGGAACAAGACTACAGATATGCTTGTGATCAATTAAAATCTATACGACAAGATCTTACCGTGCAAGGTATCAGAGATGCATTTACTGTCCATGTTTATGAAACCCACGCTCGTGTAGCTTTAGAACGTGGAGATCATGAAGAATTTAATCAATGTCAAACACAATTAAGAATGTTATATCAAGATGTGGGTGGTGAAAATAGATGCGAGTTTGTGGCATACCGTATATTATATTATATTTTTACAAAAAATACTTTAGGTAATTATAGAAAATGATTAAATAATAATAATAATAATGATAATGATAATAATATGAATATGAATATGTTACATATGTTTGTATGTGTTTATATGTGTACACATTGAATTTTTTTAATATTATAACTTTTTTTTTATTTATTACAGATTTAACAACAATTTTAGCATCACTTACTAACGAAGATAAAAAAGATGAATGTATTAAACATGCATTGAAAGTTCGTTCAGCATGGTGGCTGGGTAACTTTCATGCTTTATTCAAGTTATACAGAAATGCACCAAGAATGGCTGCGTTTCTGATGGATTGGTTTGCTGCCAGAGAACGCAAGATTGCTTTGAAGCAAATGATAAAGTCGTAAGTACAATATTATTTTCAAATTATTTATCATTGCATATATATATTATTATGAATTAACAATATGGTGACATTTTATTTGATACGATGCATATGGTACTTAATTTTTCAATATTCAATCTAACAATTTTTAACTAACAATAAGATAAGAATAAAGTATATAATTTTAAATAGTTAGTTGTAAATTGTAAATATAATTACTTTTTTTTTTATTTTTATTTTATTTTATTAAGTAGGACTTGAATATAAAAGCAGATATATATATTTAGATATATTTATATATTTATATTTATTTATATATTTATCTTTGTATATTATAAAATACACAAATTAGATTTAATGTCATAGATACATAATTAAAGAATAGAGAGAGAATGGAATTATAATTATGAAGATTTCTGTTACAGGGTACTGCAGCTGAAAGTTAAATTTTTTTTTATATCTATATATATGTTTATCATTCATATTTTATGTTGTTTTATATATACATATACGTGTGCATCTATACGTGCATACGTTTATGTATATGTATATATATATATATATATGTATATGTGCAATTTATTCATCTAACATTTGTATTTCTTTCTTCTACTGTTTAGTTACCGGCAAAATTTGGCGGTTGATTTCATCGTAGCAGAATTGGCCTTTGAAACATTGGACAAGTTCTATGAATTTGTCAGTGAATTTACGTTGGTTTATGCTGATCCTGAACGGCGTCTAATCGACTGTAAAACAAGTAGTGGTTGTCTAGGTGGTTGGTAAAGAAATATTTTTCTTACCTAATTCGCTGTAAATCATTAAGCGAAAAGCACTCTCTATATATATGCATATACAATAAATATGTATATGCATATACGTTTTCTAATTTGACATAATACGTACGTGTAATAACTTCTCATTTACACGTTTATATGCATATGCATATATTCCAAAGTTGGAGCGGGTTCATTTATTTTTTCTGCTCAAAGGGCTGGATATAAACCAATTCTTTTGTATAATTTCCAATCATTGTCATCGATTGGGAATGGTTTATAGCCTGAGCAAAATCTTACTACTCGAAACATTCTTGAGGAATTTGTACATTATTCTTATGCACATCATGGATAAATTTTCTGAATTTGTGAATTATGAATACGGTAGAAAATATAAAATTATAATCATTATTTGATGAATTGGATATCATAAAAACAAACACGAAGAAAACAGAGCAAGAAAGATCAAATAATTTTTTCATTTGTATCTTGTATTTCTCAATCAGATTCGGTATGAAACCGAAAGTGATGAAGAATAAATTGGAGGTGGCAAGAAATTCGTTTTCTTCATAAAAGATTTTTTTCCTTCATTGTCTCCTATTGTTAGTTTTAGAAACAAAATAGTCCATATTTTTCTTCTCATCATTTGAGTGCCAGGTATTCCAATGAATTATTCGAATTCTTGGTTAAAATGTGTAGATCATTCTTTTTGCTACACGTTTTATATGAAGATAAAATAACCAAATGTAAGAAGAGGAACATATTTCTGAAGATTTTGATTTGTGTGTCTGTGATAAACTGTTTTCATCGCTAATCAAGAAATAGACTACTCTCATTCAATTCAACAAGTGTTTTCTCATAGAATGTCTTCACTTATTCTCTATGGGAAGAGAGAAAAAAATTGTGACATTTCGCAGACAGCAACTTATGAGGCATACAAAAATAAGTGGTGATTGAGATTCAATACAAGAAGATTTATAGAACACAATGATTTATTATCAAGGATGATGATGCAAAGCCGCTGTGTTCTTTTTAGGAAAATACAAATAAAATAGTAACAAAATAACACCAGCAAGAAAATAAACTTTAATATCACTTTTTTTATGCTGGACATTTGTAAATATATATCTTATATGAATAAACCAAGTTCTAGTTTTATAATATTTAGTTCAAAGAAGTAATTCAAAATGATTGGCTTGTTATTCGATTAAGAAAAACAAACCTTTTCTTAAGGTTTAAGGAATATGTAAGATTTTTAAATTGGGGGAAAAGGTAGATATTAAATTGTAAGATAAAATACGTGTATAATGTTGTGCATAATAAATTATTTAATTTTTCGAACATTTTTGTGTTATATAAATCAAATCTAAACGCACTTTCAGTTTATTAATTGCGACTAGTTTTATCATTTATCAATACCTGTGTTATAAATCATAAATTGGGCATTATATATGTATGTGCTTTATCATATACATATTTGTTATAGAAATATTATCAATGTAGTGATGCTATGTAATATGTAACAAATAATATAAGCTAAAAAGAAAATTTTGATTATCAATTATTTGAATACCATAAAATATTTACCATAGTCGACCAGCGACCTTATTTTAAAGCATTATATATCTCAAAATTTATGATAATACAAAAGTAATAATAATACTGTATAAATACGTGCGTGTCTAAATATAACAAATGTATCAGAAAAATACAAATTGATCAATTTAGAACTTGATCGTCAACAAAAAGACAATAGATAAATGATATTTYAATAATAATAAAAATAAGATTTTTTTTAAAAACACAATTTACACAATATAACCAAAAGAATTTTTGTTATATGAGTCGTTAGCTATTATAGAGTGCGTTATAATAATAATCTTATATACTACGTGTTTTCGTTTTGTTTTGTTTTTTTTTTCTTATTTTTACTATCTTTTTTCTCTTTTCTAATGATATACAATATGTATGTATATTAATAATACTCGACATATAATATGCATTTTAACAAATGAAGCACTAACGAAATAGAAAAATGTTTAACATTAGATTTCTTATTATTGTTGTTGTTGAAGCATAGTGTCTGAAAAATTGGAATCAGTATGATCGGTACGGTTTTTTCGTGCTGATTGAATTTATACCGATAGGGATACGAAACTGTTATACTGAGTAATGTTGCGTTTCAAAATGTCAGCACAAGGTCCTAAGACACGTTCAAATCTGGCTCTGTCTAATTTGACGCATTTTAAAGGACCCCTTGCTACAACTGTTGCTGCTCTTGGTCGATCCAGTAGTAATGCTATTTCTCCTATAAATTATTTACTATTAGATATTAGTATATATAGATGTATGCATAAAGTAAATACATAGAGAAAGATTATTAATAGTATCATTACAACAATAGGATAATCATTTGTTCCACCATGGATGTATATACATATATAAACTATCAAAATTTGAATAAACATAAATTACTTGTTATAATATGATATAAAAATGTTACCAAAATAATCAGATGGACCTAAACGACCCACTTCCGCTGGTTCAGGAGGTTCCGCTCCTTCCGAACGTTGTTGTAATACTACAGCAGTTCCTTCAACAATAATGTAAAAATCTTCACCAGGTTCACCTTGTCTTACTATCATTTCTCCATCATCAAATGCAACTGGTTCTAAGGCATCAGCCACTGTAAGTCTTTCCCATTTGTCTAAAGATTCTACAAATTAAAAAAATCAATAAGTAAAAAATGAAAAAGAAAATTATATTTCGATAAAAGAATCTTCAAAGTATATGTACCTAAAATCGAGACTCTGGAAAGAAATTCTTCATACATTTTTCGTTTCCTGATTGTCGAACCCATTAATATTCGACGATAGGAATCCCTATCTATGCCCCATAATTTAACATCAGTTTTGGCCCTAACTGTAGCAGCACGTGGAGTCCCATAAATTAATGCAAGTTCACCGAAACTTCCACCTTCTCCAATAGTCGTTACTAATTCACCATTAACGAATATTTCAACCTCGCCTTGGTCGATTACGTAAAAGTTGTCACCTTCGTCACCTTTAAAGGAAACAAAAAAAATCAATAAATTCAAGTAAAACTTATCTATATCTATGCATGCATCTGTATGTACGTCCTTACAAAACTAAGGAATAAAAAGAAAAAGAAGCTAAATAAAATCGAAAATTCATATAATATATATATATATATATTATATACGGGGTGGGCCAAAAATTCCCAGATAATTTTTCAAAAATTAACTCACAATTTTTTGTTAATATTTTTGTAGATTGCAAAAACTGTAAGCTTAGGAACTTATGACCTACTTTATGTGTGTATGTATGAGTTAGGACTTGACCTTGACGTATGATCGCTTCTCCAGGTAAAAAGGTAACAGGAAACATAGCATCGAATATATCAGATCGCTCATTTTCATCGAGATGTGCAAATAGAACATTTTTAGCGATAGCTTTGCTCAAAGCAGCCATTGTTTTGTAATCCTTCGGTACAACTTTTTTAACATAGCTAGTTGCATCTTCTTCTGATACTGGCTCTGCCGAGATACCACCACGACGTCTTGGAACTTGTGGTCCTTGTTGACCAGCAGGCATATCCTCGGTGTCCTCAGGACTCGTAGCGATTTGTTGTTTTGCATCGTGAGCTTGTTCCTTTAAAATTTCATTTAAAACTAATAAAATTGAAATCATTTTTTTTTTAAGGACACCATACGCAAATCTTATTAATATCAAAATCATCTATTTCTACCCTTTACCCCATATCACCATTGAATTATTACAATGTTTAATTAAATAATATGTAATTATTAAAACTATGATCTTTTAAAAGAAAACAATTATTTTCGAATCTAAAAGTCATACTTTCTATTTCTTCTTCTTCTCCTCATACTTCTCTTTCATCTAACGTTCATCATTAAATCGTTAAATAATAAAAAATATGGACCATATGCAAAGAATAGAATCGAGAAGAAGGGAAAGGAAGGTAACGAATAATGGCATAGGTCAGTTGACGTTCTCAAACACGAGTGCTTTTATAAGCATTAATAATCGTATATAAACGATGCTTTTATACGAGGCATTAACATCATTGATTTTATACAAATCTAGTAATACATATGACAAAAGAATTGAATATAAAAAAAAAAAAATCAAAAATAATAATAAAACATCAAAATGTGTCATTAATAAAAACAAAAAAGAAAAACCGCGCGGTTTTCAAATACATTTTTTGATAGTCCCGATGGGAAGTCAAATGAATAATTAAAAATTGAATGAGAAGTAAAAATCAATTTAATAATAATATATTCTCTTTTTTTTCTCTTTCTTATATTTAAATTTCTGAAAGACGACATCACAACACACACATACCTGGTGACTCATCCTTTATGCTGGTCGTTTAGCGTTATTTTTCTTCAAACACGTAAAAATATAACGGGATATTCAAAAATTCGATCAACAGAAAGAAAAAGAAAGAGATAACGAAGAGAAAGAGAGAACGCGAGCCCGCTCTTTTTTTTGTACTACGTTGATCTTTATGAAATGTACCGCCGGTATCGTTTGCGAAACACAATCCCAAAATATAATGATAATGACGATGATAAACGAAGTATTTCTATGAAAAGAAAACGAAAAATAAAAGAAAAGAAAAAACTGTATATACCGGAAATATGTAAAAAAATTAATTCAAAATGAAAATTGAATAAAAAGGAATAAAAAGACAAATATGTTAATCCTCAATTCGTTCTTCTCGTTCTCGTTCCTCGTAAAGTGTTACAGATCAACTTAGTACTTTTTCTTTTTTTTCTCGCACGTTGCCTTCTAAGGTTTCCCTGAATCTGATTAACCGATGACCCTAACAACACACCACGTTCGATGATGCCGCGCTATCTACTTGCTTTTCGTTACGGCGGCGACACTCTTGCACTCTTTTCTTTTCTCTCTCTCTTTCTATCTCTTTTCCACTACCTCCTCCTCGTCTACAGTAATTAGTATTTGTAGAATCGAAAGTGAGACGTAGAGAGGAATCGAATGAACAAGTAACTTAGCTATAAACTAGCTACATACCTAGCGAACGAATTCAATTTATCAACTGATGTCTACGAACTAAACGTCGTATTCGACGCTTTGATCTTTCAGTCTTCTTCTTCTCTCCCTCTCCTTTCTTTTTTTTTTTTAAGTTTCCAAATTTTTGGAGAACCCACGTCGATATGTGTATGCGTTAAGTTTGCGTGCCTCCTGGCTAAGGTTTTGCCTTGTTATATTTCGAGCATATGCTATGTTTAGATCCCGTGGCCCCTGTGCAACATGCTTACCTCCTCCCTTCTATCATTTCCCCTTCTACTCTTTCTCTTTCTCTTTCTTTTGCCCCAGTCTTCTATTACCCCCACCCTGCCTCTTCACTTTTCTCATGTTCATCTACGCGCGAACCTTCTCTCCTTACCTCTCTTTCTTTCTTTCTTTCTGTCTTKCATATATTTTACTTGATATATATTGTCTCTTTTCTTATACACGCGTGCACATCTACTATGAGGGAAAATAATAACCTCCTCTAACAAGATACCAACCTCTTCCACACGAAAAGTGTCATATCCCTCTTCACCCCCCCCCCCCGACTTATATACGCTTTACTTAAGTTTATCTTCGATTGATATCGAAGAGTAGCAGTTTTTAATCTCTTTTAAATTCATCTGTTTATTTTTTATACATGTCTCCTGTTCTCTGCTCTCGTATGTGTTGCATATACATTTATATTCGAGATTGTTTTGCGCACCTTTCGCTCGATGTCGTCATGGCCATGATTTTACGTCATCGTTATCGTACCGTACCAATTTCATCTTCCTTTCCCTCTACCTTTCCATTCTTTACCCCGTCTTTCTTAACGTATCAATTACACTACTACTCACATTACTACCACTACTACTACTACTACTACTGCTATTACTACTACTACTGTTTCTACTACTGTTGCACTATATTGACACATTGCCGATGATATGTAGATAAATAACGATACAGCCGTCGAAAGTCATTTATAAAAAATTAAAAACAAATGTGTTTTTAAGCACGATCATCAAATTAAAAGTGTTTGGCAACGTGTTAAAATATGTTTTAATGACGGATAAAAAACTGTATATACTTATACAGTAGTTATATTATATAGTCGGCGATATTGATTTTGAATATAAAAAATTTAGAAAATTGTTTTCTTTTCAATTATAATGTATTATTATTATTATTAGAAGTTAAATTTCTTTGTAGTTCATATTTCATAGATTATTTTTTTATCGATGTAAATTAATGTTTTCGATATTAACTAAAAAGTCTTTTGGTTATTTTTATGTCAATTGAATTCATAATACAAAATTTTGGTTGTAATCAAAATAGACAATAAGATTTTGATATTGAACATATATATTGTCACATGCATATATTATTCGAATGTTTATTAAAACAATGTTTATGCATACGTATTTTGAAGCAATAGAAAAATTAATAGAGAAAGTTTTTAATATTTTTTCTTAATACGAATAAATATAATTGTACGTAAATAATATATTGTCGATAATATGTTTTAAATCTATTTACATTAATCTATATTATTAGTATTATTAAAATTTTAACTTCACAATTGCTAGTACTGACAAATTAGCAATTTGGAATATTTATTTTATATTACTATATTAATGAATATTTTAAATAATATGAAAATGAATAACACAACGCGATAATACTTAATAACACATTAAGTTGTTTGATAGGATACATATATTTTGTATTCTTTAATACCATTGTAACGTTTTTTGTTCTATAACAATCATATTGTCAAAAATGTCCACATATAAGGTTAAAAAATCATTTCAAATACATACCCTTTCCAATTTCTGAAAATATTCTCTCAGGAAGGATATTGGATTTTGAGGTCTGCCCACACAGAGTTGCACTATACAATCTTTTAAAACTTGTTTAATGTTATGTCTTTGAACGTATTCCTCGCACTCCCGTAAACTTTGTTCTTCCTCGAGATTCGCCGCCATATTGATGAACAACTCAATACTTTATTGCCAGTATCTTCTTAAGAATCCTTCACCCAAATCGATTATTTGAATCATCTCGTGTTCTCAGCGATACACGATAATGATGATTACTTTAACAGCAAGTAATTTTATTCATCCAGTTGTCTTTATTATTCATAGCGATATATGTATAAATATGTACATACACACTTAGATCAAAATTCTAAGGCCGCAATAGATAACAGGTTAAATTTGTTTTACACGAAAATCTAAAAAGAAAAAAAGACAAATGTGATTTTATCATCTGTTGATAATTTATTGTTGTTGATGAATTTATATATAAAAAATTGTATGACGATCAAATAATACATACCATTAATTATGATGTACAAGACAGTAATGACGTCTCATTTTGCTATGACATTACACCTTATGAAAATGTTATACTTTTACGAACAACAAAGTTATTAATACTCATTATGGTAATTTGCATAATTCTTAACATGAAACTCTATCTCTCTCTTTTTTTCTCTAAGTCGCAACAGATACAAAAAAAATAATAATATTAGAAAGTCACTCCACCTAAACCTATTAACTATTGTTTGTCTACTCGTACCAATGTACCAAATAGAAATGCGTCAATTCTATGATCCAAGTGAGATCGAGTTAATACTCGAATTTGATCGAACTAAATCGAATCGTATATCGAACAATCGATATATCTATCGAATGTTCTTTCATTAGAATTTACGATTATTTAATAATTTAAATATAATTGCAAAGCTTTTTAGAACGATATTATAGTGACATCTATTGTACAACTCAATAATGTTACCTACTATCAGTAATATCATTTTCTATTTTATTACATATTGAAAGATAAATAATATTTTTAAACTAGAAACTACGTTAAACGTATAACTATTTCGCAGAAATTTGTATAAAAATAATAATTTACATTACGTTTGTTCTTTCTTTCTATAAAATATCAAAATATACAAATATATAATTTTAATTGATACAACATCGTCAATATGTTTAACATATAATTCTATTATGTGTGATTATTTCGATCATTATTAAAACTAGGTTTACATACAGACAAGCCATTTTGACGCATTTCAAATTTCACAATGAAAATTACAAAAACCGTTTACTTTCCTGTCTTTTATTATTTTACATATGTTCATATGTAGTGACTCTTATTCATTTAATTAATGAGATAAATTCATTTTTTTCTTAGCCTTTTAATATTGAAGTTAATGGAAATATAAGTTATTTTTTAAAGAAAATATGTGATTTCCTTCACGCATCAATTTCACATGTGTTGATAGACAGGTATATAAGAAATTTCAATAAACCTAGTGTTAATAATAATTTATATTCATTTTTTACACAATTAAAATCTTTATTAATTATAAACTATCTATTTCTAATCCTGGATTATCGTAAACTTTTTTTACGCTTTGCTTTTTCAAAGTATCGTCAGCCCAGCTTTGTTTCTCTCCGGATGCAAAAATACCGTAAATTACAGCACCTAAGAGATAAACTGTACCAGCGATAATAAATACCGTTCTCCATTCTGTTGCACTCTAAAGTAAATCATTTAATATTATTTATTTTAAAGATTGTTTATAATTATTTATAAATATAATCAATAAATTAATTAAAATTTATTAAACTCTTACCTTGTTTTGAACAACATATCCCGTTATAATGGGACTTACGACTCCTGGTAAAGTTGCTATTGTATTACCTATTCCCATTAAAACACTGGCATGTTTTGGTGCAATATCCAAATGATTGACACTGTAAATAAATAAATATCTAATAAATAGTAAACACTCAACTGTTTATTATCGATACATTTAAATTTATAATTTATATGAGTGTACAATTGAATTTGAAAAATTACCCAAAACCAGACCAAGCAAAGCCACCAAGGCCAACCGCTATGGTAATACAGATAACAACTGTGACTTTAGTCGAGACAAAAGCGGCGCTGGTCATGAAGATCGTTTGAAAGATAAATGCACCGCAATTAAATAGTTTACGAACCTAGGATTACGAAATAAAGTATATTATTGTAAAATGACAATACCTATGGTCACTTATTTTCGTTTTTTTCTTTCCGTCATATTTAAATCTTTGAACAGATTTGATTAGAATAAAATTATGAGAATACCTGAGTGGTCGTTAAGATTTTCTTTGTTCTTAAATAATCAGCCAGTTGACCGGAAAACTGAACAACTAAGGTCATCGCCAAATATGGAAGAGCAGACATAAAACCAGTTGCTTCCAATTCAGATTTGAGCACGTCTAATAATATCCAAATTTAATTCCATTATTATCGTATATCGTAAAAAAAAATAATCGGATGATTATTTTAATGACCTTTCATAAATGTTGGTAATTGTGTCAACATGGTATAAAATCCCCAATTTTCACTGAAGTGAGCAGCAACAATAGCCCAAACAGGTGGAGAAGTCAACATAGCTTTCCATGGATGTTTTATTTTCTATAAGAACAACAAATAAACAAATAAAATCAATATAGAGATATATAATATTAAATATTTATAAATTAATTATATAAATGAATAATACATTATAGAAAGAAATATTTTTGTACTAACTATTTTGTTCGTAGTTACACCGATACTACTTTGAATATATTGCAGTTCGGCTTCAGATATACGAGGATCATCTTCAGGATGATCTTTGACAAAGATCCACCATGCAATGAACCAAATAATTCCTACTACACCAAATACATAAAAAACTGAAGGCCAACCGAAATGTTCAGCCATTATCCCAGAAATAGGCATAGCAAAAACGGTTCCTAAGAAACTACCAGAGAATGCAAGGGTTGCTAATTTTGATCTTTCTAATGGGGGTGCCCAATGAGCCCAAATTGCATGTATACAGGGGTATGTAACACCCTGTGATAAAAATTACAGAAAAATTTCAAAATGTATATATCGATTAGATAATATAGTATTCATATTTATAAATTTGAACCCTTACCTCACAAATTCCTTCAACAATACGTAAAGCAACTAGAATATATACACTTATTCTGACAAGAGGAGGTGTAATAATCGTAAAAAATGCTGTTGCTGCAATACCAATTCCAAACACTCTTTTACCTCCAATTCTGGCACCCAACCATCCACCAAATAATTGGGTACTTATATATCCATAAAAAAATGAACTCAAAACAAGTCCTTTCGTTTTCGAATCCCAATCAAATTCTCTTTTCTACACGAAATATTTTTTTGTATTATGTGATCAGTCATCATTATCATAGTTAACAATTTTTAATAAAAAATTTGTATAAATATATTTATATTAATATTAAATTAAAATTAAAATTTACCCGATAAATATTTCCATTCTCATCGATTTTATCTTCGGTCATCGCAACTATGGCTACACTTAAATTAACACGAAGTATATATGAAGTGAAAAATCCTAAAAATGCTAAAATTGCCACAACGTATCTTCTCTTCTTCCAAAATTTCCACGATGATTCTTTGATATCATTTTTGTATTTGACACTTAAAAAAAAAAAAATTAATCATTTACTTTTATCGTTAAAAAATGAAATTTTTTTCTTAGAAAATCTTCGATAATTTCTTACTCTCCGTATCCTTCACTTTTCGTTGTATCTGCGCTCGTATTTTTTACTTCCATTGTATCCTAAAACACAGATTATAATAAAGATAAAATCTAAAAATATATGTATGCATATATACGTACAAAAAAAGGCATATGATATATTTGTGATAACCATTTACTGACGTAAAAGTGAAATTTTGTTTGAAAAATAAATACATTAAAAATACAATTGTAAAATATGAAGATTATTAAAAAGAAAATTTTTTGATAAAATAATATAAGATGTACAAATATTATAACGAAATATTTTTTCTAATTAGCCTAAATACTTGTTTTTTTTTTATTTTCAATCAAAATTTCACTAATACCTCATCAGAACTCGTTGTAATCAATTTTTCAAGGACACTAGTATCCATAGAAATCCTTTTGTGTGACATTTTGCTCTTGTTTATCTTAAATATTCACTACACCTGTATTAAAATAACAATAGCATTTATGCACGTGTCGCGAACAATTTTCAAAGTGACGTTTTCATATATTCTTACGTATTTGTTACGATAAATGAGTAAGTTTAAAAAAAAAATGTATATATGCAACACACAATTGGCTATATATTTCTTTTTACAACGCACCTGGAATCGTAAATTGTGCAGCGAAAACGATATGCAAAAAAATAAAAAATAAAAGAAAGAAAGAGAGAGAAATAAAAAGAAAACTAAATCGTACTTATTGTTTGGTTTGCTTTCATTTTCTTATTCATATATGTTACTGTAAAAGACCGAAATTGGAAAATGTCAAAATTCACATGATCGCTTGATGTAAAACCGAAATATTAATGTATAAAAATAAACCCAAATATTCGGTCTTTCACCGAAGTATTTGGTGACATACGTCGAACTGAAATTTTTTTTTATTAAAATAATATAAAAAATAATATATAAAACCGATTATCTAAGTATATCTTTCATTTCTATATGATTAACAAAAAAGATGATATACATAATATTTTTTTGAATTTATCAAAAAATACAGATAAAAATTTCATTTTATCTTTTGTATCTTTTCCTCGTCATATATATAATTTGTGCAAATATATATGAATAATATATTTTTTTTTCTTTTTCATCAATATTCTAAGCACATATATTTATATAAAGTTTATATATATTGAAATTTTTACATAAATATTAATTATATTTTCTAATTTATCAAATGAGACGAAAAAATGTAATTTATTATATATATATATCTTTATCTCTTTCTGTAACTCGTTCGCTCAATCGTTAATTTGTCTGTCTCTTTCTCTTTGTCACAAAAATTTCAAACATATGATTACACATTACCATAACAATAATTTATCATCAATCACTATCACAAAAACTTATCATATAAAAAAAAAAGACATAAAAATCAATCACAAATTTTTAAATATTTGTTTTGTTCTTTAATATTTACATTCTTTTAATACGTACACACATGCATACATACATTCATACACGATTATGATTACGAATAAATATATACAAATGTAAAAACAAAAAATACGAGATAGACAATTATACAAATTGTTTAATATTCTTTTCTTTTTTCAATTTTGAAATTTTTTTAATACATATTTACATACATACATATATATATGTATATATACAACCGTACAAAAAGGCAATCAACCGGAGACTAACTTGGTCTTGATTCTGTTAAAAGGTTCAGCAAGAAAACTTGACGACTTTCACTTCGTGCTCAGTGGCACACATAGGAAGTACGATTCGCAATCTCGTAAATATTTAAGCTTAGAATATCTATCTTTTTATTTAAATAAATATTAATCCGCTATTTATAATAAAATGTGTGATAAAGAAAGATTTTTCTTAATAATTATTTTTATCTTAAACTATATCGTTCGAATGAATCAATCTTGTTTATTTTTTCATAATATTAACTTGATCCACAGCAAACATGAATCGCGTTTTAAGTTACTATAAAATCTATTATATCGATTATATTGATCGTATATGTGTGTGTGTCAATAGTGCATTTACTAAAAGGACGATTGATTTGTGAAAGTCGTGACCATGAAATATCATGGATATTTAATCTATAAAATTGATTTACGTCAATGTATTGTCAAAGTTGCAATAATATAATTTTATACATAAATTATAATAAATGATTATATGATTAAATATTTTTCTTTACAATGACAATAAAAAATATTTTAAAAACTAAGAAAATATAACATGTCAATTATATTATATACACACTTCCGGTAGATTGTTAAATTTGTCTCATCAAAAGGATTATTATCTTTTGAATTACCGAAGCAGAATAAATGCTAAGGACAAATGCATTAAAGTAGTTATTACGTACGGGATTGTTGTATTGCAAATGAGTTCATTTAAATAATTTAAAAAGTAATTTTTTTATCAAAGCTTATATGAATTTAAAAAAAGGAATGATATATATTTAAATAAATTATTTAAATAAAATCATAATATATACTTTACTAATGTATTAACGTAGATAAAATCCAGCACAAATCGTTACAACCCGCCACAAGTGATATTAAAAATACGAAAAGTGTGCTTCTCTAGTCACGTGATACACTGATGCACGTGCCAGAATAAACGTATGGCGCCATCTCTGAAAATATATAGAAACTTCGTAAGTACATTGTATGCACATTGGAACCGCGTAACTCTTTACAACACATATCTATCTTAAGCCACCTTGAAGATACTTTATGAATCATTTGATAGAAAATTGTGCATACATTCGTCCAGAAAGAAGTATTATTGAAGAATTATTATTACAATTTTTTTCATTTATTTCACTTTTATGCAATTACTCTTTGTTCTAATAATAATTTTATTGCAATACATTGAAAACGCATTTTTTTATTTAATTAGAAATAAATCTTATGAAATATAAGATTAAATTTATTTTTTAATATTTTTTTTCTGTTTGATTCGCATGTTATTTCTTGTCTGCTATTTTTATGCAAATACAATGTCATGGGAAGTACCATGATTGATATTTTATTTTCTGTAATAAAAGTAAGTTGATTTTGTTTTTTTCTTTTGGATTAAAATTATTTTTAATTTTCTCTGCGTAATTTTATTGAAAGATACGAATCTATCTTTTGTTTACATTTGTACAACTATTGACGGTTCGTCAGGTTTCACTAATGCATTTCATGAGTTAGTTAATATACCTGTTACATTATCTAAGAATGGATAGTCTTTTTACTCAGAGTATATGCGACGATTTAGAAGATATACCACAAACGGACCAACCTGTCTGGATTCTTGGAAAAAAATATCATGTTAAAACTGGTATATGTATACATGCTGTTATTTACATATGATTATTATATACAATTATTGATACACGATTGATAATAAATGGATTAATATTGTATTTCAGAGTTAGAAGAAATACGTAAAGATATTTTGTCTAAATTATGGTTTACTTACCGTAGAGGTTTTATTCCCATTGGTGGTTTTAGTTCTTCATTTACAACTGATAGGGGATGGGGCTGCATGTTAAGATGTGGCCAAATGGTTCTTGGTCAAGCCTTAATCTTTTTACATTTAGGTAATACATTCATAACGTTACCTTATTTGACTATTTTATTATTTTACCTATCAATTTACCATAGAAAACATTCTATGATGATAGGTAGAGATTGGCGTTGGACATCAGAAACAAATAATACAACGTACCTGGAAATATTGAAACGCTTTGAAGATAAGAGAGCTGCTCCTTTCTCCATTCATCAAATAGCATTAATGGGAGCATCAGAAGGAAAAGAAGTTGGACAATGGTTTGGTCCAAATACCATTGCACAAGTATTAAAGTATACACCTTGTTTAATTAAATATTCATCCGATAAAAGATTATGTTAATAATATAAATTAATCATGATTTACTTTTTATTCAATTGTTTTAGAAAATTGGTTGTGTACGATGAATGGAGCTCTATTACAATACATGTAGCTTTGGATAATACTTTAATAGTTAATGATATCTGTAAGTAAATTGCAATATGATGCTTATTATATTTTAATTTTCACATTTATTTTTAAATTTATAGTAAGACAATGTAAAGTGGAGGGAGGTACAACAGTTGAAGTAGATGGTACAGAACCATTGAAAGCACCGAGCCAATGGAAGCCTTTATTACTGTTAATACCACTTCGTCTTGGTTTGAATGAAATTAATCCTGTTTACCTCGATGGACTTAAAGTAATATAAAAATAATACTAGTACTTGCATGAACAACCAAAGAAGAAATTATGTCTTTGAAGAACAAAGATATTCAAATTGAGCATATATCATTTTTTAGACTTCGTTCAAGATCCCACAATCTCTGGGAGTAATCGGTGGAAAACCAAATCTTGCTTTATATTTTATTGGTTGTGTTGGTACGTCTAAGAAATAAACTTTGATATATATTTTTTAACGTAATATTATTTTATCATTTTTGTGTAATAAATAATAAAATTAAAACGTGATATATTTTAGGAGATGAAGTAATTTATTTGGATCCACATACGACACAGCGTTCAGCTAGTATCGATGATGAGAGAGATGTGGATCTCACATACCACTGCAAATCTGCTAGTCGTATTTCTATTACAGACATTGATCCCTCCGTAGCACTTGTAAGTATAACAAGTAATTTATCATGTCATATAAAAATGATTTAAATATGTAATCGTAATTGTAAATAAATTCTATTTTTTACAGTGCTTTTTCTGTGCTACAGAAAAAGATTTTAAATCTATGTGTAAGACAATGCAAGATGAATTGTTGGTATCTGCGAAACAACCATTATTCGAGTTGACTGCAGAGAGATTAGTTAATTGGTCACCAGCTGAAGACGTATCCGAGGCAATGGGAGCTAGTAATTGTAAGTTAATGTAGAATTGATTACTTATATAAAGTTTTATGTATTTAAGATAGTTTTTAGAGACTTTGATATATTTATTTATTATTAGTTTTAGACTTTGAACACATAGAACGTCAATATGATACATCGGACGAAGACTTTGAGCTACTTGGTTGACATTTAATAAATGAAATGACAAATAATCGATTTGAACAATTTAATTGTTCTTTTTTCTTTTTAATAAGAAAATGTATGTATTATTTGTCCTGCTAATTTTGACATAAAATTTGATTTATAATTTACTATTATTACTGATTCGAATCATTTTAAAATCAATGTGTCTTTCTGCTATATGTCTGAAGATAATTATATAAAAATTTAATAATTCGCATATACATACAAATATTCCATACAAGATAAAAGATATGGAAGTGAAAATGACATAAAATGGAAATGGAGATACTGCAATTATTCAATCATTATATTTATATAAATCTCTTTACAATGCAAAGTTAAAATATATTATATCCACTATAAGGAAATAATATTTGTCAAAAATTCGTCAAAAACATTAGGAGAATATTTCTTATTAGTTTTATATTTGAATAATATTGCAGAACTGTTTTATATATGTATATATAAAAACAGTTAACCAAGTATAAATATCGATTAAGAAAATGTTTTTTATAAAAAATCGAGTAGAACACAAAATTTATCGTATTACTATTTAATAAATAATCACGATTATACAGAATTTATAAAAATGGTACCCGTAAACTATTTATTATAAATTGTACATTCTATTTTGAAAAAAAAACACATACCACGATGTTCTTCAAAATATAATGCTTTATATATATAGAAAGTGTATACGAATATTGAATACATAGGAATATTTTATTCTGCTGATTTTTTATTGGATACATTTGTAGGCACAATCATCGCCACACACACACACGCTGGCGTGACACATATATTGTTTTTCAATAGAATTATTATAAATATAATTAGAAAAGAGCAAGTGAGATATAAATGAAATTCAAATTTCTTGCATATTTACATTTTGTAGACACATTTTAAAATATATATATAATAACGTTTTATTAATATGTTTATAGCATAAAAAGATTCGCAGCATTCATAAATTTATCTAGAGGATTTTCAAATATTATCTCGCATAATCAATTATGTACAATATTTTTACATATGCGATGTAAATTTCATACGCGTGATCATTTTCATTAATATATCAACACAAAATAACTGCTAAGATATTAGAATATTATTCTATTGTTGGTATTACATTTCTCCCCGACATATATATTTTTAAATGATTGCTTATATCAAATCATACATATACAAATATAATTATATGTACAAATCGCGCTGCGTATAACATTTAAAAAGTTCATCATCAGATATATTTGATAAAAAAATAACTATTCATCTTATTCAAATTTTACAATGTATTCTCACACAAAGCTAATAATTTAACATATATTATATAACAATTTTGATAGATAATAATAACAGTTACATTTAGAACGACAGATAGACATTAGAATTGCTTTGACACACAGCGCGCAGATTAATTTCAATTCAAAATTTTTTGCATTTTAAAATATACAATGTATGACTTTCATTAAAAATATTTGGAAGAAATATATTTTGTTACATATTTGTATTGTGTAGAACAAGTTTTTTTTACTTAAAAATGATTAAATATTTTTAATTAATTTTATACATATATATATATATATATGTATGTATATATACATATGTATATATGTATACATATATGCAAAAATTTAAAATATGTATATATTTATAAATATATATATGCATATATGCAAAGTTTAATATTTTAAATGTGTTATATCAAAACTGTAAAGCATTTAGCGTCAGATTGACGAGGTAAATATTGTTATAATATAACAATATGAAGCTTTTATAGATATCACATAGAATGAATTCAAAAAAGAAAATAATTTCAATGAGTTGTCATTTTTTCTTTTCTTGTTTTTTTAAAATAACCAAAAATCAGTCATTAGAAGTTATATAAGCTAAAGAGATGGAAGAATGCTTCAATTATGTTTAAAGTTTACACAGCCAAAAAATAAGGCACATGCAAGAAAAAATACCGAATTTATAATAAATCAAATAAATTCTATATATAATAGATACAAATAAAAATTGATTGCACAAATGAATACCCTTTTATATTACACATGAAATATTCTAATAACGTCTCAAACATCGTTTTTGGTGAAATCACAATAATGTAATAAGAGTATACCCATTCTATCTCTTCGCTTTCATAAATTCAAAGTATTAAAGTATGAATTTAATGACTAGAAGAGTTTTGGGAAAACAACACAATGGAAGTTTTACCATATAATATCTTGGAAACAGTTAAGATAGTAGTTACTGATTCCTTTTGGATTCTGTTCCATTGTATTTTTTATTTCGTAAGTCGATTACAACTACTGTGATATTATCCGAAGACCCCCTGTAAGATTTATATAAATATATATTGTGCGATAACACTGATTTTGTTATCATTAATGAAGACAAATTGAAAAGATTTTCGATTATAATTATTTTTTATTAATATAGAGTCTTCGTTGATATATTTACCTATAGTAACTTTGTAATGTAATGCTTTTTGCACCAAAATGTGGTTCATTAATACGTTCTTTGATAAATGCTACGGCTTCCTCATTTGTAAATGTATCCCATAATCCATCAGATGCCAAAACAAGGAACATTGGATTATGATCGCTTAGATCAAATGTTAAAATATCTGGATCTGCTATTACTAATTTTTTATCTTTCAATGGATAATCTCCCAAAGCTCGAGATGTTGCTAATACACCGGCAACTCTCCAAACTCCATTGAATGTTACCAATCCACCAGCTTTATATATTCTCTTTTTTTCTCTTTCCTGAATTAAATATAAATGTATGATTTAATTTAATGGTATAAAACATACATTTTTTTAAGGTAAGAATTTATAAACACCTGTTGTGGTTTGTGATCAAATGACAAAGGTATCGCATTCCCTTTACCATCACACATTACACCTCTAGAATCACCAACATTAGCTACTACTAATTTATTATCTTCTAGAAGTGCGATCAAAGCAGTAGTACCTATATTATAAAAGAAAGAGAGAGAGAGAAAATACAAGATTTAATTTTAAGATATCAAATATTAATATTTGCATAATATAAAAGTATAAAATAAAAAAATAAAGTTTTTTACCTGCCACATCCATGTTTTTTTTAGCTGCTTTAACTAACAGTCGATCAACTGCCAGAACTTCATCAGTTAACAGTCTACCATAATTTATTTTATCTCCATCTAAATAAGTTGCCATATCAATTTCAGGTTGCGTTTCACCTGATCTACATGGCCTTACCTGGCATGTAATTTTAATAAATATTTTACATTGCAAAATAAATAATTATATTTTCTCTGAATTATTTTTTATCATAAAAAAATTTAATTATTATACCTCTCTTGTGATAGGTCGTGGTAGACTATCCAATTTATTCAATAATTCTGGATCAGTAACGCCAACACTATTTTTCATACAATCATCTGTTAACGAAGTACTAACGGTCTTACGAAAAGATTTTTTACGTTCAACTGTGGTTGATTCTATTTTTCCATCTTTTTTATTTTCAGATTGAGATGTTGGCTGATTATTAATTTGATTGTTTTTCTGTATTTCAGAAAATCTACCAGCTATCATATCTTTTAGCTCTATTACCTTTTTATTTATATTTGGAATAAGTTTATCACGAGCGTAATTTGCAGCAAACTATAAATCAAATTATAAATTAGTAATGTGAAAATAATGCATATCCTTAGTTTTTAAAAATAAAGATTAAAACTTACTTCCCCACCGTGACCATCAAAAACTGCAAATAAGGATACACCAGTATTATTTAAATCCTCATTTACTACAAAACGGTCTTCCATACGGGCTCTATGACCTTGTACAGCATAAGCTGCTATGTTTCCTTGTTTTAATTCCCAACTAAGTTTTACCCCATCATTTACAGAATCGTTAACAAGAAATTGCAATTTTGAAACCTGATTAGAAGATAAAAAAGATCATTTTATTTGAATGAATTCAAAAATTCAATCACATTTACACCAATGGTAATACCTTAGATGTTGTACGTCCTAAAGTATATTGGATTCTTTCAAGCAATGTTCTGCTCCAAAGATCAACAGCTTGTATATAAAAAAGCATAACTGCTAAGAGTGCCCCGCAGATTAGTACCTCTGGTTTAAGAGCATAGATCCTCATTATTCTCCAAAAATGACCTAATGGAGTATTGACAGCAGCATTTAAAACAGTGGGAATACCCACTGTAAACTTTGACATTAGCTTCATGTGTGACACATAAGTCTAGAAACATAATAATCTGTATTGATATCATAATTTATATTTTTATGCAAATAATAGAATAATAAACATCAGTTAATATCATTGAAATTAACAATTACCAAATCTATTTTTTTTTTTTAATTAAAAAAAATAATAATCTTATATATTTCAAAATATAATCACAAATAATTAAACAAAACATATGTTACTAGTACTTGAGTTATATTTTTTTTTTGAAATTACCTGATATAAAATCCTATCTTCAAACTCGTCATCCATATTATATTCTAAGAAACCAAGATTAGATCCAATTTTAGGCTAGCACCGTAAATCGTGAGAATAAGTATAATTAATTAATAATTCTAAGATGTTCTAAACGTAAATAGAATATATACATTATTTCACTAATTACATTAATGATATAGACAATATATACACATACTGTGAAAAAGAGAGCTTAAATATCGTACCTCTTGAAAAAGTCTTATGAAACGTATCTCGCAATACTTTACATTTCTAAATACCACCGAGATACAACAATTCCGGTTATGACCGTGGTACTGCAGTCTGCAGCACTTTGCGGTAGATAAATAAGGGTGAACGTCATCGAAGTCATGAGAAGATACGATGATCACATATAGCTGAAAATCTTTCTATATATAATATACATATACACATAACATATAATACATATATATGTATACTAAGTATGGCGACCGAAGAACACAAAAGGTTAGCTAATGTTGTTAAACAAATTCATGCTTTATTACGAAAAGAATGTGAAAAATATGGTCCAGAAATAGCATGGAAAATGCATGTAAACCGTAACGACGTTTTACAGGTGTGATTATTGATATTATATGTTTTATTTAATAATATTACCTTACGTATATGTATATATGTTCGTGTTCATGAAGCACGTGATATCTTTATTAGTATAGAAAAGTTTATTATTATTATTATACTTACTTGTTAGAATTTTAATAAAATTAATATATTTTATAATATTGTTTATATTTGATTGAATTTATTTTTAGAAATATGTTATGTCGATGAAGGATCTTGCAACAACTCATTGGAAAGGCAATAATATGGATTCTTTAAGCGGAACTTATTGTAGAATAGAATGGATCAAATCTCAATGTAAAGAATATTTTTTCAAAGGTGGTAAAGAAAAATATTCACTTAGAGAGTTTAGTATTAAAGGAAAAATGGGTGAATTATCTGCGATAGATAGTATTAATAAAAAAGAACAAACTTCCTTAACTTCCGAACAGAATTTTTATATCGATAAGAAATTGTTAAATGAAACAGAGGAAACATTTCAAAAGATTTCTATATTAGATGTAGGAAGTTGTTACAATCCTTTTGAGATGGAAGATATGTTCGAAGTTACAGCTATAGATTTGGTAGCTGTTCCACCTAACGTTTTACAATGTGATTTTTTAAGTGTTGACATAGGAAGAGAACAAATCTTTTCTTCAGATAAAAAACAAATTTTACAATTACCTGAACAATCATTCGACGTTGTTGTATTTTCTTTACTGTTAGAATATATGCCATGTCCAAAACAAAGATACCTTTGTTGTAGCAAAGCATATAATTTATTAAAGAATAATGGTATATTATTTATTATCAGTCCTGATTCTAAACACATTGGTGCAAATGCTAAGTTAATCAAATCATGGAGATACGTTTTATCCAAGTTAGGTTTTATGAGAATTAAATATGAAAAATTGAAACACATACATTGCTTGATATTTAGAAAATGCATTTACAAAGAAGTTGCGTTAAGGTGGGCAAATATGCAAACTTTGTCAGAGAGTGATATACTATATCAAAACGAAGATAAAATTTTTATTCCTCAAGATTTTAAGACAGTTGATGATAAACCTAATTATGAAAATAGTAATCATGACATAAGTAATGATTTACCATCTTCGTTCAATGAGTTACCTTTCGCTGAATTGTAATATCATTTTTGCATAAGATTTTCTATTTTAATTATATCATATATATAAAAAAAGTAAATCAGGGCAAGCAAGTAAATAAAATATGGAAAGAATTAATCATATCATTAAAAACTGTCATATTACTGAATTTATGTGAAATTTTTAATTTGATAACCTAAATAAAAGAAATTTATACTCATATACTATTTACACACACATATATATATATATATATATATATATATATATATATATATTATTTAATAATTAATTTAACTTAAGATAAATTTTGAAAAGTAGGCGAAAAAATGGTGTAGTGTCGTCATACAACTTCCGAAATAATTGTACTTAATATCGAATAAGTATATTTTTTAATAGATTTATATAAACTAAGATAGATATTATTTTTAATATTATTTAATTTCTTTTTTTATAATAATAAATCTATGAATTAAAAGAATGAAAATAAAATTAAGTTATAAAATAGTTTCTTTTTTAATTAACGAGGTAGCATCATGCGCCATATTTATTGTCGATCAACAGACACCTGTGAACATCGCCCTCTTATCGTCGAACGATGGTTCTGCGTTCATTTATTAGAAAACACTGATGTAATCGATTTTTTAAAAATAAGTTTGTCTAATAAAATAATTTTTACTACTTTAAAAGAATATTGTGTGGAAAAGTTCTTTCTTTTAGCGAACTTAACGAAGTTCGTTTTGAAATAAAGTGAAAAATATTCGACTGCTGCTTAAGTATTGTTTGGTGAATCATGGTGAAAATAATAGTAATTGTTACTGTTGCAATAATACAATTAGGTAAATTACTAATCAATTCTTTTTACATAGTTTCTATGTTATTTAATTTTGAAATGAAATTTTTGTGTATTGAATTTATTATGTACATATACATATATATATGTATAATAATTTTTTTTAATACTTTACAAATTGAGGTAATTTAGTTAAATATAATTCCACTCTCAATGTTTTAGCAACATGTCAACGTTCACCTACAATTTCTTATATTTCACAAGAACAAATTAAAGATATTGGTGGAACTGTTGAATTACTTTGTTCAGTGCAATACGGTCAAGAATATCCAGTACTATGGATGAAAACAAATAAAGAAAGCGGATATGATCCATTACCACTTTCTACAAATAGTGCCTTAATTGTAAAAGATAGTAGGTTTGCTCTTAGATATGATCAAGCATCTTCTACGTATACTTTACAGGTAATGTTATGAATAAGATTTATTTTGTTAGATTGCATAGACTTGATTATTTATTATTAAATATTATTGTGTTATAGATAAAGGACATACAAGAAACAGATGCAGGATTTTATTCATGCCAAGTTTTGATTGCTATTAATAATCGATTATCTGCAGAAGTAGAATTAAAAGTACGAAGACCACCTATTATTAGTGACAATTCTACTCGGTCTATTGTCGTTAGCGAAGGACAATCGGAAGTAAAATTAAAATGTCATGCAGGAGGATTCCCAGAACCAAGAATTTCATGGCGTAGAGAGAACAATGCTATTTTACCAACGGGTGGATCTATTTATCGGTATATATAAATTTACATATGCTATTAATGTGAACATTATTATTTAGAGAAACTTAAATAATAAACTATAAATATTCTAGTGGAAATATACTCAAAATAAATAACATTCGCAAGGAAGATCGGGGAACATATTATTGTATTGCTGAAAATGGTGTGGGACGTGGTGCAAGACGTAATATTAATGTTGAAGTTGAATTTGCTCCTGTAATAACAGCACCTAGACCACGTTTAGGTCAAGCTTTACAGTATGACATGGATTTAGAATGTCACGTGGAAGCTTATCCTCCACCTGCAATACTTTGGTTAAAAGATGGTACCGCATTGGTAAACAATCAGCATCATAAAATATCTCATTTTGCAACTGCAGATGAATATAGTGATACTACAATTCGAATAATAACAATAGAAAAGAAACAATATGGAGAATATATATGTCGTGCTTCTAACAAGTTAGGAACTGCAGAAACTAAAGTTGAGCTTTTCGGTAAGTACATAATAATTTATTAACTTTATGTTTATTATCCTGTAGTATAGTACCTCTTAGCATATTTTTTTTATATAAAGCATGTGTTTGCAGTAGTAAATATTTTAATATATATATATATATTTTTTAATTGCGCTTATTATAATAATGCATTACATAGTAATGTTTTTACGTAGGCATTATTTATCAATTTATTTCTATTGCAATTGTTTCTTTAGCAAAATGCATGTTTTTTTTATGTTTGCGTATTTTTGTGCAGAAACCTTTACCCCAGTTTGTCCACCAGCTTGTGGTCAAGTGCATTTTGGAACTGCTGTGACTTCAGTTTCTTCAGGACCCTTGATAGTCTTTATTTTAGTTATTACCATACTGATGAGGTATGTTGTTTGAAACTTCATCTGCTTGTTATTTGAAGTAGATTATATGTGAATGATCATTATTGTTATTATTTACGTTCATTTAATAATTTATTCTTATTATATTAATCCAAATCTATTCTATATTTTTATAGAAATTTCTATGCCAAATATTAACTACCCAGGACTTCAGTGGGCAAGTGCGAATCAATGTTCACTATCAAAGTGGCTATTTGCAGCAGTTAGTATTACTATTTTGGATAGATTTTAAGAGCAACTTAATATAATCCCGGGGGCCTGATATCCGACATTTTTACTTAGATAACATATATCTTTAGATACTATTGAAATATCGAGACGAATTATTACATGAATGATACATTTAGTTAAAAAACGAAGCCTAATACATATATACATGTGCATGCCCTCTTAGTTGTGTATGCATAGAATATACACAAATTAAGTTCTGTATACACAATGTTAAGAGAAGTACAATATGTTGGTAATATGAATGTTGGTAGTACAAATTAACATTCCAGAGCAAAAGTTTATAATAATGTCACGGTAGTGGTAAATATAATTAATAAAATTTTGTAGGTTTTTATATCAGTATAAACTAATAATATAATGAAGTAATCGTTACGAAGGTAGATGTTATAAAATATAGTCATTTTGCATGAAGAGTATAGCAAGAAATTTTATCGAGAAGATGATTATTGAAGTAAAATTTACAGAGTAACAATATGGGACGGAGAGTGATTTGAAAAATACCTCGATTGTTGATTATTACTTTTTAGATGTTTTTAAAATACTGCAAAATATTATGCAGAATCTAGTAATGGTATGAAAAAAAAATTTTTAAATAAATTCCAGTTACCACTATTATTCTATTCTGCTTATTCGATTAATAAAAGTATGTGATCTGAATAGAAAAAATTTTCATATAAACGCATAAATTATTAAAAATCTCTAGTTACAAATGCGTTATTAAAAAAAGAATATATATATATATATATATTGGAGCATGTTTAATAGAGTTAATATCTATCTTCTAAATGATTAATATAACATGAAAAATTTTGGAAATAAGATTAAGATAATTAAAATAAAATTTTTAAGTGATAACTTTTTGAATAATAATTTTTAGGCATTATGCCTTATGTTAATTAATAACTTTGGTATATGTGCCAAAGTAAGAAATTAATATTTCACGTTAGTACCTTGTTTGCGAAAGATTTGTTACTAGAAAGTTAATAGAGAGATATTCTACATTATAAACAGAACTGTTTACTCGTGCACATTACGATCAGAAGAAGAAGAAGAAAAACAATAATTTATCTATCCAATTTTTACCTTAATTGCATATACGTATGTTGGAACTTAAACAGTGGCAACTATTTATTCACAACCGATACAAAAGAGTTACATGTTTGAACCTGTTACTGTCCTTCAAAGTAGTCACTAGCGTTGGGTAGAACCCGTTGCGATTTGGAAGGCGTAGTATACCATTAGCAGAGCCTGTTCTCTTGATGGTACGAATGGAGCGGTCTACTGCGTGTCGAATCTCTGGAACAGTTCTGAAGCGAATGCCACGATGGATTCCGCATGAATTGACGGAAATGCAGAAATGGATGCGTTACGACGCTGCTCAGACGCATTTGGAGCGTTATGAGCGCGAAGGAGAGGCTTTCTTACGCCGTATCTTAACACTGGATGATGAGACATGGCAGTAGATCCCTCTATTCGCACCATCAACAGAATAGGCTCTGCTAACGATATACTACGCCTTCCACATCGCTGGCAACGGATTCTACACATTGCTGGTGACTACTTTGAAGGACAGTAACAGGTGCAAACATGTAACTCTTTTGTATCGGTTGTGAATAAATAGTTGCCATTATTTAAGTTCCAACCTACGTATTTGCATAGAAATTATATAAACATATTGTGACTTTTACCGATTCTAAAACAAATAATAATAATAATAATAATAATAATAATAATAATAATAATAATATAGTAGAAAAGTAGTACATATCCAATATATTAAGATATCTTAATTTTTAATACAATCAGTTTTGTATATATTTTGTCTAACTTTGTGCCGGATATTTTAGTAGCATTCGTAGTGTACGTAATGGCAAATGTAATAATTTCTTTTTTCTTTATTATTTCTTAATACATAAGTAATCTTTTAAATTATTTTTCTGTATTTGAAATGTTTAATAATCATTGTGTTGTTATTTTTTTGTGAAGTAGCCTTTACTTAAAATTTTAAAATGTAACAAGGATTAACAATGGTAGATAATATACAGGGTGTCAGGAAAGTTTAGATTGGGTGTAATTGGACTTCATAAAAGCTGAAAAATAAGCATTGAATATATACTTAACACATTCTAATTTTATAATAGTTTAATATAATTACATTCTTGTTTTCTAATATATTCTCAACAAAAGCGGTGGTTTATTTTTTTGCACATATGCAAAATGTACTTAAATTTAATCGGCATATAGTTTAATCTTTAAAAGCTATCGCAGAAGCCAATAAAAAAGCAAAGAAAATATTAGCTATAAGTAACTTTTGCATTTGGTATACATAGAAAAGAAATCAATATTTAATATTATCCAAGTTTCTTGAACAACATTAAAACAAAATTCATTTGCATGGAAACATTTAGGCCACGATAGCCTTTAAATATTATACTTTATAATATTTAGGTTTCAGGTTTACTTGTTTATAAAGATTTATTTTAGTATATTTTCTAATATAATATAAAATAATTATCGCGATAACAAGATGTAGCATAAGTTGTTATTGGTTTTATTTATTTATTTATATTTCTTATTTTTTGATTAACAAAGATCTTTTAAAAATTACACCACAAAGAAAAGCTTACGAACAAATGTAACTTCTAATTGACTTATTTTTGGCACTCCCTGTATGTAGATGAATAAAGTGTAATAATGATGATATATACTTTAGGATGAGTATATATCTTACGATATTACTAATAAGTAACGATAGAATCTCAATAATACTTTTATATAATCTTTTTATATATTTCTAACTTTATATTTGCTTTTATAATATTATGTAGATTTTAATAAATAAATTTTAAATACTGATATATATTTTTTTATTTACTTCATATACATGTATGTAAAATGGATGGTAATTTTTTTATATCATGGAACAGAGAAAAAAATATATATTTTATTTTTGTAATTCTGTCCAAGTATGTATATTGTTAACTATATATAGTTATCATCATAATATATTGTGTATTTTAGTCACGTATAACTCGACTATCGAGTGATTACGTTTGACAAAGAGAATACGCCCCTAATATAAATAACGCTGTGTTACATGAGAGTACATGGCATATTCCGAAACATCATGACTTTTTCCAGACACAAAACGATAAGATTTTAATTTTAAATATTCGTTAATAAATATCGATCGTTGCATACAAATAATTTATTTTAATTAAGTATATATATATAAATAATTGATAGATAAAATAATTTGATAAAAAACAAATAAATTTGAGATTATTTAAATTACGAAACTTAAGTGCTAAGTAGTTATCGAAAAAATTAGTTTCATTGTGTATGGTTGTTATAAATAAAGTCGATGGCACGCCCCTCATTATAATTCGGTGAGTATCAGTCATCAAATCACTGAATTTTAGTTACAAATGTGTCCTATTGATTTTAATTGTTGTATAAATCTAAATTTACTTCTACCTTGTCGATTATCTAATATATAATTCTCGATCTATATTTTTAATCTAATTTATGTAAAAATAATTCTTTTAAATATAACAATAATAATTAAATATTAACAGTATATATATGAACAGGTACGAATATTCTTGTGACTCACTGTATTTATACTATATTATGTGTAAGTATATTATACATACCACACATTAATTGCAGGTATATGTATATATTCAATATACTAAGCTACATTGTATGTATATGGATAATAATATAACAAATATACAAGAAATATATATAGAAGAAATTAAAATTAAAGATAACAGGAAAGTTTTAACAATTATGAGATGTTTGAAATTCGCGGGTACAGCTCATTGTTCGAATTTAATTTCAACCAATGAGAAGGAGTCCGCTGTGGAGTGGGGAGTCTGCCGCGAAAGAGAGCAGAGCCAGTAAGGACAGTTTAGCGTTAGCTGTCGTTGTGGTAGGTTTTCGTTTTTTTTGCGTTATTACGGTTTTTCACGCTAGTTATTTCTTACAGAGGAAGAGACATATGTCACCTGCAAAATAAAAGGAAAGAGAAAGTATACAAGCCAAAGAAATAATAAAAGTAAAGAAGAAAGAAAAAAAGCTAACGAAATATTGTAATAAATAAATAATACATTTAGTTAACACATAATATACACTTATAAAAGTTTCCTCGAGTAATGTCGGGGAACGTGTACTCATAGCGCGCGCGCGCGCGTTCGTGTTTAACCGCGCGAGACGAAGAGACACGTAAGTGTTGCGAGAGAGAAAACGCTTACTTCTCCACCTTCTCATCGACGTCGTCGTCGCGTTGTCATGGGTACTGTGTGTTGTGATGGGGTTTTATAAAAAAATTTAACTCCAATTCTCTCTTCTCTCTTTCCAAAATATTTTCTCTTCATGAAAAGAACCTAATTTAAATTTTATCCTAGATTCTTTTTTCCTTTTTTTTCTTTTTCTTTTTTGAAAAGACAAAATAAAAAAGAGAAAGATAAAACTAGTTGATAGTGTCTCTGTTTAGTAGTTTATTAGTAGTGTTACGACGTGCTTCTTCAGACGTACATATATATATATATATATACTCGTATAACACGAGAAAGGTACAGAATAAAAACGGTAGAGTGAGAAAGAGCTAGAGGGAGGAAAGGAGTAGAAGAGAGAGAAAGAGAGAAAGAAAGAAAGAGAAAAACAAGGAAAGAGAAAGAAAAGAGAAAAAAGAGAGAGAGAAAGAAGAAAGAGAGGACGATAATGCGGACTTGGTGTTTCCGCCTAGTTCGACACGACGTCGACAAAGACAACAACGACAACAATCCAGACGAATTTCGACGAATTTATTCGTAGTAAGTAAAACTCACATTATTTTATCTTTATCTTATAGATCATATTTACGCATGATATTTATCATCGCGCTCTACAAGAAACGTGTTTTCCTTGATCGTAGTCTCTTTGTTTCTTCCTCTCTCTTTCTGTCCTCCCCACCCCCACTTCCCCATCCTTCTCTTGTTCGATCGATCGATCAATCGAAAGAAGTGTTACGCGTCTATTTTGTTGCTTAAGCGGCAAATGATATTGTCGTTAACGGTACGATATCGTTACATTCAAATCTATTACTATTACTATTACTATTACTATTACTATTTTATTACTACTCTCTCTTTATTTGCATGTGTATGATTTTTATTGAAATTAAAAACCGTGTAAGTTTCTATTTTATGTTCAATTTTATGTTCAATTTCGTTTTAGAAAATATCTTAAAAAAATATATGAATTGTGTGCTATGTAACATGTAGTAGTATACAACCTGTAAATGTGCAAATATGAAATTATTGGATTATCAAATAATTTGATTTTTATTTTTAATCAAGATTTATTCAGATCGAAATTTGATTATAATTTCCTAATAAATAGATAATCAAATTTATTTTTTTTAAATATAAAGTATTATAACACGTTATATATATATAAAAAAAAAACAATTATGCATTATAAAAATATTTATTTAATATTAAACTTGGTATAAAGTTATTATAAAATAATATATGTATGTAGTTGTGCGAATCCTTAGAAAGTATTAGATAAGAAAAACCTTAGAAATTATTGCCTTTTGTGTAACATTAAATCTTGAAAGATACGACGAAAGGAGAATGAAGTCTAACGATGTTATTCAAAGTTAAGGATAGTTTTTATTTTATGTTTTTTTTTTTTTTTTTAATTCAAGTTACGTAATATTAAAGAGAGTGTCTGAGTAACTGTATATATGATTTCTCTACTGGACTTTTTAAAAAGCATCTTTTTCTAGGTTAGGTTAAATTACTTGTTTAGTGATGATAATTCGTAAAGAAGACATGCAAATCAGTTTGAACGAAGAACTACTTGATAATCAAATATTTTTCTTTTTACGAATATGTATATATATATATATATTTTTCTTTTTCCTTTTTTTTTTAAATCATCGGCAGAAAGGTATAAAATTGTCATTAATAGATTTATGGATTTGACAATGTTAATCGCGTTATCTTATCTTTATACATGACACATATATATAGATATATAACTTCGTTCTTGGTAGCATAACGGTGAGTTATTCGATTACGTTGTCATCTTTGTTAAATTGTAAAACAAAAACAACAAAAAATAAAATATAATAGATAAATTAGAAATTTCTTAATTTGATCAAAAGTTTTTACGCGATTTTATTAACACTAGATATACCAGCATTTTTTTTTTATACACCAATCATTTTGACTAGTTTGGTAGAAATAGGTATAGTGAAAATGGTGGTATATCTAGTGTTAATAAAAATTACTCTTTTATAAATATTTTTTTAAACTTGTATTGTTAAACTTATAGTTTTAGAATCTGGACAATAAAGAAATGTTTGAATTGAATTTTTAGAAATAATTTAGTAACTCTTGCATCTTTATTCTTTACTTTACATTTGAAAATTTGAAAATTCAATTATTTATTTCTAATGAGAAAGAAAAAGAGTGAGAACAACGGATAAACGAGCGTAGGTGTGCCGTGTCATGTTGCATCCAGTTTGAGATGAAGGAGAGACAAAGAGAAAGAGAGAGAAAGAAAGAGAGGAGAGAGGAGAGTAGTTGCCTGCTGCGACTATAAAGCCGATTAACCAAGCCACTCTCTTGACCTGACATTTAATACCATTACACGAGTCATAGTCACTCGTTGGTCTTTCAACGAGGAAGAGAACAAAGAGGATTTGCAGTTCTACGTATGAAAATGTCTGTTTATTTATCAAATTTTCATTATCTGTTAATTGATATTTTACAAAATAGCATTTTTACATTTTTCTTTGTTCTTTGCCCTAAAAAAGAAAAGAAAAGAAAATACGTAGGAATTTGATATTTGATAGATGAACAAATTTTTCTTTTCATTTACAATCAGATGAATATCTGCAATTATTATTTATCATTCCATAAAACAAAACAAAAACAGATTAGCGATAATAAATTGTAATGTTTATTAACACTAGATATACCAGACTAGTTATTTAGACTAGTTGGGCCAATTTTAATTCAAAATTTTTACTTCATGTAACATTTGATTTATGTAAATAATTAAGCGTTTTATTTTTTAAAAATGTCTATAAATCCATATATCTATTAAAATTATTATTGTAAACATTTGTTGTTATTTTCTAAAAATAAATAAAGACTAGAAGCCTCAAAAAGCATATTATATATACACCAGTCATTTTGACTAGTGTGGTAGAAATAGATATATTGAAAGTAGTGGTATATCTAGCGTTAAACTTTTTGTTCTAATTACATTGAATAAGAGAATAAATTTGTTAATCTTAGAAATAACAATTCTTAATCTATCTTATTCAGTCATCTGTAATAGTTGAAGAGAAAACAGCTTGTAACACTTTATCTGGTCCACCGCGTGTATGTTTCACATACACATATCACGCACATACGCGCGCGCGCGCGTGCGTGCGTATAAATAGATATCCTTTTGATTCTCTTTAGACTAATATCAGTCTTGATTTATATGGTTTAGATTTATACACGGTTGCAATATAAAGTATAAATCCTAAGGTTGCTGCTTGTATTTCCTCGCACGGGTTTATAAATCGCGATCGTTCATGAGTATTCACGAGGACGATCGACTACGACGAGGACAAGGCGACGAGTGAGTGAAAGCGAGAACACGTCCAACTATAAACTGGAGCGCACGCGTCTATTGTTGTAATCTGAAGAAGGCGTTGCTTGAATCGGTTAGCTGATTCACTAAAATTATATTTTTATTATTATAATTAAAATGAAAATTGTCATCAAAAGCATTATTTTTAAATGATATTTTGTAATTAATAGATTATTTTATTCAAAACATGAGGATCAAGTTCTATGTATTGTTATATGTATGTGTTGCGAGTGAGTATATATATGTTTTTGGTGTCGTTTTTGTTTTAATCGAGAGACCCATCGAAGCATGGCAAACACGATTCGAATTGTGTACATATGAATATATGAATATATTGTAATGAATATGTGTGTATAGGGTATATAGCATAAGTATTTCTTTTTTGTTTTTTTTTAATGTTTTTTTTTTAATTGAGAGATTTATCGAAGCGTGGGAACTCGAAACCCGGAGTTGTGTATTATGATGTGTGTGTATATACGTGGGTGTATATGTTGTTTGACGTTATCGTGAGAATAATTTGCTAAGAAACAGAGGAACTTTCGTTCTCTTCGTGAAAGGCAAAGTTCTCGTAATAACGCCTTGTTTCTTCGTCTCTACAAACAATTTCGCTTTGTCTTAGATTATCTTTGTTTCAGATATTTTAAGAAAATGCTTATTGTGTATATTGAAAAATGAGAGTCTTATTGTTAAATCAAATTCTTTTTATATGCTTTCTTAAAAACGTCTAGTTCCTTTGAGTAATATCTAAGGATTTTATGATCTAATTGAATTATGCAATTTAAAGTTGACATTTTGACTAGAGTGGTAGAAATAGGTATACTGAAAATGGTGTTATATTTCGTGTTAAGATAATTTGAATTAATAATAAGAATTTGAAGCTTAAATAAAATTGATTTAAGATTTTTTGTTGATTTGGTTATTCATGCTTCGAACTCTCAAAAACTTGTTTGATCTAAAGTAACAGAATTAAATGTGATCGATAAAAGGCTGTATTTGTACTTGCAATGGAACGTTCTTCATGAAATAATGGCTTGAAATTACTTTGACTGGTCAGACAACGAGAGAATTATTGTGAGTGGGAGGAGGGGGGGGCTGAACAAATCTTCCGATGTTTTCGTTCCTAATGATTTAATACCATGTAGAAAATACATAAAATACATTGTACATGTATGAATGTAATTTATATGCATATAAATGATCTAAAAACAAAAAAGAAGAATGTATACATATTTAGTTATAAAATTTGGTTAGATATTTAAAAAACAAAACTTTTCTTTTTTTCAATCATTAAAATTTATCTTTTATTATTAATCTTTTTAACACTAGATATACCAGACCAGTCGTTTTGAATGGTCGGGCCATTTTAATTCAAAATTTCTACTTCATGTAACATTTGAGTTCTGTGAATAATTAAGCATCTATTAAAATTATTATTGTTAAACATTTTTTGTTATTTTTTTAAAATAAATAAAGACTAGAAGCCTCAAAAAGCATGTTTTTTTTATACAACAGTCATTTTGACTAGTGTGGTAGAAATAGGTATACTGAAAATGGTGGTGTATATCTAGTGTTAATTTGTATTATTATTTTTAAAAAAATACATAATAAGCATGTATATATGATATTTTTTTTTTTAACTATGCATATTCACTCTGTTGTTAACGTTCTTTCCTGCATACACTTTCGCAATTATTCATACTGTTGCTTCTTCACGCTTTCACGATGTTCTTTGCCATTCACGAATATATCTTTTATCTCTTCCTAGTAAAAATTTTCTAGTGATATATATATATATATATATATATATATATATATATATATATTGATTTTATTCCTATTTTTTTTTTTTTTTTTAGAGAGAGAGCAAGGGATTTCCTTTTATGTAAGTTAATTATATTTTTTTTTCGTATTTTAATAATATTAGTAAAAAAGAAATATTGAAATTAAAATTGAAATTTAAAAACACATTACCATTTACAATGACATGTAGATTTTTACCAATCGAGTAAAAAAAAAAGTAGAAAATAAAAAAAACTATGTTTCAAGTGATATTATTCTGGTTTATTTATTTATTTTTTTATCATTTTTACATTTTATTTACAATAGGATCCAAAACAGTTTGTATTATATTGTTACAATAAAACAAAAAATTTACATTCAATTTAAAAAATTTAATTTAGACTTAATGAACAAATTGTTTTTATTGATCGAGTAAAAATTTACAATAAATAAATAAATAAATAATAATAATAATTCTAATTCTAATTCTAATTTGAATTTTTACCGTTAAGATTTTTTAATAAACAAATCGAATTAGGAAGTTTGTCTATTTCCTCTCTTTTTTTTTTATTTTTTCTTTAACGAAGAAAATACGTAACGAAGTTCCTGAGGATGCTAGCTAACTCACTTATTTCTTATTTGATTCAAATCTGAGCTCGGTTATTTTTCGTGTGAGGGTGCGAGAGGCAATATGCCGGCAGCGACCTAACTCGTGATAATCCAATTGACGAGCATTGCGATTGACCTCCTTTGCTTGATGCGTGCTCCAAAGATGACAGCCATTATTCTTTTTTCTCTCCCTCTCTCTCTTTCTCTCTTTATATACTATATATTATTATTAAGATATATTAATCATTTGATTTTATACATATTTAATTGCTTTTTTCTTTAACACACATATTTATTTATAATATTTTATAATATAGTGTTTATCTTACAAATATTTACGTATTAATAATTAAAATAATTAATAATAAAATAAAATAATTAATAATAAAAATAAAAATTAAAATTCTTCTTTCTTTTTTACTAATTTTTAAGAAATTTTTAAATCTTTTTTTTCTTTTAGTTTTTGGTTTTTGTTTTTTATACACATTACATATCTATTTAATCATTATTAATAATATTAATATAATATTAATATTATTAATAGAATAGAAGTTTATTTCAGGTATACCCTTTTAGGGTGTTTACCCCAAAGGCCCCCCCAACATGTCCGTTCCCCTTAACAATATGCTAATTCGAATTATGCCCTATTATAATATTAGATATTAATATTAACAATATAAAAACAATATAAAAACAATATAAAACAATATAAACAACATTAAACAATATACCACATTTAGTAACTATATAGACTATATAAAAACTATAACATATATATACTTCATTTAACTTATGTGTTCTATTCCTTACATTCTATTTTAATATTAATAATAATTAATTAATTATTAATATTATATTAATAATAATTAATTAATTATTAATATTATATTAATGTAATATTAATTATTGTTATAGAAATATTTTCCGAAAGATTTTTTTTATTTATTGTTTTTTTTTTTTTTAATCATTCTCACGATTTGTTATATGTAATAAAAATTTATAATTTCAGATTCGGTAGTGATCGATTGAGAAGAAGATGATGTCGTGTTTGTTATTCAAAATATGTTTAGGTAAGTTAAAGTTATTTTATACTTTTGTAAGATAATTGTTTCTTTCGAGAATTGTGAGAATTAAGAAATGAAAGAAGAGAAAAAAAATAAGAAAATAAAAGGACAAATTTATGGTTACGACGATGCGTTGTTGTCAACGACGTCGACAATGATGATGATACGTAGTTTGCAACGACGAAAAGCTGAACAAGTGATATTATTCCTGTAAAACCGGTTTTTAGATCCGTTAAACTCTTCTTACCATGACTATATTTCTCACGATTCAATAGTTTTATCATATAGCTTTAAAAAAAAAAAATCTCTGAATTAACTTATAAAAGAAAAAAAATGTATTGCGTGATGGAAATAAATTTACTATTTCTGTATAAAACAAATATCATTCAATTTACTAATAACAAATAATAAACAATTTATTTATCATTATTTTTAATGAGATAATATTTAATTAATTTATAGTTTGATAAATATATATATAAATTATGAGTAATGTAAAAATTTATAAGAGTAAAAGTAGGTATATACATAAATTGAAAATAATTGAATTAAATTAAATGAATAAAATAATATAACATACGCATTTAATGATAGAATCAAAGGATTTGTACAAAATTAAAATTAAAACAATTTCCTAGGTCTAACTTTAATAGTTTTTGTTGGTGGAACAACGTCATCCAACCTATCAGAAAAACTTATTAGACTATCAAATAAAAATGATGATTCGGAATCATCGTCATGGATTGTAGCTAATCCTGTTCAAGCAAATCAAGAAGAAGAAGAAGAAAATAAAGGTGATTTGAAGAAAGTCAAAGATTTCATATCTGATTTTGAAAATGAAAACTATAAATCAAAAGAATCAAAAAAAGAAGAAAAAGAAGAAGAAGAAAAAGTACAAACAACAATTCCTACAGTGATAAACAATGAAACAAACGGAGACATAAGAGAAGAGTTAGAAAATGTTAGTAGTATTGCTACAACTACGATAGAATCAACTTCTTCATCTCCATTTTTGGACAATGAATTAGAATCGTTCGATCGTATGGAAAAACAAATCTTAGATAAATACAACGATGAAAATGATAATGTAAACAATACGAAGAATGTATCTTTGCATTCGAATGAAACTAAATCAACAACGAATGTACCAGAATCAACATTACCTGTATCATCGTCATTGTCCTTGCTTAATGTAATTACTGATAAGAAACAACTGGAACTAACTGAACCTAATTTAACTATTGCTACGACAATGAGAGATGCATCGATTTACGAGAACACAATTGGTCGAAAGGATTCTGAAAAGAAGATAATCGTAACCGAGCCTTCTGTTGTTCTAGAGAATAGTATTCAACAATCAGGAGTATTTGGAAATAGTTATAAAACTAGTAACAATAGTTCAATGATCGAATCAACTAGCTCTGTATCTTTGTCAAGTAGTAGTACATCAACCGAATCTTCATCTACTGGAACTTCCACAATTGGAACTCTGACAACAGGAACATCCTTTCCATATATCCAATCGGAGAGCAATGATCCTAGCGATTTAACAGGAAATAAAATAACAGAAAGTGTTATCTCAAATACAGTTGTATTAATGACCACTGTTGTTACCAGTGATTCCTCAGTTTTAGAAATGAGGACTACCGAAGAGAATAATCCAACTACCAAAGAAACTCTTACCGATGATAATAGTTCGACAATTGGTACTGGTGATACCGATTTTTCAACGGAAACTACGTTAGAATCATCTGATCAATCTTCCGTTAACCCAACAACTAGTTCCTCATCTTATTCCACTAGTACGGTCGAATACGAATTTGTTGGATTAACGGAAAATAATAATAACACGATTGCAACGACAACTTTGACATCAGAAGAGACTTTATCTGTAGTTAATGAACAAACGAATATTAATATCACTAATAATATCTCAGATTTTACTGAGAGTACAAGAAGTTTGTCCGAAATTGCATCATGGCCTAAATCTGTCTCGGTTGAACGTACATTACCTGTTACATCTTCATCAAACACGATTATCACCAGCAGCAGTAGTAGTACACCTGGTAGTACAGAAAACAACATGATGATCAGTGTTGAAAGTACTACTGAAAGTTACGATGCAACACCACTCGTCAATGTTGTTACCCTAGATCTTCCAAGTAGTACTTTCATTCCAACCTTTCGTGACAAATTACCAACCGGTAAGAAATCTATTATTGATACCATTCCAACAACTTCTGTCACCAATCTGGATACTTTACCACCAGACGAAATTACTTCTCTGGTTAGGATAGTACTTGAGGGTACTAAACAAGATGTTTGTCCACGTCTTGAAGAACTTCGACAATTTCTTGCTAATATTTTATCCAATGGTTTGAATAAGTAAGTATAACATTAAGTACCAATTTTTTTATTTTGATTGCTTATTTTAAATTTAGTATCATTATCATGTTTATAGAGTCATCCAGGGAAAACAAGTTCGATTTCATAGGAACCCATGTTCTGATTCAACAGACAGTTCTTCAACAATTAATTCATCCTCTGAAGAATCTGTTTTTACCATATACGTTTACATCGTTAATGAAAATGGTAGATTCGATGCTGCCATGACTAAGTTGCTACCAAATTTTTATAAAACACCTGTCTCGAATTTTCCAATAATTGTAAGTTATACTTAATCTCAATAACCAATAATTTTGATAATTAACATTTCTTATAAAGTGTATTTCAATTTGTCCAATTTTAGATACGAAGTTTTGCATTAGTACAGGAAAGAGATTCTAGCAACGCAATAGCTGTTGTTGTGGTTTCTTCAGTAGCATTCATCTGCCTACTTCTTCTTACTGGCCTTCTGGTAAGAGATAAACACAGAGATAAAAAGAGATTTATTTGATATCCGCAAACAAAGAATAGAAAATTGGTATTCACGATACCACCAAGTATACTACTCATTATCAAACACGATACGTTTCGATTAATAAAAATGCAGCTGCGTTGTAAGTTCATAAAAATCTTCCTCGTTTGTACACCTACTCGAAACTTACCTTTCTCGGTAGATTACTCATAGGAAATACATTACTTCGGAATATCCGTGTCGAAAAATTAACTTTATAATTATGTTTATTTGATATTTAGATGCCGCATTATAAAAAAAAAAAAGAAATATAATTTATTTTGTATAAATTCCAGTCTCTGATAGTTATGAGACAATGCAATAATAAGTAATAATATTAATTTCAAATAAATTAATAAATTATTTAAAATTAATTGGAAAAATTATCTGTGTAGATCATGATAATGATTAATATTTCTTTATATTGTTTTATTTTTTTCAATTATTTAAGTTAATATTTATATTTTTTTTTAACAGTATATCCCCACCTCTCAATGAATGTACATCTACTTTCTTATCTTTATTTTCAATGTTAAATGTTTCTTTTCAGTATATGTTTAAAACGATAATACGATCGCTAAAACTTGCTAGTGGTTGCGATAAATACGAGGTCATACTTAAGCTACACGTATATAACCAAACATTTACATTTATTATCGATTTTTTAAGATTAAAAATGTGTTGTTCATTTTGGCAGTTCGTTATGAGAAAGAGACAAACGAGATTCAATTATGGGGAACGATGTCGACCTGTATCTTTGGATGCCTATAGTTTGGATAGTGTATCTGCTTATAATAGTGTTAGGCGAAAAGGTGTTGCTAGATCATCGAAAAGAAGTTATGGTAATCCTGCTTTTGAAGATTCAGTATGTATATTTTATTATATGTGTTTAAATTTAAAAATTAATATATGTATTATATTGTATATAATATAATACATAAAATATACAGTGAAAATATTACACAATTACCTAATTACATATATAAATTAAAACTTTATAAATATAAATTTGTAAAATTATTTTTTTTTTCTTACAGAGTGCAGTTCCATCTCATCCATTAAATTTTACTGGGCTTACTTCTTTCTCAAACGACGTCGATGCCATAAATGAAGAATTTTTAGGTATACCACAAGTTTCTTCTAAGATGGATGAGCTTCCTTTGGGCGCTGAAGTGAAGAACAGATACGCGAATGTTATTCCACTTCCAGAAAGTAGAGTACCATTGAAAAAACTCAACGATGATCCTCTTTCAGAATATATTAACGCCAGTTACGTTCGAGTTAGTTTATTTATTATTATGCTTTTTTTTTTATATGGTTAAATTAAATATATGTATAAATTTATAAATATTTTGTCAGGGTCCCAAAAATGCAATCAAATATTACATTGCGTGTCAAGCACCTTTGGACACAACAGTTACCGATTTTTGGCGTATGATTTGGGAACAACAATCCAAAGTGATCATTATGCTGACTGATTTTGTAGAAAATGGAGTTGAAAAGTGTACCGAATATATACCACCTTCTGAAGTGACTGATTGTCACAGATTGTATGGTGATTTTCAAGTGACATTAAAGAAGCGAGAAACCAAAGAGAAATATGCAATATCCACGTTACACTTGAAAGTAAGAAATTTCATTCTAATTAAATTGAATTAATCTTAAGCATATGTGATTATGTGTCATATATTTTTCATATTGAGCTATTTTAATATTTTTAAGTTAGAATTAATTGATAATAATATTTTTATATCATGAAAAATATAAAATAAGTAACTTATATATTTTATATTTAATTTTATACAGCCGTAAGAATAATATTAGATAAAAAATATTTGTTTACGTATCTCAAATGACACGTATTATAAGACCAGTTCTATAATCATCAATTTTTCATTGATGTATGACATTGTATTAAAAGTATTTGTCTTTTAAAGAATTTAGAGAATAATACGTTCAGAGAAGTATACCATATTTGGTACTTATGGCCAGCTAGTGGCGTTCAAACGGATGGTGCCGGACTTATCGCTGTACTTCTCGAAGCCAGGGCTCTTCAAAGAGGTGGTCCAGGACCTATAGTGGTCCATTGTAGTCCTGGTACAGGTCGTACAGGAACACTGATAGCATTGGATCTAGGAATTAGACAGTATGAAATTACGCGAACGGTAGACGTACCAAGAGTGGTTTATACGATAAGAAGAGATAGAGCTGGAGCTGTGCAAACTAAAGAACAGTATACTTTTATATACAAGGTAAATATATAATAAATATTTTTCTTTTCTTAAATTAAAATGAGAAATTTGTATGATTAATTTTCAATTTTCTTTTTGAAGGCATTAAATTTATATGCAACCAAACTTGCTGGAGGTATGTTGGAATCGACCTAAAACCGATATCAATGAATTGTTTTCGGTCTAATCTGTAAAAAATTGGGCGAGTGCTACAAACAAACAAAAAATGTTTAAGACTAATTTCATAATAATCTTTATCGTTGTTTTTTTTTCTTTTTGTTATAACTGAAAAAAAGACAGACGTATAGAAATTATTTTTGATTCCAGTTTAACTGGAGTGAAAACAAAAGTTAAAGAAAATATAAATATAGATTATTAACGAGTATTAATGTTTCGATCGGTAATTAATGATCGAATGAAAGGCTGAATAATACTTGTGATATGTGGACCATTCGTTGATATTCATTATAATAATGCATATTTATACATATGTAAATGTATATATAGATATATACGTGATTTATCTATCGCGTTATATTTTTTATTACTTACGGCCGTTTCAATGAATACAACAGCTTTGATAAAAATTTACCGAGATCTCTCTTTGGTGAAAAGTATTCAGTATTAAGGTATTATATTTTTATGCTTAAAACAAGATCGAAAAAGAAGACCAAAATTATTCTTTTTTGTTTTTTTTTTGAGCGAGTAGTATTTCAAAGAAATACAATAGTAAAAAACATTGACACAATTAGCTACAATTATTTTTGATAAGAGAAAATATAGATGTGTATTTATAAGCTAGATGTCAAAATTTATTTATTTATTTTCTTCGAATGAAATTCGAATTCTTTTTTGTGTACAATTATATGATTTTTCATATTTTCAAAAGCTTATTGTGTAACTCTAGACGATGCGCTCTCTTTTTTTTTTTTGAAACTAATTCAAACAGAGATTGCAAAGGCATTTCGAATTAATTGACGTCGATATGATGAATATATTTTACCTTCTTTTTCTTTTTTTTTTCGTTGTTATTATTGTTATTGTTATTGTTATCTGTGTTTAAAGTATATCCCCCAATTCGTAGCACATTGCTCTCTATAATTGTACATAGTTAATAAAGAAATGCAGAGGCACGTTGATTGAAATTTCTGACTTCATTGTTATTTTAGTCTAATTTTTTGTTAAAAAGAAACTTATTGTTTAAGATATTGTTCAATTCAAAACATTAAAATATTTATCAACATCAATGGCAACTGTTAGTAGTCTCCGTCGGTAAATGATTGCTGTACTCATCGGTAACTAATCACTCTTTTCATCAGCAAAGAATATAGAATTCTATATTCATTGTCGTCAGTAAATATTTATTTTCACCGTTGATAATAATTTCAAAAATATCAGTAGAGACTATAAAGTTTTAGCACTTCACTACCAGATAGAGCAACAATCTCATTTCCGTAAATATATATAAATCCTTAATACATTTTCTATATTAAATTAACACACATACACACACAAAATAATGTATTAAACAAATCCTCCGCTCCTTCCATTTAATTAATCATTTTTCTCCATCTTCTCTTTACTCTTTAATCAAATGATTGATTAGTTGTTTATGGACACATTTAAAAGGTATACTATAAAAGTTAGTCTGATGTAATCATATTATCCTTCAAAAATTTGAAAGATTAAGAAAGTTGTAAAACTATTCAAAACAATTTTTTTTGTGTTTATCTAATTCAAGTATATAATAATAAGAACATTTTATAATATATTAATTCGTTAAAAGAAATATTAAAAATAAAGAAAAATCTTGGAAAAATCATGAATAAACAATTATCAAAAATATTGTTAGGCACAATGAAATTTGTCCATTTAAAATATGGTTAAATTAGGGTTCAGATGTACAAACAGAAGACATAGGCGTTCCCATCATTCCAGACAACTTTGGTTCTAACTGGAGAGCTTTCATGGAAGAAAACGCCCGCTATCCAGGTGGTCTACCGGTTGTCTGGCTCGGACTGGCTCGAACTGGATTGTAGCTGTTAGATCTTGAGAGGTCCGGGCTCGTTCGATCTGCTGATCGCCAAGGAAATAAGCGTATTCGAGGAATAATTGTTTAAACGTTAAGAGGTTAACCCGAGATATATAGTACCTCATATAGGCGTGGTTTTTAACCAATTCTTATATATGCATTTATATATATATATGTTAGTATATCTTCCCGGTGTTAAGAATTACGTCATTTTAAAACAAATATCAATTATAGTCATAAGAAAAATATAAACACTCAAACACATATTTTTAATGATTATATACATATAATACATAAATGTATATATAAAAATGCATTATTATATATAATTATACATACAATTAATGACATATAATATATTATATATATATATTATAATGCATGTATATATAATGTATATATTTATGCATACATAAACGTATTTATAAATATACATATATTATTATTATTATTATTATTATTATTATTATTATTATTAATATTATTAATATTATTATTAACATAGAAATTTGATGAATCACTGTGCATATTCATAAAATTTCAAAAACCTAATACTATACATATGTTTAGTTAATCTAGGTGAATATAGTATTAGTGATTTAGTGTTTGTGTTTCAGCATTACAAGGATTATAATATATTACAGATTTGCAGGAAAACCAGAATGAAAAGAAAACAAATTATAAAATAAATGAATATTAAATAGAATACACACATAAATTATATAAAGTTAATAATAATCCAAATGAATATATTTTGCATAATTGATTCATCTGATGAACTTTTATTAAATTACAAAAACAGATTAGGACTCTTATATTAATAATACATAAGTTCAACTGGATCGATTAGATTGAAGAAAAAACAAAAACAATGTATTATGTAAAACATAAATATGAGATAATTTTTTAAACAGCTTTTTTTTTGCACTTTTTGATGTATGCTTTTATTTTTTTTTTCTAACAGGTTGAATACTACTCATTCGAAAGACAATGATAAATTAAAACGGGTTAAGATTAAATTGAAGATTTATAAGACGTGTTTCATTAAATCATTGAATTCACTTGTATTATCATTCACTACGAAGGATATTATGTTTTATGATGTACTCTGGTATTTTATATTTGTTATTTTTGGAGATCATATATTTCTCTTTTTCTCTTTCTCTCTTTGCATTTATCGTTCCCCTTATCTATATTTTTAATGATTATTGTGTAGACGAAACTAAATGTCCTGGAGGTATAAACTGGTTAATTGTTTTTTTTTTTCTACGTATCGTGTTCTTACAACTCATCGAGGAATGTAGTAATGACATGTATATATGTATATATTCATAAAAACGATACTGATGTATTCCCCTTTTCAGTCTTTTTTTCTTATCATAGAAGGAAAGACAGAGAACTAACAAAAATTGAATAAGTGTAAATAAAAAAAATATTGTGAATATTAGTAATAAAAGTAGGAGAAAATTTTGTGCGTAAAGAAAAGCAAAAAATATTCATAATAATGATAGTGTGATAATTTTTGATAAAAACACAAATACAAAAGTAAACATTTAACATACAAAGGAAAGTGTGGAGTTTCATACGAATTAAAAACATATGCGATCGAAATTTTTGTTTGCTTTCAAAGTGGATTCTCATACGTATTTAGAAGTATGTATAAAAAGGATCTTTTTTTCTTTCATATATACAAAATCTCATTTATTTGTCTATCTATCTCTTCGTAAATCGATTTCTTGAAAATGATTTATCATAATATATCATGGTAAAATATTTGATAATGATGAACGATCCAAATGCGGTGATGAAATTCGAAGGCGAATCGCTCTTTATATAGAATCCCCTCAAAAAACACATAAAGAAAGAGGAAAAGAGAAACCGAAGCCATGTGTACTTACTTATATACAAATGTATGTACGCTGATCGCGTTTAAGTGCAATCGTAAAACTGAAGAGTTTTGGATTGCTTACCCACACTTCCTGTCCTGATTCCGGTCATCTAAAGCAAAAAAAAAAAGAGAGAAACATAGTATTCGATCCAAAGAACACGTTCAAACGGAAGTTAAAATTGGCGCCACAAATTTTGATTTTGAATTGGCAATGTTGGTAAGGTAGGAATCTTCACAAAAGTAATATTTCAAAAATGATATCAATTGGCATGATTTATGTACATATTTGCATATATATATATATATATATACTTTATATATTTACATACATATATATGCACATATATATGTATGTTCATATTTTACATGATCCTGACATATGTTCATAAACCGAGGGCGTCTAACTATAGTTCCACGAACGCGAAATATTAATTTAGATTTCTGCGAGTTCTCTTCTCGATGGTATGCATGCATCATAAATGCTTTTCTTGGTAGATTACTCGGTATTTCTTTGAATTTTCATTCATATCACTTTTCACTATCTCTCTCCCTTCCTCTCTTTATCTCTCTCTTTCTCCTTATCTAACTAATTTTCTCACTTTTCAAAGACTATATTAATTATAGAACGAAATTCAATTTTCACGAGCCAAGAAACATGGAAGGTCAAAGGGAATTCCATATCCGATTTTATACATGCATTATATATACAGTGAGTCACAGGAATATTTGTACTCATTGACACTGTAAATTTGAAATAATCTATGAACGCATTCAATTCTATTAATTTAAGGAATTCAATTAGATTTCCTTCGAAAATTATAAAAATACGAACAATGATTGCTCGTATTTATCTCTTTCTGTCCTTTAAAAACAGATTTTTTGTAAGTCGTGCTGTTCTATCAATTTAATTACTCACTTTTTGTGAATTCACATATATCTTCCTTATTTCCTAAAACTATTAGTTTAAATGTATAATAAAATTCTTGTTATACTCTTTCCCAAAAATTCTTAATTATTTTGGGTAAGATTTAGTAAAAGCATACAATATAATACTGATATATGTATGTATATGAATCGGTCTCTTGTGGGTGATACTTTATCCTTGTATACCTTTTACCATTCTCCAATAATTATGAAAATCTCAAGAGACTCTTCAATAAGATGAGTAGGGAAATATAAAGAGATAGAAAATCGTATTTTATTAACTTCTGTATATAATCTTAAAATAATACGATAATCCCATTTAATCGCATTCGTTCCATTCCTTCACAAATTATAATTATCGTTGCTAATGTATCATCGATGATGTATATAATTATCTTTATTATTCTTTCGTATTATTCGTATTCTAAATAAAAAAATTGTATTTTTTATGAAAAATAGAAACAGAGATAGATAGATAAAAATAATAGAATTAGAGATAAGAGAGAAAGAGAGAGAGAAAGAGAGAGAGAGAGAGAGAGGAAGAAGAATTAGTAAATCATCAATAATAGGTAAATAGATGGATAACCAACAAGGATATTACTCTTTTATGTGAACAAACGTTTCCGAATGCTTATAATAATTATGTTTTTGCTTATTATCTTGATCACGGAATAATAATTGCCGGTCGTATCATCTTATCACACGTGATCTTTTTCCTATTCTCTCTCTCTCTCTCTCTCTCTTTTTCGCGTGAAAATGAGTAATATTTTTGTATGTATATACATGCATTTTTAATTATATATAATTACCCTTGTCAACAATTTTATATAATTTATAAGAATATAAAAATACTTCTATGATTATAAAGATAACGATCATTAAATATATATATATTCAAAAAGGAATTTTTCACATGTTTAGATCATATGTGATACATATGTGAGTATGGTATAAAAGAAAAAGAAATTGATTGTGAGAGGAAAAAAGCTTAAAATTATAATTATTTAAAATAAACAAATATATTATAATAATATATATATATATAATATAAAATTATAATAATATAATAACAAAAAATATACACATTATATTATTAATAATTGTTATTAAGCATGTTTTTTTCTTTTTCAATTCTATAGCTACAAAAATATAAATAATGAAAATTAAATAATATATGCTACACATGTATAACATCTTGATTGTATATTTTTATTTTTTATTATTTTATTCTATTATTATTTTTAATTATTGAAATAATTAGAAAATGGTGTACACCCATGATACATAAATATATGATCTAAATTGATTCTAACTTTGCACACATAAGAAAGTTTTGACGATAAGATTTAAGACTTCTGAAAATAGGCTCGCGTACGTTCTCTCTCTCTCTCTTCTCTCGTTTTCTTTCTCTTTCTCTAGTTGATCATCAATAATATCGATGCTTTATTTGTGCCATTCTCACGGCGTAAGTAAAAGCAAGACCGAGATACTGGAGACTTGAGTCGAGTTCTTACCGGAATATTTTGCTTTTCCGTTAAAGAATGCTAATTGAGCTAATTCCGTCTCTTGCTTCTACGCACGACCAACATAAATATTACCAATGATTTCACGAGATTTAAGTTGAGAAACGGAAAAGCTTCTTTTCAAGTTCGATTTTTTGAACTTGTTATAACTTTATGTGTTATTTTTTCTTTCATTCTTATCTTCTATCGGTTTAATCAACCGATAAACAGATTGAATAATTGTTAGTCGATATATAATCAATTGATCGATATTTTACTCTTCTTCTTTTGATTAGATGATTAAATCTAATCATAATATATTTGTTATCACTTTTCTTTTATTAATGTCATTGTTTTTATTTTATTTTATTTCCTATAAAAATGTAATAAGACAAGATTAAATAGAAAAAAAAAAAAAAATAATTTTTTACATTGATAAAATAAATCAATAACAACAAGATAAATACATGTGTCATCGTTAAATTATATAATACAATTAAATTGTAGCAACTCCAGTTTTTATTCCATATTATTGTGCATTTTGTAGGAAAGGTGACAAACCAAAAATTCTTTATTATATATCAAAATTATTAAATTTAGAAAATAACGAGATTATACTTGATTTCATATGAAACAAGTAGTTGAAGTATGAAATTAAAACGTGATTAATCTTTAAAGTTTGCTTTTCTTTCTGCAACAATATATTCTTTCTTATCCCTTCCTGTAATTTGAATACCAATATTCGATTAGTCCTGCTGTGTTATCGAATTTAATCGATTATATTGATTATTTTAAATTGACAGTGGGAGTACAAATATTTCTGACAATGAGAGACTCATTGTATATATTCTTTATGTTTACATTCCAAATATTAGCGCTTTTTCGAATAATACCATTTGATTACATTTGATTTATTCTTTTCAATAAATATCCATATGATATAGTAGTCAAGTTCTTCTTTGAATAGAAAAAAGAATTGTCAAGGTTGTTCGACAAAATTCAGCTCAATGTCCCTCACCTAGTTTTATAAAATATACAATTTCTCCTCTCTCTCTCTTTTTTTTTTCTTTAAGAAAAAAAAAACAATTCAAACCATCTTATTTTACATTATTCAATAAAATTCTTACGAAGTAGTGTATAAAGATTTTCAGAATAAATTAACGATTTGAAATTCCTTCTTCTATCTTTCTTTCTTCTCTAAAAATAAGTGATAAAAATTGGTTATATAAATATCATAATTAATTAAATATATAAATATATTATTAAGTTGGTGAATGAATTAAAATATGAAATTTTGTAGCACTCAGCTTATTTATGGAATCTTTAATCAACTAATTTTCATTTTTTTAAACATTTAGAACAGTTTTTACGGGCTAAACAGCGTGAAAAATTATATTTCAGTGTTTATTAATTCTAATGATCAGAATTTCTTTAAAACTTTCATCAATGCATTAAAATTTCATTGGAAAGAATTTATTGAAGCAAATAGAATTTATTTTCATTAAATAAATAGGTTTTGAAAAAAGATTTTTCAAAACATATGACATTTTCAAACGCATCAACCTAATACAAAACTTATTGATAAATGCAACAAGTTGTACGTACTGAATTAAAATAATAGAAAGGGAAAAAGAAAAGATGTAAATCACAGGTTGCATGCTAAGATTACATAAAGGGTGTCTGAGGTTTTCTCGTAGAAACATTGTGAGAGTATTCTATGCTCAAAAATAGAAAGAAAATGTTTATTTAAAAATTATAACATAAATTATAAAACTGTTTGAATCTGATGTCTGAAAATGATGTTTAGCAATTTTGCACATGTTGTTTATTTTCTTAGAATGATTCAGTGTATTTTCCTCTGAACAATAGCTTAGTCATCTAGATCACTTAATCTCACCCTAATAGATTTTTATTTGAGGGTAAAACTAATACAAGAAGTTGATGCAACTGATTGTGAGATAGCTACACTTTATGTTATGGTAGAAAGAATAAAGAATACAGTTACAGAAATGAATAAAAGTCGATAAAAAATTCACTATATCATAAACAACGGTGGTAAACTTGTTTTCGCATAAACGAGTAACATTTTGAATAACACATTTAAACAGTTTTACAATTTATTTTATAATTTTTAAATAAAGCTTTAAATGATCTATCTTTATATTTTCTTAATTTAAGTATAAAATATGCTTTCAACGTTTGTAAGAAAAAATTTCGAACACTCTGTATATATTATGCATACAGGAAAAAAATGGGAGGGTCGCGTACTTACATCGTGTACATCGTATGAATTCGCAAAAGGGTGCGCGCATGCGTCTGATCGAGAAAGCACACGCCATTTTACTTGGAGTGGGGGTAGAAGTGAACGTAGGGAAGTGGCGCGCCAACTCGTTTCGCGCGGGATTCAAGTTCGTGCGTTCCAACTTTGCGCGCAGTGTATTCGCTGTGTTAAACGTCTTTAGACATACCTTTTTTTGTGCTCTCCATTTTCGTCATTCGTTAGTAGTCATCTTTTTTTCTTTCCTCTTGTTTTATTTTAATTTCTTCTTCTTCTTTTTTTTTCAATTTAATCGTGATGTACACGTCTATATAGTTTCTATCAGTTTATACGTGTTACATGTGTATTTATTGTTTATCTATTTATTTTTTACACTCTTTTTCTTACTTTCACCTAATCCTTCCGCTTTTTGGATTCTATTTATTTACTTTAATTTCTCAAGCAATTCTGACAATCTTTAAACATACATCTCCTGTTTTATAATAATTCGCTGTTATTGTGTGTAAGTTATACTGTGTTCTTTAAAAGTGTTAGTAAAACAAATCAAATACCATCATCGAATTCATCTTTCAACAAAATTACTCATCTTATTTGGATACAAACACATATACACATATAGGTTTTTTTCCCGTATAATAGTAAGTTTCGAATATGTCACTCAATGTTGGTGGAATCTATGAAAGATGTTATTACCGTTCGTTTATTATTATTGGTTGATAAAAAGAAAGATAAAAGATACAAATTAATTTATTATTATTTTATTTTAAATAAGAAATTCGTAAATTTTCGTAAATTATTAATTTTTGAATAATATTATTTTGTGGTTCTTTACAAGGAAATACAGCTTTTATTTTTTCTTTTAAATGTGAAAAAATACGATCGGCATCTAATCTTAGACCTTCAGAACTTACTATTGGCCGTACAGTTTTAGAGTCGTTAATATACGTACGTAAATATGTATGTGCGTAATGAAACATCAATGTTCTGTTTCTTCTCTTTTTCTTTTTTCTATATTTTTCTGCCTCTCTTCTTTTTTTTTTTCTTTTTGGAAATCAATTTTTATAAATTCATATTTTATTAATCTCCTTCACATCATTTCAATGTATTCCGCGTATATTACGGACAATTTAAAAAATAATCTTTGTATAAGATAACAATCTAAGGTATTTCATTGATAATCTTTTTGCAAGATAAGATCGATAATAAGAAAAAGAAATTCAATATCGAATTCGTTTTTTTCGAATAATAACAAACAGATTGTGTTGATTATTTTATTTTTTTTAAGAAACAGTTTGGGACAAATTAAAGGAAGAAATTTTGTATCAAAATTTACGTAAATTACACGAGTGGACAAAAAATATGATTTAAATTTTATATATAATAATATAAAGAATTAATATATATAAGTATTATATATATATATATATATATATATATGTGGGATTCGTGAAAAAAATTGGACCCGTTAACTGACTGGACCGGGAGACTCGAACCACGGATCTTTCGCTATCCGGGAGACTGCTCTTTTAACCAATTAAGCTATCCAGGGCCCACTGACCAATCCTTCTCACGAATGCCCAATAAGTTTGACATGGAGGCGCTCGTCCCACATATATATATCATATAATATATAATATCAATTATATATTAATTAATAATAAATAAATTAATAATGAATAAATTATATAAATATTATTAATCATTATATATCATAAAATTTTTCATATCTGTATCTATATATGCGTATGCGCATGCGTGTGTTTATAATTTAAAAAAAATTTGATTCGATATTGAAAAAAGATGGAAAAATTTGTCAAGGATCGGTAAAAAAAAATCTCTAAACTCTTGAAATAAAAGTCTGCATTAAATTATAAACGAGTAGACATACAAACTCGATGTCATTCATTAAACGTATTCATGAATATTTCATTTGATTAATTAAAAAGATAACATGTGTATGTGACATATTAAATCCACTTCACTTGTGTAAATGTGATTTCACAAGTCCCAAATTTTTTAATATTCAAATTACATTGATTTATAATTGATATTTTATTGTTAATTTTGTGTACTTTAAAAATATCGATAAAATTATATGGAATTTAGAAATTAAGATTTAGATTAATTTGTTTTTTATGATTTATTTATTTGATTTTTATTTAACTTTAATTCGTAGAAACTTCAACTTCCATGTTATTCTTTTACTTATTTAATTTATCTATTAGGAATATAATCATTACTACAAAACAAATAATTTACGTTCGTTATATCTGTCTCATTTAATTGATAATAATTTATTGTTAAAAAGCAAATAGAAAAAAAACTCATTTGAATATATGCTTAGTTGTTTATTGCGTTTGATATTGATTTTCTTTTATTAATACTATTAATATGATCTTATTGGTAGTATTTTGAAGTTGCTTGATTGAATTATCAAATATATGTTCGAAGAAAAACACAATAATGAGGAAATAATATTTAATTATGTTCAATAAAAAAAAAGTAATAAAAAATCAGGAAATATAGTATAATAAACACGAATACAAATTTCCTTTAAACGATCAGTCGTTAAAAAGAGTTAAAAATATTCATTATAATTTAAATATGAATTTAATATGCATTAGAAAAATATTTTATATTCATGTATTCATTAAGCGCGTTATATGAAATAGAAAAAAATGTTATTTTGAATATCTAATATCTAATTTTCTATCGTTTCATTTTTTCTTTTCTTTAGATCAGAAAGAAACGAAATGGAGAGCCGACTTCAAAATAAAAATGTCAAGGACGAGATGATTGGAGGAACACAGCAAAATGAAAATAATAAAAGATCTCCAATGACGTTAAATGTGAGCGGATTGTGGGATGTTGTTCCTCGTATGGACCATTACAGGTATTTATATAAATAAACTATTAATTACAAAATTGTATCTATTCATTATTAATATTTTTATCAATATTATTAATTATTATTATAATTGATTAGAAATAATTTGTTAAATTATTTATAAATATTATTTATTAATTATTTTTTTATGTTTAATTTATTTCATAATTCATATCCAAATTATTAATATGTTTTTATTATTATCTATTTTACGGACTTGAGGAATTCCCGTTTCCTTTATAATTATTTAACAACAAATCTTAAAAATCTATCTACATTATTATATAATAAATTAATAATACAATTATTATTATAAAAAAGATGAATAAAATATTCAAGAAGGATAGTCATAAAAATTGTTAATGTAATTATAATAAATATAATAAATAGAATTTTTTATTAAAAATTATGCATGTAACATACGTCACGTATATATAACACACACATTGTACAATTAATTTTATTATTCTTAACAATCAATAATTTTATCTTTTAATAAAATGTGTTCAAATTTAAATGATTTATTGGCGTAGAACAACAAACAATTATCATTTATCTTAAATGATTCTACATCTTAATCGAGCCTAAGTGCTCGCACGTTTCAATCTTTATATTAGCCTTATTGAACCTTCTCGACGTATATTAATTGTCTTTTAATCAGAATAGAATAAAAGTGTATTCATATATATACACTAAGAGATCCCAAATAGACAACATATTTAATAAATCAAGAAAATAACATGATACCACAAATAGTAATTAAGTTAATTGTATATAAAATTAATTAGAGGGAAAATAGATCTGATCTAATAGTCTTACGTGTATTCTCTAAGAAAATTGAAGTAAGAAAATACTAATCTTAAAAAGATAAAAATAAAAAACACAATTAAGTAATTATTATTTTTTTATATATTTATAATTTACGTAATACACACACACACACACACACACACACACACACACACACACATATATATATATATATATATATATATATATTATATGTAAATAAAAATAATAAATGAAGTTCATTGAAAATGTTACTTATCGAAATATTAATATTAGTTGTATAATTAATATTAACACAAATATTATAAATATATTTTATTAATAAACATATTACAGATTAAGTCGTCGTGCGAAGAGGCCATCTTTGTGTACTTTGCACGAGGGAAATTTGATAAAGGTATGAGCACCATTATTTTTCCTATCCATCGACCATTATACTTTAATGATATTTTTATCGATTTAGCCAACCCCTATAAAGGAATAATAAGATAGGATAAGATTAGGTAGGGTTGGATAAGTATATTGAGTTTACGTAGCAATAAAGGATTGATCAGGATAGGTAAGATTGCTTGTTAGGATTAAATGTTCACAAAGGAAAAATGTTGAACCCTTAACAAGTAGAAAATTTCAGCATTGTGAGTAAATCGTTACACGATAAGTGTTACAATCGTTAAAGATTGTTAATATATCTCAACTAAATTTAATCTTTATACAATACCTATAAATTATCTTATTAAATCCTGTAATCCTTTTTCAGGATACAAATGTTGAAGCAGGACAAACTGGGACAACATCGCAAGTTTATACTGGTGGAATTAAATTAGGATGGATCCAAGGAGTTTTAATACCATGTCTTTTAAATATATGGGGTGTTATGCTTTTCCTAAGACTCTCATGGGTTGTAGCACAAGCTGGAATATTACAGAGTACGATCATTATAGGAATATCAGCTGCGGTGTGTGTTATTACAACATTAAGCTTAAGTGCAATTAGCACTAATGGCGAAGTAAAGGGAGGTGTGTGTGTGTGTTGAGTTACGATTCGATTACTTCTCGTTTTTTTTTCTTTTTCCTTTCATTTTTTCCGAAACAGGAGTGCCATTTATTTTATATATATACACATACAATATATACACTCAAGTGGTTTTTTAAACATGTAAAAAATGTTTGAATACCATATAAAAAAATCGGAAAAAATACGTTTCCTATTTGAAAAAAAAGGAATACGTTTTATATTATGCAAAAAACTATATAAAATAAGATAAAGAACTAGATTTAATTCTAAAAAACGGGAAAAAACAAATTATGACAACTTAACTATATGAGTTCTGAGATATATAGTACAGTATTGTTCAACTTCTCTTATATTAGTCCGCGTGCCATTTTTTTTTTTTTTTGAAAATATTTCGAAAGCGATAGAAAGTTAAATAATCAAAAAATCTTTTTTATTTTGATTATTACTTTAGTTTGGCATAAATGTTTACTTAAACTGTTATTTAAAAATATTGATTATTGTAACTTCTGACTGTCAGGAAAATTCGTACCAATTTTTATATCGAATATATAGTAAGTTGCAGGAGTATTCGTACCCGTTTTCACTCTAAATTTAAAATAATAAATATTTGCTTATAATGCAAAGTATCACAATTCTATTCGAAAAAAAAACCTATTTTAAAATTAATAAACTTTCAAATTAATATAAATTGTATTGTAGAAGAGCATTTTATTGTTAGAGAAATATAATTCTATTTAAATGAGAGATCAAAAATTATATTTCTCTAACAATAAAATATTCTGCTGCAATAAAATTTATATAGAAGTATATATATATGTGAGTGTGTGGTTATGTATATATATATATAAGTTATATATGTATATCATGCGCGGTTTCTTTTTTCTTTTTTTTTTTTTTTTAATAAGTAAAATTAATATATCAATTTGCAATTTTACTTATTAAATTTTTCGTTCAATAACTTATATTACTATTTATATATTATTATTTTCTAAACCATTTTTTCTTAAAATAGAAAACAACAAATGAAAAATGATAAATTTACAGGTGGCATATATTTTATCATCTCTCGATCACTCGGACCTGAGTTTGGTGCATCTGTTGGAATAGTCTTTGCATTTGCGAATGCAGTTGCAGCATCCATGAACACTATTGGTTTCTGTGATTCCATGAATGATTTACTCAGAGAACATAATCTTAAAATTATAGATAATGGAGTACAAGATGTTAGAATTATTGGTACTATTGCTCTTATAGTGATGATATTGATTTGTGCTATTGGCATGGAATGGGAATCAAAGGTTTGTACGTTTATACATTTGTTTGTCTTTGCTTAAAAATTAACATTGTTTTTTTTTCCTCAATTTTTAAATTAATCACTATTTGAGAATATATTTTAACATATTTTTTATATATTTATCAGGCTCAGAACTTTCTTATTGCAGTCATCATAGCTGCTATTTTTGATTTTTTAATTGGTACTATCATTGGCCCAAAAAATGAAGAACAAATCTCTCACGGATTCATTGGCTTTTCGTGTGAATATTTTATATTATTTATATATGTATACATATATACATAGAGTGAGGTAAAAGTTTTTATGTAGGACTAGATGATTTTATAAATTAATTGCTTATTTAAAAATTTTTAAAAAGAATAATTGATTTTTAAAATCACACAAATTCATTGGCCTATTTAGAAACATTTGGCTCACCCTGTTTTAAATACATCTGATTTATAATATTTTTGTCTTCATGTAATGTATAAAATCTTTTTTTCTTTATTTTTTTCAGGGGAAGTTTTTAAAAGCAACTGGGGCTCGGATTATCGATTTTCTGAGAACAACAATCAAACATTTTTTTCAGTTTTCGCAATATTTTTTCCTTCGGTAACTGGTATCCAAGCTGGTGCAAATATTTCGGGAGATTTGAAAAATCCAGGAAAAAGTATACCCATTGGAACACTCTTAGCTCTCTTAATATCCATGATAAGTTATGTCACTTTTGTGTATTTTGCTGGTGGAGCAGCTTTGAGAGATGCAAGTGGTATCATTGGATTGAATGGTACTCTTGAGTGTATATCTCAAAATAATTGTTTATATGGACTTCATAACAGTTATTCGGTAAATTGTTAAATTAAAAATTTTAAACTAAAATATTTAATTTATGTATATTATATGTGTATCATTAAACATTGTTTGTATAGGTCATGCAATTGATGTCACTTTGGGGACCGCTCATTTATGCTGGTTGTTTTGCTGCAACACTTTCAACGGCCTTAACTAATTTATTATCAGTACCAAGATTAATCCAAGCATTAGGTCAAGATAGAATATATCCTGGATTAATATTTTTTAGTAAAGGATATGGAAAATCTGGTGAACCATACAGAGGATATGCACTTACGTTTGTTGTTGCGTTTGTATTCCTTATGATAGGTAATTAATATCAGTTGACAATATTTTCCATATTATTACATATATATTAAATTACACAGATGAATTTGTATTTAATAAATTATTTTTACTTTCAGCCAATCTTAATGTAGTTGCACCATTAATATCAAATTTTTATTTAGCTTCCTATGCTCTTATTAATTTCTGCGCATTTCATGCTGCACTCATACGACCACTAGGTTGGCGACCTACTTTTAAGGTACGTTTCTTTAATAAAAAAATTAGTTTAAAAAAATAGAAGGCTTTTATTGAAAGATAAAGTATTTAATTAATCTTAATGAATAATTATCTTTTATAGTATTACAACACTTGGTTATCTCTATTTGGCTTCATTGTTTGTGTAAGCATTATGTATTTCATCGACTGGATAACTTCACTAGTAACATTTGTTATTATCTTTGCATTATATCTGATAGTTGTATATCGTAAACCAGATGTTAATTGGGGTAGCAGTACTCAAGCGCAAACTTATAAAACTGCATTATCTATTGTATATAGGTAAGTTCATATCTTTCAATTATTAAATTTCTTTTATTTTAAATAAGTCGAATAAATATTTTATGTATACATATAATATATTACATATATATAAATTTGTAGACTGAATTCTATAGATGAACATGTGAAAAATTATGCTCCACAAATTTTGGCTCTTACTGGACATCCTGGTACAAGGCCAGCTCTTTTATACTTGGCAAATCTTATCACAAAAAATAATTCCTTGTTAATCTCTGGGGAGATATGTCAAGTAAGTACTTTAGCATAGGATTTATAAGAGTCGAATGTGGATTAATGGTATTTATAAAATAGATCACAACTAATTGATTAATTGCCTTTTAATTAGTATTTGATTTATATCAATATATTCTATTGATTTTGCATATTAAATAATACATTTTATATTGCTTAACTTTTAATATATAATCATTTAATTTATTCTTAATAATGATTCAATAAATTTTATAAAAACATTGATATTTATTATCATTTGAAATTTGAATTTAAAATATAAATCTTTTAAAAAAATATAATGATAGAAATCGTTCAAATAAAATCTACTACTTTAATATATTACTTTTTTACAGACTCGTTTGTCTTATCGATTACGATCAGTACATTTAAGAAATGGATATGCTTGGTTGCAAAGACATAGAATCAAATCTTTTTACCATGTTGTAGAAGATTTAAATTTAGAAAGAGGTGCATCGGCATTGATGCAAGCTACAGGAGTAGGAAAATTATCTCCAAATGTTGTCTTAATGGGTTATAAAACTCATTGGTCAACTTGTAATCATAAAGATCTTCAAGAATACTTCAACGTACTTCAGTAATAAAATATTATCTAATGTTACTCTTTTCATTTGTTATGTATTTTTATCAACATTTTTTCATTCTTTCTTTCATTATTTCAGTAATGCATTCGATCACAAATTGGCTGTTACAATTCTACGTATTGAAGATGGTTTAGATTGTTCTGAAGTAACTTCTACTGTAGTAGACGAAGAACATGGAACTCTAGCACAAAGTAGTTATGATTTAACTGGTTCTACGTTGATGCATGCTGATAGTGATCTCTCTATGAGTAGTCAAATACCAAGAGTACAAAGTGTACCAACTATAGGTATGTCGAATACATTACATCATATCTTAATAAGTATTACACGTATATATATATATATATACATTGAAAAATTAATCATAGAAAATTATGACATAAATATATTGTACTTTTATTGTTTATATGAATAGGAACACAATTTAATTCAGTTGAGGGACCAAATGTAATTAAAGAATCTCCCACTCATTGGAGTGCACGTGATCACATCAAGCAAAAGAAAAAACAAGCTACTGATAAGTTACTCTCGTAAGTCTTGCATATTCTTTTTGATCAGAAAAGAAGTACTGTATACCTAAATATGATATACATATTTATGATTATATATATATAGATGTAATAAAGTATGATTTTTCAATGATATTTCAGTGAAAAACGAAACGGAATGCCAGTGCTACCAGAACATATGACAATTTTCCAAAAAAAACATAAGAAAGGTATAATTGATGTATGGTGGCTTTACGATGATGGAGGTCTAACAATTCTTTTGCCATATATCATTAGTACTCGTACTAATTGGGAACATTGTAAAATGAGAATCTTTGCTTTGGCTAATCACAAACAAGATATTGAGGCTCAAGAAAAGGAGTAAGATTTTTCAAATACTTGTATTAATCTGTTTCTTTTATATAAGTGTTTTAACGATTTTTTTGTTTATTAACAGAATGGCTGAAATAATGGCTAAATTTCGAATAAAATATACTAGTTTAAAAATGGTAGATGACATCAGTATTTCTCCTCGACAGGATACTCAAGATTTCTTTGACAAACTTATATCTGATTTTCGAAGAAATGATGCTTCTGATAATTCAGGTTTGAACACTTATTATTATGATTAAATGATTATCTTCGAAAGCATCAAAAAAATTAATAAAATTTCTTGTTTGTAGAGTGCTGTGTCACTGACCTTGAATTACACACATTACGTGACAAAACTAATCGACAATTAAGACTACGAGAATTACTATTGGAAAATTCAAGTCAGTCGACACTGGTAGTAATGTATGTAATTATTTATAATGATCTTTATTTAAAAATAATAATAATAAAAAGATAATAAATATTTAACAAATAATTTACAGGTCATTACCAATGCCAAGAAAAGGGGCAGTATCAGCACCATTATATATGGCGTGGTTAGAAGCGCTAACTCGTGACATGCCACCAACGCTATTAATAAGAGGAAATCACACTTCGGTATTGACATTTTATTCGTAGTCTATAAATGATCAATTAGGTTTATTGATATTAGTATTATTAATTGCTTAACCTGTATGATGTTTAGAAAAGAACTTTTTAGCTAACATCATATCTGACATAAGTAGACAGTATTTTCTAAGACATTAATGCCAAATCTCTCTCTTGACAATGTGTGTCTTACACATCTCTTTTTATCTCTTCTCTTTTTTATATATTACTATGTACTTATTATTATTATTATTATTATTATTATTATTATTATTATTATTATAATTTATCTTATACAAAAAGAAAAATTGAACTTTGAAAGAAGGTAAATTATACGAAAGTACAATTTTTAAATAGATAATGTAATTATAAATTATATAATAACAGTTTACGTACCGAAGGGTTTTCAAAAAACACGATTGAAAGAAGCTGAACAGCGTGATACTGCTTCGTCAATTAAATGTCACAAATGCCGAAGGTCACAATTGCGTACCTTTAATTAATGGTCGACAATGGTAAAAGCGTGCCGTCAGTTGTCTTTATCGACGAAATGCGCTGACTTTTTTGACAAGAAATTTGAGGAGCGCAAAAGTGGCTCATGTGGTACTTAAACAGATCAATTAATTATTATATAATTTATAATCGACGACAAATATTAATTAACGACAATATCGATCATAAATAGTAGATAGATATTTGCAGTACAATAAAATACTTGTACTTAATTGGCTTAACATAGTTGGAATTTAGAGTACCGCGTTAAAAATGTATTATCAATGCATGTATTTCATGCATATCGTTCTATAACAAATTTTTCTATTAGTATTTATATAGTATTTATGTACGATAATGGCCATTTACACTTCTATAGTCATTATATAGTTGTACGAACTTTGAAAATTTCGTATAAAAAAGAAAAAGAAAAGAAGATACTTTTATTCTCTCAATATTTTCATTATTTTTATTATGATAAGCATATAAATAAGTTACTTTTTTCAAAAAATTTAGTTACCATTGTACTAATCCCATTTTGTTCCTTAAACACTCTATGGTATAAAATGTACAGAATATTTTATCGGCAGTCTTATTATTTATAACGCTTGCATATATAAGATATCAACAATGCTAAATTGCATGTTTAGAAAATAGTGTAGTCTAATTTTTCATTATAAAATAATATCACTGTACTTATTAAGCATCTTTTAATATACTATTTCTTCTACAAATTTCATTCAAATACAATCCAAAACTTTTTTTAATTATCAATATTATGCATTCGACTTCTCCCATTGAATGACGAAGTTCTAAAACGAATATTAAGAAAATTCTAATAATATTGTATATACGTATGTATATATACCCTTTCTTTTTCTTGAGAATTATAATAAAAAAAAAATCCTTAAATAATTATTTATATTAAGAAATACATGTACAGATTACTCCTTATAAAAAAATATAGTATCAATTGTAATTATATATAGCTTTTTGGTTTGAACTTATGGAACTCACTTGTTGTTATGAGTTTCAAAAATTTTAGCAAAAGTACACTGTATTTGTTCCAGCATATCACTCGCTAAAGTGGCTCTCTGTTTAATTTTATATGCTGCTGCATTACATTCTCTAATTAATCTTGATCCTGCATAAGATGCTAATACTGCAGGTGACATAGAAAATTCATTATTTGCATTACAAATAGCCCACCACCAGAAAACAGCTATGGATCCAACTAAAAGATCTCCTTGACCACCGCATCGTCGTCCAGAACCAGACATGCCAGAGCATACAATATCACTGTCTTCTTGTCCACTTACTATAACGTCTTTTGATCCTTTACATAAAATGACTACTTTTGTTCCAAAACTATTTGCCAAATCTTTAACATCTGTAGATTTAACCGTCGGAGAAGGTTCAATTGTTTTCTTTAATACAGATTTAACTAAACGAATAAATTCTACAGCATTAGGTGTAAGTATAAGATTTGGATAATTTATGACTATTTCAGGTTTTTGAGTTATTAAGTATAAACCATCTGCATCTATGACCAATGGTTTTTGCAGTTCACGACAGATAGAAATTAATTCAACTATGATTTTGAAAGTTTTCTCGTCTCTTCCCAATCCAGGGCCAATAACAATAATGTGTAAACAATCTAACCAAGGTTTTATATGTTTGATAGCATCGCTTTGATCCAAGATTCCATGGACGATTACATCTGGACTGAAAGATTTAATAGGAATGCTAGCCTCTTTTGCGCAGAATACATGTACCAAATCAGCACCGGTTCTAAGTGCACTCATTGCTGCGAAATAAGGTGCTCCTGTGTACTCTGCACTACCACCAAATATTCCAATTCTTCCATCTTGACCTTTATATTTGGTATTGTTTAAATTTGGTATGATTTTCCTTACTGTTTTTAATATACGTTCATCTGCAGATGCCCATGACGACATGGTTGATATACCAGTTAGATAAAAGAGTATTTCTGTAAACAAAATATGAGATATTAAAAGTTTTACTTTTTTAACGTTAATTATCTGATATTATTCTTATATTATATAATTCATACAAAAATATTAACCCTTTATCTGAATAAGTTTTTATTCTTAGCACATATTGAAAATATTACTTTCTCGTAATACTATTTTTTTATTGCTTTTATGATTAACAATTTTTTGTTATTATATTTTATTTGTTTTAAAAAACAATGAATATGATAATTATATATTTATATTTATCCTGATATTGAGAGAAATATTAAAACCAAAAATTTTTCCATCGAAATGTCTGTTTATGAAGACTGTGTGAATATGCGTATAAATAAAAAACAAAAGGATTTTTGTATATTTCGTTGCTATCGAAATATTTATAAGTCAAGTTGGTTAACTTTCATTTTCTTTAATTTTCTGCAAGAGAATATTACTTACAAGTAAAATAATTTTGTGTATAATTATTTCACAAAGAAGAAAAAATGTTTCGCCTTGAAAAATTCACGATTACTTAGATAGAAATTTAATTCTTACTTTGCTCTTTACGTATATTTTTTGAAAGTAACCGAATCATTGTTATCATCGAACTGTTTTTTAATCTAATCTATGTACGATTGGGTAGAAAACTTATTTTTAATGACTGTTCAATATACAACTAAACGCGCGAAGTTTAAAAATGATCTGTAATTACTAAGATGAAAATACGATTTAAATGAAATTTCATTGAAATTATTTTGAAAAAGTAATAATGTAGATTTGTTTAATGCTAATGTATTAATTGACTATGTATAATCTATTTCTCTATCCTAAGAGCAATATAAACAAGAGAAACCATTAATGCTAATGGTACCATCTGTTACTTTTAGATTAGATTTTATACTTACAATTAATATTCAGCCTTGCATCACAGTTCTCAGTCTTCAAGTAAAATTCATGTAATATCCTTGCATTATTAATATTAATATAAAAATGTTTTTTCATAATGCTTCTAATTTAATTACTTCATTCTTGGATATACAATGGAATCAACACTTAGGGGGAGAACTTGGACCGACAAATATCAATTCTGAGGTACATTCGTGTGTGTTCAAGTAATATATTAATCTATATATTATTATGTGATGACATAAAGGATTATGGATTCATAGTGGAAAGGAGTTAACACTACGAAGCATCACTTTCCATCTAAAATTTGGATAATAAGACCTACCTGGGAAACGACTCTTAAAATTCTCAGCATTTTGCCTATCATTTTTGTGGGTATACTGGCTAATGGTGCACTGATCTATATAATAATCCGTGCTAAATCTTTACACACTACTACAAACCTTCTCATCGTTAACATGGCAATTGCAGATATATGCACATGCATTTTATGCCCTTGGATGTTTCTCTGTGTTGATTTGTATCAAAATTATATACTTGGACCTATAGGTTGTCGATTAGATGGATTTATAGTGCATGCTTTGACATTAGTCGCAGTATTTAATTTGAGCGTAGTTAGTTATGATCGTTTATCTGCTATTGTCTTAAACTGTTCTAGTAGATTAACAAAAAGGTTACTATTTTTAAATATATATTATATTGTGATAAATATATTTTTGTTTTTAAATTATATATATATATATATATTTTTACATGTAGATCTACACATTTGCTGCTTTATGCAATATGGATTTCTGGTATAGGAGTTGCAACACCATTATGTCTCTTTCGAAGCTATTATGAAAGACAATGGAGTGATTTTCTGGAAACTTATTGTACAGAGAATACTGTAGTGTTGTATCCATATTGGCATGTTTTTGCAGGTTTAACTGTATGGGCACCATTAACTATAATGGCGATCTGTTATTCATCGATTCTCATTAAGGTACTTTATCTATTTTGTCTCTATCTATAGAAAGAGTATTATTATACTTTTGGTTCTAATTTTTAAGTTGGATAGATTTGAATCGCAAGCATTAAGAAGTAAATATCCAATCATAGTACGTTATAAAGGAAAAGTGGCTCGTGCTTTAGGTATTATTGTTTTGGCATTTATTCTTTGTCGGGTACCATTCACAGTATTAATCATTCAAAGAGCACGACTCTTGCAACAACCTTCTAAACCAGGACAAGCAGAATCTATGTATTTTCTTTGGTAAGTACATTATTTTTATAACTCATTTTCATATAACTATAAAGGAAATAATAATAAATTAATTTTTGTTTAGGTATATAAGTAGATATCTTGTTCTTGTTAATGCTGCAATAAATCCTTTATTATACGGTTGCAGTAGTAGTTCTTTGAGAAAAGAATTAGCAATATGTCCTGCTACATCTTGGCTTATTTATAAACGTAAAAAAAAAATACAGAAGCAACATAGCAATCAACAGTGTAATTCAGAACCGTTTAATTGTCTGAAACCTCGATCACCTTGTATTCGGGTAAACTATTATCAAAGAAGTATAATACCAAATATTTCCTCAAGGGTTTCTCCAATAAATTTGGATTTAAGTCCAAATTAAGATACTCCTTTCACATTTTGTTTTATAATAATAGACGTATAAATCAGTTGATCATTAAGCATTTATATTATTTTTCTTTTATATTATAATAATCATGTATTATAATGTTTAATAAAGTCATTAAAAATAGGCAGTTCAATGGATGTCATAATTCAATTTCAAGTCAACAATCAAATGCACATAAGAGGAATAATTGTACAATACATTACTTAATTGGTACGTTCCTGAGAGAGTCTGCAATTATTTTTCCACCATTCGACGTAACCAACACATTTCCATTCCATGATGCTTCTCCATCTCCATTTACAATAAGATCAGCCTATTAAAAATGGAAATATTTCATTAAAATCTTATATTTCTTAAGAAATTTATGATTCTACATTTTAAGTTACAAATACCTGCAACTTTTCCCAAACTTTTTTCTTTGGATTTAAAACGTCATCCGGTGTTCCACTTTCATAACCCTCTACGAAAACTCTATCACCAGGATTACTATTTTCCGGTGGTCTCAAAGGTTCAACTTGCCTTGTTGGCTCATCTCTGATTAAATAGTCAATAATTAATTCAAAATAAGAACAATTTTTTGATAAAGTATGAAAATATAGAAATAATATCTTACACAGATGCGCAAAGAACCATTCCATGTGATTGTATACCCCTGAGATTAGCCGCTTTAAGATTTGCAAGTACAAGTACCATTCTATCTTGCATTTCCTCTATAGGAACAAAATTTACAAGACCGCTGACAATAGTTCTAGGACCATTATTTTCACCTAAATCTATTTTTTCCACGTATAATGAATCGGCATCAGGATGTTTTTTCACATCAACGATCTTTCCAACTTTAATATCCAATCTCGATGGTACTATTTCATCTACCACCTCTATCCATAAACAATAGAAGAAATTTGTTAATTGAAACGTATTTAAAAATCAATACTATATGGTCAACTTCAAAGAACTCACTTTGCTTCTGCGGTGGGTATGCTTTACTGACAAGAGATTTTAATTTAGGACATGTATCAAATTCTTTTCTAATTGGATCTAAAAGCCTATTTATATATATTTCAGCAGCATTTTTAAGATCACCAGGATGTATTTCTTCCTTTGCAAATGCAGCTTCTAATTCCTCGTATGTAGAGAAAGATATATCTCCACCTATATCAATGTTTGACAATTTTAATACTGTAATCTGTTAATTAATACATGTGATAATAATGTTTTAACAAAAATTTACATTTTATACATACCAAAATCTTTGCTTCTCGGTACATTATAAGATTCTCCTTTTTTTAATAAACTAAATATCACATGTTTAGAAAAAGTAAGTATTCCATTATCATTGATATTACCAGGTTCGCAGAATGCTTTTTTCAACTTCTTTTTAACTGTTGAAGCTCCATCAAGAAGATCAATTTTTGAGTCTTCTTCAGAAGATGACATTTTAGCACCAGCCAGTCCAGGTACTAAAAGTGAATTTCAAAATATATTTTCTTTCACAAATATTATAAGAGTCTACTTTCTTTTATAAATTCATTATATACTGACTCATAGGATTCATTAAATGGATACGTTTATCATATCCAAGCATTGGTAAATATTTTTCAGAAAAGGTAAAAATCTTTCTTTGATCTATTCCACCAAATTGAGCATCGATATGAAGATACTCTTCATCCAGTGCTTGCAATCCTGGATATAGCAAACCAGAAAGTAATGGATTTGCAATTTGTTTGACAACTTCTGCACCTGCCTTTTTAGCATCATGTTCGGTTACAATAGAACTTAATCGATACATATCCAAAGTATATTCCCTTAAAAAATATAATATAAAAATTGTACTTGCATAATAATAAATCTCACATATATACAATATACTTTTCTAATACTAACTTGGATAATTGATAATCCGTTCCTTTAACAAATTTAAGTTTGTCCAAAGGCACGCCAATAGATTTAAGCATAGCTTTAATAATAACTTCATAATATGATGTTCTTAATTCTAAAAGTTCCCAAGGTGCTTTCATATTATCTAAGTAAGCATGTAAGTCAGCGAATAAAATAGTAACTTCAGCTCCAGCATTTAAAAAATCAGCTATCTTTAACATTGGTGTAAAGTATCCGATATGGGGTTTGCCGGTAGTAGCAGTACCCCAATATATCTTAAGATCTCGTTCTTTCAAAATACTTTTTAATTTTTCATCACCAAGCCATTCTCCTAGATTTCTTGTTATGAGATTATACTTCTCGTTCCAAGTTAATTCACCCATTTTAATTTTAGTCTACATAAAATAAAAACATGTAAATAATTTAGTTAGTAAATTGGAAAATGTTAACCTCTCCAAGTACTGATGTATGTAATGAGTAAAACTGAGAAAGAATTACATCATATAATGACTGCTATCTAATTCATCCAAAAATGGTACTAAGGTGAAACTAAGCTAGATATAATATTGTGAGATAGACTTTAGGGATTTTCTATGTTTAATAAAGCTCCATCAGACCTTTAAAGCACAGATTTTGTCAAAATGTTGTAGGACTATACACTATGTAAGTAGTAAAATTTAATACTCAATTATTTTCAAAAACTGAAGGAGAAAGATTCATATAATTTGTTATATATTAATAATAAACGACAATGAATTGAAAAACCACGTGTAACCGGTAAAGCACGTGTAGTTGTCTTGTCAAATATTTAACAGGTCTAAAATTATAATTAAACTGACAATATTAGAAAGACAAATAAATAGATGTTCTGTATTTTTACTAATTAATCAATACTCATCTAACCTATAAACCTATGCATTCTTACCCGTCAGATTATTAACTTTACAGAAGAAGAAATTAAAAAACTTGACACAACATATGTGTATAACTTGAGGAACAGATTACGCATTACCCCCACTTTTTTCCATTTTCCTATTCATCCCCTTCCAATATGAGCTACTGTCGAACGTTTGTCGCTGTGGTTGCATTGGTTAAGCCAGCGAAGAATATCACTGTTCCATTTCGAATAAAAGTTGTATCTATTTATTCTATTTTTTAAATAAACATCAATGTAAAATATTTATAAAATAATCTCTTATTCAATTGGAGATAATTGAATTAAAATTGTATACATTTTGATAAATTCAAGATGAATTCAGAGTCATCTAGCAACAAATTATATAAACATACAAAATCCTAATTTTTAAATGCACTTTTTTAAAAACCAGAATAGAATACTTTTTTTTTAAATCAAAATTATCAATTTTGATAAGTAGTTTTATTAGTTTATCGTGATAATATAGTATTAGTATAGTAATTTTTGAAAAAATTTGTAACGATGTGAGAAAAGAAATGATTCAAATAGAAAAAGAAAAAAAAAATCGACAGGATGTGAGGATTTCGAGATAAATCAAACGAACCGATTCATTTAAAAGCGAGTGTCCTAGATTCATGCTATATCGTAATATTTCCACCTTCCTTCGACACTACTTCTTGAAAGAGTACCAAAAAGAAAGGAAGCCAATGTTTGCCATTCGGTTTTCTTTGGAAGACATCTCAGTGCGTATCCACAGCCACTTTCATTGTTCTTTTATCTGCCTTAGCTTCAACAAGACATTTAACTTCATTCTAACTATCACTGATTTCTTACCGACTACTTCAAATATATCTGGCATTTTTTTATTTACGTTACCAAAGGAGAGCAAGGAAAAGAAGGAGAGATTTTTTCATTGGTGATTTTACAGAGAAAGTTAATCTGGAAAATTCGATAGAGTAAGTATACTATTTCTATATATAACATATATAAGTAAAACTTTTAAGATAAATATTTGAAGGAATAAAAAATAAAAAAATGAACTTAATTTCTAGAAATATTATGGTAATGTTTTATATTATAATGCATCATAGTTATGATTTTTGAATGAAATCATATTTTTTGTCATTGAAAAATAGAAAATTCTTTTAATTTCGAAAATTTTGATTCTTGTCAGATATAATTATCGAACCGCGTAATCATTAATAATAATTGACAATGAGATTTCACTTTAACTGGCGTAAGATCTTTTAAATTCTGGTATTCTAACGAAACAGATTAATTACTTTATTTACATATTCATGAATGGAGTCTACAAGTTATCTGTGTTTCAATCGAATACTATCTTTTGATTTCTAAATGGCGCCAAAACGAAGGTCGACCGAGATTGACCGAAGATAGCCGAACGTATTTAAATAAAAACACGTGACCATTTCGATTATTTGTTTCAAATAATTATACGAGGAAAATAAAGAGAATAAGGAAAATGACTAAGTAAATAAATCATTTTCGAGGCCTTTCCAAATGGAAAGACAAACATCTCTCGAAATCGTTTCCTAGTTTCACCGACTCTCGCTAAAATAGACGGAAGGAAGACGTATTCATGCTCTGTTTAAGAAGTACGGGTTCACCGAGTTTCTACTCAGGATATTATATAGATGTACATATTCAGATCTGCCAAGATAGTTTTAGGACTTGGAAATCTTTATTTTTTGTCTCTTTACAGTTTTTATTTTTTTAGACTTTACAGTCTCTTTCTTATTTGTTTCGTCGATTAAAAATTGTCATTCTTGAGTGGCTTTAAGATTTAAAAAATTTGTTTTTCTCACAAATATCTATTTTGATCCTTCAATTAAAAAATTTCTGTTTTTTTCTTTTTTTACAAATATTTATTATCTTATGAATAATCATTGAAATTTATTTAAAAAATTCTTTAATCCTTTAAATTAACCAAAACATTGTTTTTTTTAAATTAATTAATTAGGTTATGCCATCGTATACAATCAAACCTTGGACATTGTCGTTATTAACATTAATATTCATTACGTTCGATTGGACAAGTTCGGAAAGTGGTACAACAATTGGAAACAGAGATGGTTGTGGTGATAGATTGGAACGTGCTTTGGATGCACTTCAAAGAGATTCGAATAGACGAAGAAATAGATTACAAGAAGAAGGAGAAGGTCGTGAACCAAATTACCAAGAAGAATTACGATCCGCACCATTGGCAATGATGATTTCGCGAATTGCAGTAAAGGTATATATTATTTTTATTAAAAGATTATAAATAATAATAATATTATGTATTTTATTTTATATTATAATGATAAAGGGCAAATACAAATCATTTATTGTTATAATTTATTTGCTTAATATATATATATATATATATATATATTTTAATTTATAATATTTATATTAGTTTCCACAGAATGCAAGAAGTCGAGGAAGTTCATGGGCAAGAGTTGAAACATGTTATTTTGAACCTTCGAGTAATTCATTAAAAACCAGAGTAACATTCAACGATTTATCTATATCAGGAACAGTGTCATTATTGATGAGAGAAGAACGGAGATCTCATATACCTTTGGAATCATGTAAAATGACTTTACGATTGAGACAAGCTGGTATCGATATTTTCACAGGTACAATTGCCAGAGCTCGTGGACAAATGCGTATACGTACGGAATCAAGCTTTTTAGAGCCAAGATTTGCTTCACTTTACGCCTATGGATGTCATCCAAATCGTCATGAGAAACAGCTTAAAAGGCAGGACAAGTGGCCACCTTATTATCCTCCTCGTGATGACGTAATAAATTTAATTTATAATATTTAATTGAAAAATTAAATGTATTTTATATAAGATAGATCTTAAAAGTTGCTAACTAGGTTGATTAATCAATTACTTTTGAATCCAATTTTTATTTTTGCAAATTGTAAAACTAAAAGTTAAAATAATTAAAAAATTAAAAAATCCTAAACAAAATAATTAATTTTATTTTCTAGCTTTCTGTATTATCGGCTGAGCCACGTCGCCTATTCACCGTATCCGAAGATGCAGATTTATTAATAGCAAACGAAAGTCGAGTTGCACGTACTTCAAGTACACCAATAAGAAACTTAGGTACATGGAGAAATAATCTTTGGATAACTAAATCAGTAGTACGTCGAAGGAGAGGAATTAAGAAACGTAATACGAACGATGTAACAATGACGATGACTATGAAGAAAGATAAAAAAGATCATTCTCCTAAGGATCATCAAGGATCTAGCTCAATGGAAATCGAGATAACACCGGGTGATTTTGTAACTGCATTGGTCAATGATAAAAAGCTTTCGCAAGCTAAAAAGGAATCGATAATGGTCAACGAATCAACTACAACAACAATGGCGTCTACTATTAATCTTTTAGATCGTTCTGTAAATTTGTTAAAAAACGAAAGTGTCGATGATGATTGCCAAGAAGAAAAATCTAATTTCAAAAGAGAATACAATTTTCACGAGTCACCAACAAAAATTGAATCTAGAGAAACTCTTTTGTTGGATGAAAATCTTTATGATATTTTTATTCCTAATTTTAATGATAATGATGATGATGATAACGTTAGCAATAATGATGAAGATCACGGTAATAATCGAAGTTGGCAATCGAAAGAAAATATTGCTAGAGAAATGGAAGATATTTTTCTTCGTGGTGCCAGTAAAACATTGACCAGTTACATCGAACGACAATTACATCCTGCTATCAAGGAAGCTCTTATGATTTCTATGGGATATACCATTAGTTATGGATAGATTATAGATAGATTATAGATAGATTAATAGATCGAATTACGGATGTACAATTAATTATTATTATTAGTAACAAATGCATTATTATTTTTGTCTTGGAAATTCAAATATTTTATATCTATCTATTTATTTATTTATTGAATATAAAATAAGAGTTAGGCTTAAGAAGTATCTTATTTATTAATTAAAAACGTATAGTAGATTATAAATATTATCATTATTATTTTATTTTTTTTTCTTTTTAAATTATACGTAGTAAATAAATAAAATGTATAAAATATAGTATAATATATTATAATATAATTAAATAAAAATAATATATATTTTCTCCTTTGTTAATTATAAACATTGCATGAATGTATTGTTCTATCCACAATGGAATTACTTTCGCTAAAAGAAAAATATATAATTTTCAAAACAAAAATTCTATATTATATATTATAATTCATAATATAATTTATATGGATTATCACTTTATAGTGTAAATTAAAACATAACGTGCGCATGCGAACGAATTGATTGACTAATTTCATTCGTAACTATCTCAACGCGGAAAGCGCATGTCAAACAAATTCTTTATCCATCTATCAATTTAAATCGATTATTTTAAAAAGATGACACTTTCTGCATTTCCTTTATACGGATATGTTTGAGAACATWCGTAATAATAATAAGCAAAAAGTGTTACGACTAGTTTACGGTCATCAACGATCTATTCTTTAGGTCCACAATGTAATTAAGAAACATCATTACTGTGTTGTATACCGTAAAGACAGGAAAACAAAACTCATTGTTAGAAAACCAGGACAAATATTTAATCGAAAACTAGAAAGAACTATCTTCTAGGTATGTAAATTACTTTAATATTTAAGAAAATTAAATTTAAAACAAATAAAATATCGAACATGAACGATATTATTATTGATTTCTAGATAAATAAATGTTCATTATTATTAAGAGATTATTACAATAATAAAAACATATTAGACATGAGTAATAATACAACATCGAAACCAAAAAATTTCTTTAGAAGAGGAAAAGTTGAAGATGCATTTCATTTATCTAATCAAATTCGAAAAAGAACATCGATTAAACGAAATACTCAAGCTAATATCGATTCTCGTCGTCGTAACTTGATCAGGTAAAAATAAGAAAAATAAAACAATAGTTAAATAAATTATAAAAATATCCATTTTTTTCTAACAATAAATAATCCTATTAATATTTTTCTTTTTTTCAAATTTTAAGGACACGTTATTATTTCACCAGTGATCATGAACATTTAGGAGAAGCTAGAAACGTTAATACTGAACAATCACCATTTGAATTTCCATCATGTTCTCATATGTTTCCTTATTTTCAATTTTGGAAGGCTCAAAGACGTAAAACTATTGAAGCTCGACGTATAGCAAGTTATAAAAAATATGAGAGTACTTTACATACGCGCAGTGATATTTTTAGAAGATTGCGAGTGAGTTATCATTAATATTATTAACATTTTATTTATATAATATATTTAAGAGAAAAACACTATTTAGAAGACTGAAAAATTTTCAACTTTAACAAATTTTTTGTCTAATATAAGTATTGTTTTATATTAAAATTTAAAAAATTATTACAATTAAAGTGATATTAATTAATATTTAACACAGGTGGACGTGGCGGCGGAAAAAAAAGAAAAAAAGAAACACAAAGAATTGAAAGATGCATTCGCGATAACTGATGTTAATCCGGAATACTTCATCGAAACTACTGAACGTTTGTTAAAAGAAAAATTTTCTCTTCATCGATACATCAATGATCTTCGAGAAATTTTAAGAACCAAATTACTTGCTGGTGAACAACGTGATCTTTGTATTCATATAGAACAACAATTCGATGAGGAACGAAGAAGATTAAACAAGATCAAAGTAAAAAATAAAAAAAAAATAATATAAATATCTATTACATTTTCTTTTTAATTCAATACAATTAATTTTATTGAATTCTATTATAATTCATTAAATTTTATATAAATTTTTTTTAAGCGCCAATATCGCACATACTTTAATGGTTTTGAAGATTTTTTATCAAAGGATCACGAAAAAAGTATGATTATTTTAGAAGAAGCTGAAAAAGAATTGAAATTGACTTTGACGATAAATGAAAAGAGAACTTCTTTGATGAAGGAATATGGTCAGATTAGATTAGACTTGTATTATTGGGAAGAACGTTGGAGATTGGCAAAAACATGTCAAAAATTTCTATTTCAAATTTCACCAATATCATGGAGAAATGAATATGATTGGATTTATCGTTCACGATCAGGAGAAAGTATATTTTTAGCAACTACTGATGACATTTTTGGACGTTTTAAGATGGCCGAAGAAACAGCGTCTCTTGATTGTTTATTAAGTATTTAACATACTTAAATATATATTTATTCTTCATTTTTACTCATTATATGAATTGTCTATAGACACTCGTAATGATTAACTTCACCTAAAGAATTTTTTAAAATTCTAATGTCGAAATATTTAATCAGTGTGTGCTTACCTTTATATATTTAATATAAATTTCCTTAATAATTCACTTTAACTTTACTAAATAACAAAAATGTTTACGATCATTATATAGATGATATAATAATGTATATTATTTTATCTATTTTCCCTACTTTATGGTTTTGTAGAAACAATTAATTTGACAAATAAGCAGCTTTTTTTTTTTTTTATTCATAGGAATGTTTGAAGAAGATTTAATGGGAGCAGGTCCTACTAAACTTTATTTCGAGGATCCTTTTGATTTGTTACATGTATTTGAAGCAATAGAGACACAGAATTTAAATGCTTTGATACATTTGGAATCATTGGTAGCACCTATAGGTGAAATGTTAATAACGATTGCAGAAGCTGAAGATAGAATGGAACATGAGTTCGATGAGATTACTACTAGTATTGAAGAATTGGAAGTAAGTATATAATGAAAAACAATAGATGTTCATGCAAATTGTAGTACATATATGCAATATTTATATTTATATTTATTATGTGAGAGATAATAAAATTGCACAAGATATGTTGAAAGAAAATGACGAAATAATGGAATGGAAATTTCTCCTATCAATCATCATGATTGTTTCTAATCACACATGCGTTTCATTCATTGATAGATAGCATCAACAAATAAATCATGATTCTTTTTCTAATATCTTTTAATCTAGGATTCGATTCATAAAACAGAGGAGAGAGCAACGAATTTGCAAGAATACGCTAATTACCTTTTGCAAGGTGTATTTCGTGATTTGGTATGTTCGGAAGATGTTCTTTGTGTGTATGTCTTGATCGAAGATGCATATGAAACTTGTATAGCACCTAATGATGCTAAACTCAATAGTTTCACTATGATGAAGCTGATCGAAAAAACTCATGAGGAACTCAATTTAGAATTAGATACATTACCTCATGAAGTAGTTAGAAAATGCGAGAGAGAGGGTTTTAAACAAGAATATAAAGCTATCAAAGAAGCTGAAGATGCTGCTAGAAAGGTTACAATCTTTTTAATATATATTTTACTTTGTATTATATTATCTTCTTCTCTCTATTCTTTAAATGAACCTCGTTATCCTGTTTTCTTTCTCTTTTATTCTAGTTCGAACTAATGCATCAATTATTAGACGCATTAACTCGTATCATGCAGATGCCCATAATAAGTAAACGACAATTAAAGTGGCGTTCTACGCCAATTTATGAGAAAACGGAAAAGGTAGCTTCTTATGTCGAACCAACGGAAGAAGAGATCCAATATTTAACTTACTTTACAAATTATTGTAAACACGAAGACTTTACAAAATATCAATCTAAATTTCCCGATGACTTTGATCTAACATTTCAGACCAAAGAACCACAAATTTATGAAACTGCTTCAGATATGGTAATCAATGAAACTATAGAATAATGTTGATAAGAATTTAATAAATATAAAGTGTATATGTATTTTTTGTAATCAATTTACTAATATGAAATTATTTAAGTCATCTATACTAAAAAGACATTCATCAGACATTTTTTTATTTCATGTATGAAACTTCGTTTCTTCCGTTCAATTCATGGATAAATTACGAGATATACATCGATTTACACAATTTCTTTTTCGTAATAAATAATAAATCACAATCTTTTATCATTGTTAAACTGGATTACCTACTGTCCACTTTCACCATTTTGTTAAACTAAAATCTAACCTAAATGTACTTACATATTTACTGTTGTTTTTAACTTTGTAACGATTTTTATAAAATTAACATTTTTGGAGGATTACTCGATCGTTTCTAAATATAATGTAACAGTTTGTGATTTATCTCCAACAGTGATATTAAAATAAAAAATATAATAATGTATTGACAGCTAGCAATGTTTACAAATCTTTCTTATATAGACTTCAAATCAGGTAATAAATAATATCGTTTTTTAAAGGTTATGTCGATTAGATTTTAATGTAACGATTTTATAAGCGTATGAAATAAAAAAAGAACTATTGTTACTACACTATATGTTTGCTTACGTTTACACGTATAGTAAAGAGGGCGTCTGCTATGATAATCTGTCAGTTAACAAATGTGTCTTGCAGAAAAAGTGGTAGGGAGTTTGAAGATTCGTGGAATTTCGTGATATGCTACTACGTATTTACAATAATTCCTTATGTTTTATATTTAATTTTTGATCAATTAATCTTTCCTTTTTTCCCCTTAAGTTTAATTCATTCCAAGGAGTAACATAAGTTAACAGTATTTTCATTCGATTTTTTCTTACGTTTTTTCATATACTTACGCGTGAAATGTGATACATCAAATTTTAATGGTTTTGCTAAGATCAAAAAAATAATTATAATAACACTCATAGAAACAGTTATCTTTTAATGTGTGAATTGAAGCATAGTTAAATTATTTGATATCTTATTAATAATCATGGATAAATTAAGAAGAGCTTTAAGCGGTAAAGAGGAGTGCGATGAGGAAAGTGGTATTATTGCACAGGTAATGATATAAAATTGTTTGTTTCATTAATAAATATTAGTTTTAAGAATATATATACTTCCTATTTTATATATATACATCTATATATACATATTAATAAAATATTTATTTTATTACTTGCTTACAATTTCTAACTAAAGGATGATGTTAATTTCGTGGTAAGTAGGTCTTGTCAAAAGATTGATATCGTCATGATGTGGAAACTTATATTATTATTCTCATATAAGCTTAGAATATAAAATAATATTATTTAATTTTTATAGGTTATGGATCAAACAACACTGAGTTGGTCGACACGCATAAAAGGTTTCGCTATTTGTTTTGTCATAGGCATTCTTTGTTCTTTTCTTGGATCATTTGCCTTATTTTTAAGAAGAGGACTTACAATATTTGCTATATTTTACACATTAGGAAATATCATTTCACTAGCAAGGTAGAGATTATTCTATGTAAGATTAGAAATACATATATAATTTGTATTTTTCTAAATGTCATAGCAGCTTGCGTTGTAACAAAATAATGCTAGGTGTTTTTGTTTAAAAACATTCTGCTTTATTTCATCTATCTTGGAAATATTATCATAGTATTCTTTAATAAATAATTTCCCTTGCAGTACTTGTTTTTTGATGGGTCCTATAAATCAATTAAAAAAAATGTTTGCTGCGACAAGAATTATTGCTACTATTGTAGTATTCATATCGATTGGTATGACATTATTTGCAGCTTTACACGTAAGTAAAACATATATGATATTCAATTATTGTAATATATGATATTCAATTATTATAAACAAATTTTTCTTATGTTATAGTTAAACAATCCTGGTTTGGCTCTTATATTTATCATTATTCAATCTATAGCAATGACTTGGTATTCCTTATCATATATACCATATGCACGAGATGCTGTAAAGAAAACTGTTGAATCTTGTATAACGTAAACATATATCGCTTGGAAAGAAAAAAGAGATGTTGAATATCATTGTATTAATCATATTTATAAAAATCTAAATATTTTGTACATATTTTTTGAGTGTATCATGTTTGATATATTTTTAAAAATCAGAATGCTGTTATATAAGGTATTATAAATATATTGATAAAGTGCGCACACATTTATCTCTATGCGTGAAAATTTAATATAAATTGATATATATAACATGTTTCACGACTATAAGATAATAATGTTCGATATATTTAAAAATATTTTTCTATTCTTATAATGTGTAAATTATATTCGCACTTATCTCAATAATATAACTTTAATATAATAAACTTTTTTTACAGAATAATTATCTGTTGGACATGATAAAATATATAGTTTATAAAAATACATTGAAAATTTTTCGAATGATTTCAAGATCAAATCTTTCTATTATTTACGTAGATTAGATATTTAAATTTTTGTTAAATTGCAGTATTAATTTAATACTATGAAGTTCAAAAAAGAAAAAAAATATATTAATTAAAATTGAAACGACGTTTTCCATCAAATCGAAAACCATAAGCGGCACTATTAGGTGCATCGACTAAAGCAGGATTTCTGTAAAGATGAAAAGTTCCATGAAGATGTGCTGGTCTTGCAGCATTTTGTTCTTCAGCTTCTTTTCCCTTTAAATAAAATGCTTCAAATTGACCACCAGATAATAAGATATTTTTTAAAGATTTATCGTCTGGATCATAGGCAAATGCTTGGATCGTTAGATAACTGAAAAGCCAAATGATCTATATGAGGTTTGTATTAAATAAATGTTATATTGATTAAAAATTAAAACGTCAAAATTAAAGAAAAAATACTAACTATCAACTTCATAACTTCAGGTTCTTTGTTAAACTCTTTCCAAAAATATTACAAAGAATAAAATTACATATATTGTTGTTTAATATTTTAATGTCCTGTAATGATAATTTTACCTTAATAATATTGTTGCAATAATTACATTTTATAATGAAATGAATTTTAACACAATTTTGTATTAATAATTAATTATAAATCATTAATATTTCTTTATAAAATACTTACATACGTTCGTTTAATATTTGTAACGAGATGTGTTAACGATCGAACGAACTACCATTGTAAAAGTGAAAGTCGTGTCCTCGATTATTGTATACGGATAACAACGTCGAAAAACGTTTCTCTCTATTCGTATTTATATATTTTAACATTAGTTTTCCTTAATTTCTTTTTTTTCCTTTTTCACGATATATAAGTATTCGGTTTAAATAAAAAGATTTGTTGTTCTTTTATGATTTTAATAAAATACTTTCTTATGAATAAAGTTAGAATTAATTAATTACAACAATAAAATATCAATTTAAGCTGAAGATATAAAAAGAAAGTATAATTTATATATTGAGTATATTTCAAAGAATATAGTTACACAAAAAAAAGATTAATATAAAATTAAAATTGATAAACAGGGGAGGAGAGTTAAAATTACATACAAATTAATACGTATTAACAACTTTGTTGTATATTGAAGTTAATTGTTTTAAATACTTATGTGTAATAGATACAATTTACACCGTCTCTCATAATTATTGCGAAGGTGTTACAAATTAGTAATAGTAGTAGTATGGTCAAAAAATAAATAAGATAAATCTATGCATAAACTCATAGAGTCAAATTACTATTTATTTATTTTAGAGAACAGCCACACATTTTTTTTTATTGTGAACAATAAATTTTCGTCAATTACCGCATTAGAAAGAATGTAAAATATAAAGTATACATATAACATTCGAAATAACACATTGTTACAATAAAATTGATTTTTTAATTACATGAGAAAAAGAAAGAGAAAGAAAACAAAAATAGAAAAAGAGAAAAAAAGAAAAATTATGAAAAAATAGAAAGGAAAGAAAAATATTATTTTTTTTTTATCTTTATATAAACCAGAGGCACAAGATTAAATGAGATGATGACACCAAGAGGGCAAACTTAAAGTTTGCTTTTTTCCTAATATATATAATATAAACCAACGCATTCTCGCGAATTACATAAACAGATATAAGAAGCCAATGTTGAAGCCTAAGGCAACAACACTTCTCAATCTCTCTCTGAACACGTCTATAGCGCCCAGATACATACTATCTATTACTGAACCAAACCATCTGTTGCTATTTTTGTCTATCCTTTGTATACTTATCTTCTCAAAATTCTACTATTATCACTATTATTTTAAGCGTGACACCTTCATTGGATTATCTAACATAAAGCGGTAAAATATTGCTTCCTAGAATCTTAGAAAAAACGTCTGATTAGAATATTGTGCCTATACCTCTTTCTCTCTTTTCGGTACTCTGTGTTATATAGTTTTTTTTTACTATTATTATTTATTTGTTTTTTTTTTTTTTTTTATTGAAATATATATGTGTATATAATAAGGTATCCCACGAAGTATCAACAAGTGTGATAGTGACTGATACAGATAATTTAAGATGATAAGGTATTATTATATATTGATGAATGTGGAATTGCCTTATATAGTGGCATGGGTGGTTTGTCGATTAAAAACCATGGACTTTGAGTTGGTCAGGTTTGGCCAGACCTGACTTTGTTAACCACTGGCATATATTTTCTCGCTGGTCCCCCTGCAGCTGCAGCACCTCCCCGTACTCTGGGTGTTCAATTACTGTCCCATTGCAGGCAAACTCCTACAAAATAAGATTATATTCACATATTCTTCTCTTTTTATTTTATCCTCACAATTTTAACAATTTCAATCTTTTATAATTAATCGGGCTTCATCAAGCAAGTATTAATTATTATACATGTATTACAATTATTATAAAGAGAACATATATTCTTAACCTCTACTATCCATTTAAAAATTTATTATTTCAATATTTAATTATATAAGATTACTCTTTATATATTTATTTATATGACTTGCAAAAATTAATGTATAATAATATTTCATGAATTACTGTATAAATATCAATATTAAAAAGTCAAACTATTATCCGAGAAAAATCAGAATACAGAATATACAATTAATTGAATCCAACATTTAGTCATACTTAAATATCAACTACACATATGTACTGAAAAATCAAAATACCTTTTATACATAATATCAATATGTTAAATAACAATTGAAAGTCCTTTAATAAATTAAAAGGTACACGATAAAAATAAAATTAGTTTACGTTCTTACTGGCAGCTGTCAGTTTCCAAGGTTTATTTGCATTAAATCTATTAATAGCGTATTGCAAAAGTTAAAAAGAGAATGACTTAATAAAGATAAATACTAAACAAATAGACAAGATAAATAATATTTACCTTTTTACATGCTCGAACTATTTTTCTCAAGTCATATTCAGAAGAAAGCCCCTGTACCGTTGTTAAGGTCTTACGACCATTTCTCTGTTGTATCCTTATATGCACGAGACCGTCTTGGACATCATCATCTGAACCCTTGATTGCATCTGCAAAGGGGTCTAGAAAAAAAAATATATATAAATATTTATGTGTATATAAACGTAAATATATACATTACATTATAGTTTATCAATCTTGACAGATGAAATTTCTTCAAAATAAAGATCACTTTTGTTATCTTGTATCAAAATGGTGTACACACAGTTGTGATTTCATATATATATATATAGTCACACATACACACACACACACACACAAATGTATATACACACACATATATATATATACATCTTTTTCCCTGAAATTACTTAAGGAATTTTTGCAATTCTTTTTTTCTTTTCTCATTTTAAATTTCAACGATAAAATACAAAGAGATAAAGAAAATATAAATAAATAAATGAAAAGAGAATAAAAAAAGAGGAAGATAAAAAATGATGGTATATACTTCATGAAAATGGACATGATTGCACACTATGATGTAAAAGACGCTATCATCGCCATTTTGTCGTATCTATCTTGTCGAACAAGCAAGGTACATAGAAATATTTGTAATATGAAAAATGTTATATTTACCGAATGTGTTGAGATTCTGGATGGACATACGACAAACAAAATATATCCCTCGGAGATATAGAACTGCAAATTGCAAGTGCAGTTGAAGAAAATGATGGATGACGTAGGATAACTGTGACACTGCGCAAGGATACTGCTTAAAGCCCAAAAACATTCTACGGAGGAGTCTGAATCAAACCGGAAGTTAGTTCCATTTGTCATGGAACCCCGATGGGTGGGGTTGCGCCTGCGTTCTTCTATTCACCCAGCATTTGCCGCATGATCAAAGAAACTCTTTGCCTGATTGGTTCAACAAAATTTTACATACTCAGAACTATGTTTCTTTTAAAATATTACTTTCATAACATTTTTCTTTCTTTGTTTTCTCTTTCTTTCTCTCTTTCTCTTTCGAACAATTTTTTATAACATTTATAACGTTATATATATATTTAGAATTTTTGTTAGATTCAGAAACATACAAAATAAATTAAATATCAGATTTGGATATTTTTTTAATTGAAAACTATGCATGACAGATTAAAAATTTGGATTAGCAAAGTTCGTCTTTTGTTCTTTTTTTAATATTTTAGGAGTAGACAATTAAAAAATTTTATTTGAATTAGATCTGTTATCGTTTCTAATGATTTTAATCGAATTATATTAGGTAATCTATAAAAATATTCAAAGTTATTGACGATATTGATATTAATGCAAATGTTTATAACATTAAAAAGAGAATCTATGTTTTTTCTTATTCTTAATAAATAACATAAGACAATTTTAACATATAAACTTTTAGATTTATAAAATTTGTAACATTGATTTATCATTAATTAAATTTAAATTGTTTAAATTAATATTGTTTATTAAAAATTTGAATATAAATATATAAAATCATGATAATATCACATGTTTTGTTAAATAGTTAAATAATGCTTTACTACGTTAACGAGATTATTATGCACATTTTTTTTTACGACGATTTTTGCATATTGCGCATGCGCGTAATTAGACATGAATATTCTAATATATTTAAAGCCACTTGTTAACAAAAATATTTACGCGTAATAGAAATTTATCAATATAAATTTCTTTTTAAATATTTTATTTTAAATATTTTATTGAATATGTTAATATTGTTTTAAATGTGTTTATAAAGTAATATAATTCTTCAAATATGCTGTCTAATATAAATCTAGGAATAGGTTAATCAATCAATAGCTGCTTAGGTCTTGTGAACTATAAATGTTGTATTGAAATATAATACATTTCTTCATTATAAATTATATTGATGTATTTCAAAATGAGAAATATTTTCAAGTTTTATCAAAGCTTATTAATTAAGTATCCAGTGAGAACTCAAGCAGCACAAGCTGGTAATATTATACTATGTTCATTTTTTGTATTGTTTTTCCTATAATGTTATTTTGTCTTTTTTTCTTTTATTTTTTACTTTTACTTCTTTTGTAAATAATCTTTAAGTTTTCTTGACATCGCAGGTATATTAATGGGACTAGGCGATCAATTAGCACAGAATTTAATAGAAAGAAGAAAATTCAAAGATTTAGATTTTATCAGAACTAGTCATTTCGCTGTTATAGGTTTTTTTATGGCTGTAAGTGACATCTAATTGCTACTTTACAAAATATTATTATTTATATAATATATTTAATAAATTATAATATATAATAATAATTTATAAAAATTGTAAGTGTGATTTATAAGTATGAAATAAAGTTATTACTATATGTTTTGATATATTTTGTTTTATCAGGGTCCAGCGACTAGAACATGGTATGGTATATTAGATAAATATATTGGTTCCAAAGGAGGAACCGTTGTTATAAAAAAAGTTTTATGCGATCAATTACTTTTTGCACCTACTTTCTTATGTGTTTTACTTGTATCTATTGGATTCTTACAAGGGAATGACATTGATAGTTTAAAGCATAAATTAAAAAGTAGTTACTTTCAAATATTAATGAATAATTATAAGGTAACAAAAAAAAAAATTCTTTTTAAAATTATTATGATATATTCCAAATGTTCTATTATTTCAAAATTATTTATCATAATATTATATTATATAAAAATAAATTATCTAATATTTATTTTTTATTGTTTTAGATTTGGCCAATGGTACAGTTAATCAATTTTTATTTTATCCCGTTACAGTATCAAGTATTACTTGTACAATCTGTTGCATTATTATGGAATACATATATTTCTTATATAACCAACTTAGAAAAAAATGGGTAAAAGATAATAAATTTAAATGATATGCTTCGAAATTTAAAAATTAACATATGTGGATTTTATTATTTTATAAATAAATAATAAATCTACTATTTTTATTTGATGAAATGAATATTTTCAAAATAATACGAGAAACAAAGCAATGCATAAATTTTGATATATAGTGTTTGAAATAACTACGCTTATATGATTACCTGTGCGTATCAATAAATAAAAAATATGTATATTATTCATGTAATATATTATGTAATATACACATGCTCAGAGAGATATTTGTTATATTTTTGTAAATATATACAAAATCATAATTAGTAAAATTATTAATTACTTCGATGCAAAAATATACTGAAATAAGACCTTGTGTGTATATATTTTCAATTATTGTATTAGTTGTTATTATTACTATCCCTTTTATAAGTTTGAGGAACTTTTCTATGCAACTTCTCAACATAGTTCACTACCATTCTATAGAAATCATAGTAACGCCTTTCTGAACTCAACAGCACATTGTTTTCCGAAGCAGTAGTCCATTCAAGTATTAACCATTATTGTTTAAATTTAACGATTGTAAAGGATTAACTTTTTCAATGAATTGAGGTCGTTGAAAATTTAGATTTTAATTATAATTTTCTATAAATGTAAATATAGAAAAAGTTTTTAAAAAATATTAGATTGATATACATTTAGATTGCCATATATTTCAAGAATAGTCACAGAGAATGTTCGTGACGTAATTTTCATAAGTCAAATTATATAAAAATCCTAAAAATATACTTTATTTATAATCATTTCTCTAAATTTTTTTTTTTTTTTTTCAAATCAAATTCATTTTGATAGACAAGTTCCTGAAAATAGAAACGCTAGATAAAATATTTTGTATAACGTCTTGATTTAATTTTCAGAAAAAGATATTACAATTGTTTACAAGTATCAATGATTATGTTAACCGTTCGATATACATATAAAAGAGAAACCCAAAAAAGGAAAGAAAATAAAATCAAAAGATTATATGCAATCAATGTAATTTGAGAAAATTTTAAAAACAAACGTTGAAAATGCATTTAGATATACAAATTTATATATATCCGATCTAGCCACTAATATATTTACAACTAATAGTATACATAAAAATATGTGAATAATATCATATCAATAAAATCAAATAAAAAGATCTTTTTTTTTTGTTCTTTTTTTTTGTCAACTATAAATATACGGTGACTTTAAGACTATGGCCTTATTTTTTTATATTATTTATAGCAAAATTTTCAAACCAGTACACATGTTGTACTATTAAAAAAGTAAGTTCTTCAAAGAACCTTCAAAGCATATAAATCTGTTAGTTTCATTTTTTATTTTTATATATATGTATATATATATATATGAAATATGACAGATGGAGCTTATTAATCAAAAGCTACACAAAAATTTCCTTCTGCAAAAATGTTTCAATATCTACTCGGCAAATAGGACAACGTTTGTTGGTGCACAACCATTGGTCGACACAGTCTATATGGAATAAATGCAAACATGGAAGCCTCCTGTAAAAAGTAAAGAAAAAAAACAATATATACGTCAATAAAATTGGTACAGAATGTTTTAATATGTTGGAGATATAAAATTAAACAAAATTTACCTCACACTTTCACAATCTTCAAATTCTGATAAGCATATTGTACATTTTTCAACAGCATCTTCGCTGTTTTCTACTTTTTTCACCTACAAATGAAGAAAAACAATATAATTTGTTAATTTCATTTATGTTAATTACATACATGAAATATATTCATATTTCACACATTTCCTAAGCATTCTATAGAATATCAAATAAGAAACCAGCAAAGTATGAAATACATCTCCGATTCGTTTCAAATATCACGTCTCTCATTATTTTTTCAAAATAACATTTGTATTTTTGAGAAATGCACGTCATTTATATAATAACTTTATCAGGACCTTTTCTCATATTTTGCCTAAATAGCATTTGTCATTAGAATACCTAGATATTCTATAGAATGCTGGCTTTTCGTACATCATACTATATATAAAGGTATATAAAACAACTTTATTTTTGTACCCGTTTGTATTTATGTGGGAATGTATGACTTTCGATAGATTCTTGCGTAGCACCATAATTCATGTGACCCATACGCCGTAGATCAACAATTCGCATATATTCTTCAAATCGTGCAGACACGTGTCTTGGTTGATGATGTAATATTAAATCTGGTATGCCATTTGTAGATGTTAACGTATTTCCACGTGTTATAGATGTGGGCTATATATATAAGTATAAAAATAAAGTTAATATAAAATATTAATAACAAATATTGTCTTAGTTAGGGACAATATAAATCTGAAGATTTACCACATTTGGAGAAAAACTTATGTGAAGATGGTGCATACGCGAAGGCCTTATATGAAGATGATGCATACGGGGAGGCATTTGTTGTGGATTATAATGATACATATGATGATGAAAATGTTGATGAACTGATGGTACCGATGCCATTCCGACAAATTCCGGAGAAGGTTCCACTTCATGAACGTCATTTAAATGATTCATCTATAAAATATAGTATATATCAATTTATAAATATTGTTATATTATTATAATTAATGACTAATATCATGATAATTTACCATCATAGCTGGTGTACAAGTAGGAGCAAAAGTTGGTGGTCCTCTTGCTTCTGGATGACTGTAAACAGTTGGTTGTTGTGGTGATGGCAAGACTCTAGATGGTAATCGTGCAGGTAAAAGAGAAGATGAGATATAACTTTCAATATCATTTTCTTCGCATTGAGCATTTGACTGAATTTGAGGATAGGCATAATAATTTTCATAAGCACATGCGTGCGTTGTGGCTTGATTCATATGAGCACTCGGTGGCACAGGACTGTTATTTAAAAAAGAAAAATTATTTATATTATTATTAATTAGATCCGCGAAAATAAACGCTTATAGAAAATACTTAAGGAAATAAAACTAACGGATGATACGATCTTGGATAAAGTCTTCTTCTGTGAACTTCTTGAACGCGTTGTTGATTCATCCATAATCTTTCTTGTACAGGATGCATACGAGAAGATGTAGTACCTGTTGTTGGATCTACAAATAAAAATAAATTTATATATCATTTTGAAAATGAAATATGTACAAGAGAATATAGAATTTTTACCTCCGACCATATTAAATCTTTGTACCGATGGAATCCGATTACGATAATACATTAATTCAGGGTGATTCATTCTATGATTTGCAGCAGGATCACATAAGTATGCAAATAAAAAATATTTCAGTTACAACATTGAAGTAATCTTATTTTGATACATAAACTTTTTTTATATGTTATATATGTTAATTATATGTTCAATATTTTTTTTCTAAATATTTCAACATTTTTATATAAAATCAACAAAGACATTACTATTATATTATATAAATGTTACAATTTGCCTTTGAGTGTGCTCGTCTAATCCTGAATTTATTGGGTTATTAAATGACGTAGATGTAGGTGGTGCTTCTTCATCAGATTCTGCAGTTAAATCAACAAGAGTGACTGTACGATTTTCTTCGCTATCATTTTGTACAGAATTCTAAAAATCATAATTATAATGATGTATGACGATGTTATAAGAAAAATTAATACATCTTTTACTTACTTCATTATGATTTACTGTTCCAAGAACTTCTATAGATCCATCTTCTTCGTCACTATCACTACTAGATGACCAATCTAATTGTAAATCCGGTGCTGATGGTGCATCATCGATTCCTTTTTTTTTTTGACAAAATATTTAATTTAATTAAAATAAAAAATCTAAAGAATTTTTAATGAATCACATGCGTTATAGTATCTCATAAAATGCACATCAATGAAATTTTATTGATTAATACTTGATGAAGTACTAACTTGATGAATGAGCAGTATTTCCAGTATGTGCCTCTTGAGAATCCATTACAGTAGACATATTAGCAAGAGTAAACATATTATTTGACTCATTGACATTTCTATTTCCAACAATCTGTTGAATGGCTTCATTAATAGCTCCATTAAGACGATCTTGTGGTGGTATGGAACTAATATAAAATATATATTATTTTAATCATTTGGATCACTGGAAAGACGTGCCACGTATGTCGTAATGTTTTTGTCCCAAAATCACCAACGTGGTATGCACGTCGTCATAGAAATAGCACAGAAACAAAAACGACGTGCGTAGCACACACGACAATGAATTATTCGTCAGCAAGTGGTTAAACATTAAAAATCGAAGCACTTAATAATATCAATCTATCTATCTATATCATACCTGTTAGAATTGTAACAATCTAATATTCTAGATGGTCCAGCTATACTGAAATTATCTACTTGTTGATCATTTTTATGCTTTTGCTCTTCACTCTTATTTTTCTTATGTTTTGAAGGTTCATCCTGATCTTGTAAAGCTCTTTTATGTCTTTCTTCTCTTGTATTATTTAATTGCAGAGTAACAGATTCTTTTTTAAGAGTTCTTTCTTGTCTATTTTGGCACATATCACAATTTAAAGTATCAGTTTGCCAATAATCATTGGAATTATCATTTGTATTAGAGGAAGTAATATAACGTTCAAACAAAAAATCATTTTGTGAATTAATATGCGTTGTATGGTTGTATGATTCTGTTGGTGCTACCTCTGACTCTTCAATATCACTTTCTGCAAATAAATGTTCATACTCCATCTCATTTCCTAAAAAGATAAAAATGATCAAATTTTATTGTCTTAACAAAAAAGAAGGGGAAAAAAATATAAAGTAAATGATTTGTTTTGCCAATTCTGTCATTTTTACCAGAAGTAAAACGAGATTGCGGAGATGGATCAACTGTAGATGAAAATGCTGTATCAAATATATCAGCTAAAGACGTAGAATTAGCTTCTACAGATCCTGTCGTTGATTCACCATTAAATAAATCAGTTTCCGGTTCCCCTGTTTTACTTTTGTGCCATAAATTTCCTGAATTTGAACTAGCTTCCATTCTATAAAATAAGGAAAATACTTATATACAATAGCGTAATAAAGTTATATAATTTATAGTTAATTCATTATACAACGTACTTAGTAATTGTTTAAATGAAAAAATTTGCTTTTTTAATTCATCTCCTTAATTTATAACTTTCATTCATAAAATACCAAACGTTACACCTTAAGTACATACGCATATCACACACAGTTTATTATTACATATTTAATTAAGAATAGATGAAGATTAATTAATTATCTTAAATTTGTTTATGATCTGTCCATGCGTGTATTGAATCATTATTATTTTATAATCAAATTTAGAAAAACTGTAGAGAAAATATTATATTATGAGTATCAAAAACATAAATATTTTCTTTCTTTAACAAAAGAAGAATTTTTATTGTAATTCTTATTTGCTAATGAAATAATTGCTATCAATTGAGGAATATGAAACATGCTGCGTAATTATATCATTCAGATGCATAAAGAAAAAATAATCATATCAAAAAAATCTTGTAATAATAATTATTTTGTTTTAGATATTTTTTAATAATATAATACTTTTTTATCGATTATTATAATTTTTATATAAAAAAACAAAGCTTTCACATCAGAGTAATTTTTTCTCTGATTATATGAATAATAATCAGAGAAATAATTTAATATGAAAATAAAAAGTAAAAAATATACCTTGCTAAGCCTTTGGTAAAACGTGAAGAGTAACTTTCACCACGCCATTTTCATCAAATATAATTTAGTTACTACAAATTGTATACTTCTTTTATACCACTAAGCATTGAATTTGTTCACTTCTATATAGTTTAGTATATATGTATAGGATATATACACGTATATACACACATATATGTATATCTAAATTTCAAGATCTACATTTAGAATTTAAGAAAAATAAATGTACAAAAAAGTTTCACGTATCTACAATAACATTAAAAACTAATGAACTTATGTAGATGGTTTCTTTGGTAATATACATACATTTGGGAACTATGATATCATCAAATGTAACTTTTAACATAGACGTAACATTTAACAGTACGTCTTACGTCTTATAAAGTTTCTTACTTTTATATTTGAATTACCGACACAGCACTCAAATGTTGTGTGATAACGAGCATAGCGTATAGATAGCGCGAATACTTTCCTTTAGGTGGTGGACTGGTAAGGTCAAAAAGGATCACCAGATGGCGTATCGGGGCCGCATTAGAAAGTGCTGCCAACGTATGAAAAAGACATAGTATTGGAGAAACTACAGCAGCGCTCCAACAAACTTCTTCTCTAGTCGTTGCTGAGAGAAACAGCTGCAGCTAATTCAAAAAGTGGAGGGAAAGACTGTATGTCATTGCAAAAAGAAATGTTGGATGACCAAATGCAGTTGTAAAAACAAGGAATTCTTGTGCAATTGAAAGTATCGTAATAATTTAAATTGTTACAATGAATAAGATTATAGAATAATGTCAATCACATAATTAAGTAACTTTATTATTGGGATTATTTTTTTTTTTCATTTAGAGTGTACAGTTTATTTACATGTGTTATTATTTAAGTTTTCTTCTATTTTGACATATATTATAAGTTCAAATAATAAAGTATTATTTAAAAACGTAATAAAAATATTTTTATCTAACACTCACAATCAGTGCATGGTGAATGTCGACATTTGCCGATGTAAATCAGAAATAAGGTTATTTAACAAATATTTTGGTCATACACCAAGCGACTATGTGAATCTTGACATTCTCCAATTTCAATCTTTCACGGTAATATATACATTACTGTTTATTTAAATATTTAAAGAAAATTATATATATAGTTTAGTATACAACTTATATTTACAACTTATGCGTGTAATGCTTTACAAAGAGAAAAATGTTTATTTAATCGAAAATTGTTTACTTTAAAAATAATACTTTTATGCATATTAATGCTAATTTTTTTTAATATACAAAAATTGAGTAAATCTGCAGCTATATACAGATAAATATATTTATATCCTTTATGTGTATATCTGTGTGTTTGTATATATATTAAAAAATAATATATTGATTTATATTTTGATACTACCCTAGTAGCACAAAATATTAAAAAATATTGATTTTGTGCTACTAGGGTATATTTGCCGTAAATGTGTATTTACTTTTTTTTATAGATAAATCATAAATATGTAGAAAATAAATATCTACATTTACAAGTCCGGATATACCAAATACAAAGAGAGAAATAAACATTGGACTAAATTAAATTTACAATTAGATACATAATTCTATTATCGGTAGTATTACCAATAATATACAACGTATTAATTTACTTCTAAACAATTTAACTAAAATAAGTCCTTACTATAAGTTCGAGTGCTTTTTTATCTTCTGGATATTTTTTACAAGTCTCTTCATTTGGCACATAATGGGTATTTTTAAAATAACATAAGTAACGCCCAATCTCACGATTATATATATACTTTGGATTTTTAGACAATGATAAAAGTTCTATCAACAGAAAGAAAAGAAGAAATTTTATCAATAAAAAGTTAAATATTTCCATTAAATTATATTTAAAAGATTAAGAATATTATACCTTCAGGCACGAATTGAGATACTCCGTCATCAAAAAGTAAATTATAAAATGGTTGATCTAAAGTGCTAAACCCATCCATTAAATTTTCCCAACCACCAGGTTCAATAGGCATTTCCCATCCTATTATTACGCCAACATTATGACTATATTTATTATTCATTATTAAACCAATGGCATATTTTATTTTTGAAGTTCTTCTTCTTGGTTTTATCTGTTCCTAAAAATGATAATTTCATAGTGATTAAATATGATCTTTGATATATAGCCAAGCAAATTTAATTAAAATATTAAAGAATTAACATATATATATATACTTCAAGCTTAGAGTTAGAGTTCTTGAGCGTTTGATACTTTGTTAGCATTAAACTTGGATATTCTGCCACGTCTATTTCCTAAAATATATTAAATTAATTCATGTTAAATGAAATTCAACATTTTCATTGAATTAAACAAATATATATATTATATAAATTTATTTTTTTATTGTTTTAAAACTTTAATTAACTATGTCTATAATTTGCAAAATTACCACTAAATCTGATAAATCCATCTGATGACGTTTATAAAATTGACTCAAGTTTTGAAAAGTATTTTCATCGTGAGGCTGTATCATGTAGCTTAATTCTAAAGCAGAACGTATGCGTGTTGCTCTACCATTTAAATCATTATATTGTCTTGCCGCTACACTTAGATTAGATACTAATCTTGCTGTAACCTTTTAATCAATCAATACAGAAAATTATTTAATTTTTCATCAATCTATTGTATAATGGAAATTAAATTTATAAAAATATAATAATATACCTCTACAGCAGTTGCAACATTATGTGAATTATATTTTTCTATTGGACATCTAAACTTGTGGTGAGAAATTCCGCCAACTCCAGAGCAATCTTCTTTTCTTAAAAAGTGACCACTATTTAACATATCAATATAAAAATTTTCTGTATTTCCTGGATCTGAAACATTACTATAAAAGAAAAGTTATGTATTTGTAAACAATTTATTTGACATATGATATTAATTTCTGTTTTATTTTAAAACATCATAGAGTAATAAGCAATTAAAAAATAAATACTTACAATTTTTCTTTCCATCGTAAGAAAAAATGTGATGGAAAATTAACAGGTTCGCATCTTAATCCAAGTCGTCTTGCAACACTTTCAAATATAATTGCTAGAATTATCGGAGTCCCTTCTTTTAGTTCCAACACCTATATTTAACACACACACACACACAAAATATTCTTATAAAAATATATTAATAATATATAATACAATATAACTAGATTGAAAAATTTACCTTGTCTATAAATAAATTATTTGGGTAATAATACATTTCATTATTACCATGAAAACCTAATTTATAAAACATAACTTCGCAAAGTGCATTCATAATTTTTTTGGTTTCTTGAATACTCCAATAATTGTCATCAATTATTTCACGTTTCCAAATTAAAAATTGTTCCGGAGGTAACGAAAATATAGAATGTTCAGGGTGCTTTTCATATATTAAATTTTTTGTTTGATTAGCTATTTCGTCGAGTAATGAAGAAATATAGGAATAAGAAATACATCTATCTGGTTGACTCCATTGTGCTACAAAAGTTGCACAACGTTCTAAGGTCTGTTCATTTATTGGAAGATTAATAAATCTTTGCCATTTTTTCCTTATATAATTTTGTTTTAGATATCGTAAGACAATAAAGGCATAATATTTGTGGGTTAAGTTACTATTTCTGTGGAAAAAAGTAAATATATGTATATTAAAGTAAAGTGTTATAGAATGCATTAATTAAAAATAACATGTGTTTATAGTTAAAATATGACTCACGCATAATGACAGTTTATGAGACTGATGAGTTCATCAACAAGAAAATGATAACTTAATGGATGTGCGCCTAATTCCGTACGAAACAATGGATCTAAATATTTTAATTCTGAATTGGACACTTCTTCTTTTGTGTAATATTTACTGGACATTAGAGACAAGTGATACATTAAATTACGTCTAATTTCCATGCTAACTTTTATTTCATTTAACCAGTTTAATACTTTTATATCTGCTGTATTTTTTTCGTATTGCTTTTTCAAGCGGGGCCATCTGTAATAATTATTATTAAATAAAAAATAATATTACATATGTATATATATATAATTCGACAGGCATTAAAAACTAAAAATAAATGTAATATATTTAAGATTAAATACCTTTGAAAGTATTTCACTCGCCATAACTGATTATTTTTGACTGTTAGATATAAATGCTTGCATGTCATAGAAAATTTGATAATATCTAAAAACGTAATACTCTCATCTTCCAAAATATATTCAATAATCTCTTCTGGTAAATGTGTTATGACATTTGCAGCCATTTTTAATTATTTTTAAAATACCATATAACGAATAAATGAATAAATCGCAGTAATTTAAATTTCATTTATTTAAGCTGATCTTCTCAACACGATTTTAAGTGACGTAGACTAGTGAGATAAAATGAATCAATAAACAGAAAAATAAAAATTTTCTAGTAACTCAAATGCTAAATATTACTAGTTCAAAGTAGTTTTAATAAGAAGTTTATAGAGAGCATTATGTGGTTTTCCAATTACAGCACTAAAGCGCTTTATGCGGCATAATGCTCAACGTTGAATGTTTCAATTAGAGCAACGCTTCGCACAATCGAGCACTCTCAAAAGTACTGCTTTCGCGTGATGCGTGCAATCGATACCAACTCAGTAGCAGAAAATAAACAAGTGTTTTTTCTTTTAGTTGGCATTGATCGAAATTGTATGTATATTATCGTTAATAATATTGTTTATTGTTGAAAACATTCTTAAAGTTTTCTTCTCATCGTAGTGTTTTGGAAATAATAAAAAGTTAATTCAGACTGTGTTAAAAAATAAACATAAGTATGAATGAAGGTATAAACATCGACTATTTTTTTTTTATATTCTACACATAAAATGTGAATACAATTTCATTTTAAAATTCAAAACTATAAATAAATTTATTTTACAGAAATATACTTTTGTCAACATTGCAATGGTTTGATTGAATCCAGTAGGGATCTTAAAGGAGGGATGCACCATGTACATTGCTGGGGGACCGGAACTCGATTTTGCGCGCGAATGATTCAAACATTGAAATAATTATGAAATAATGAATTGCATCAAATATAGAAAAAAATGAA